TGCTTGTGGATCCTCCACTGGGATCTCAGCTTACTGAATACCGTGCTCAGAAACAAGATGGAGCTACTGACGAGTGTTACCGTCATGAGCCTCCTCCTTCAATGGATCCGCCTCTAAGCTCTCTTTGCCGTCTTTCATATACATTACCTGATGGGATCATCACACTCAAGGAGATTGGTATTTTGAAGCTAACGGCGCAGTTTGTGGTGAGGTATGGGATGGATTTGATGAGGAGAGTGGTTAGTTTCCCTCAGTTTGTGTTTATGGAGCCAACTAATAGCTGGTTCCCTTTCTTCAATAAGCTTGTTGATGCGTATTCCAGAGTATTAAAGCCTTCCGGAAAGCAGGGGAAGAGTAAGTTTGATAAGCATGCTGGAGGATTTATTGATTGTTTTCTCCACCGTCTGCAATTGGACGAGCTGGAGGAGGGAGTGGAGATGGCTATGGTTGATTTGCATGCTTTCGTGAGTGGTGTTGACTATTTTATTTTCATGGAGGATGATTATAATGAAACGGAGGATGAAGAGTGTTCTGATCACTCCACACCACCTGAACACTTTTCAATGTTGATGAACCGTATAACCCAAATGCAGCCTGGTATGCTTGTGGGATCTCAGCGTACTGAAGACTGTGGAGCTCAGAGTATCCACCCCGATGCTCCAGCTTCTCATGAGTGTGTAGGTGATGCCCAACCTGATCTTGAGCGTACTCCTCCAAGACCCCTTCACAGTCTTGCGTTGGCATTTCCTGCATATCTCGCAGTCAAGGGGTTTATGACAGTCAAGGAGCTTGGTACTATGAAGCTCACAGCTCAGTTTGTGGCGAGGTATGGCATGGATTCGATGAAAGAAGTGGCCGCGTACCCTCGGTTTGAGTTTATGGTGCCAACTCGTAGCTTTTTCCGTTTGTTCAATGAGCTTGTTGATGCGTATTCCAAAGTATTAGAGCCTTCTAAAAAGCTGTGGAAGAAGGAGACGTCCGTTGTTGACCTTTTTTTCTACCGTCTTCAGTTCGTCGAGCTGGAGGATGGAGTGGAGATGGCTATGATTGATTTGCATGCTTCTGTGTCCGGTGTTGACTGTTTTACTCACATGGAGGAGTACATGGACGATGAAAAAAAGTACTGTGATGGCGTGCCACAACCTGAACACCTTTCAGTGTTAATCAACCTACTAAAAAAGCAGCCTGGTCTACTTGTGCGGCCTCCAGCTGGTCTACTGGGATCTCAGAAAATCCAACCTGATGTGCAACGTGAGGAACCAAGGCGAGAGAGACAAAAGCATTTGAGAGAAAATCATCCGAGGCGAAAGAGACGGAAGCGTGACTGTGATGTGCAACATGAGGAAACAAGACTTCATGCACCAAAAGCAGGAAGAAGCAATAGGGAGCTTGTTATGAAACAAAAAAATTCATCACAAATAATAATCCGAAGTACAAAACTCAGAAGCTTGATTATTGGAAACAGTCATGTTTTAAACTCAGAAGCTTCGCATGTCTCCTCTTTTTCTTCTAATACACACAGGATTTGAGATAAAGAGAACAGACACTAATTAACTAACTCAGGAATAACTTTTACATACTATTAGTTTTTCTCAAATCCAGACTACAATGCACATTATTCATCACAATCGCTCTTTCAATCTTTTTAATACAGAATGTTATGTACAAAAATATTCATTTTTTTGGACAAAGTACAAAATATTCTATATGCAGATACCTGCACTTTTATGTAGCTTCAGTTCTGACACGCTTAACAGGAGCTCGAAGAGAAGATAGATAATTAGCATCTGATTTCTCAATCCCATCGAAAAGGTAACTGAAAGGAGGCATCTCTATATACTTGCCACTTCCTGGAACAACTTTAAGCTCCTCATTTTCCCACACTATTCGTCCTCCTGCTATTGTCACTTCAACTTTTCCCTGAGATTTAACAATCATGTCCCAAAGAAAATAAAAAGTTATTATTGCTCAGACATTACACAAATCAGTAAAGACGATTTGTTTTTAAAATGTGTATCCATTACCTTTCCTCTTCTGCCCTCGTAGACGTTTGTGTCGGATCTTGAATGATGAGACTTTGAGCTAATCTCGTAGCTTGAGTTTGGATTCAATATAATAATGTCTGCATCCGAGCCAGCAAGGATAGCTCCTTTCCGTGGATATATGTTGAAAATTCTAGCACTGACAATTAAAGTCATTTCAAATGCAAACACATTAGAAAGAGCTCACTAGAAAAAGCAAATTTCGACACTAAAAAGAAGCAGCGAAAGAGTATATATACCATTCCGTGCTGGTTATTCGAACATAATCAGTAGCTGAGATTTGGCCAGACCCCTGGATTATGATACAGAAAACGATTAAAACTTCTGTAAAGATATAAGATTATAGACAGCCCACAAGTACTTACCACCATCGTGTCCCATATCAGGTGCATCCGTTCTTCAAGGCCTATATATGAACAAGTTCAAAGTATTTACAGGTTCACAGAGACAATGAGCACAGAAAGCAAGAAACCAGTCAAGCCAGTTATTACCATTAACACCATTAGGTATTTTGCGGAAATCATCAAGTCCTAGAGCTTTTTGTGTAGAATTGAAAGTGCAGTGATCAGTTCCTACAAGCTACAGAGATTACACCAATAAAAGGAGAAAAAAGGTGTTAGAAGATCTTTACAGTTTTATGTTATAGGTCATGTATCTCTAATTTATGCACAGTGGGGAAAGAAACCTGAAGGATTCCTGTGGAAAGGGCATCTTGTAGAGCTTTCCCATGTCCTACTGGTCTAATTGGTGGACTCATGACATACCTGAAATATTGAGAAAAACATTGAAACTCTGAAAGAATAAATGGGAATCATTTGATTAACAGACCTAAAGGATTTCTTACTTGGACGCAATTGTGAAGTCAGGATCCCAAAGCCAATGGTCATCAAGGATTAATCCAGACACAACAGGCTCTCCAATAACCTTCTGTCCTGAAGTACATAACAAATTTTTTTTTTTTTTTATTGAGCTAAATACAAAATAACAATTCGGAAGGTACTTTGGAAATCAACCCATGTGTTATTATTGCCACTAGTGGCTGTTCGGATAGAAGATTGAATAAATCAGGATAAATATTCCATACAATGAGAAAAGAATTAGTCCTACAGGAGTTGTAACAGAAGACCTGATTTTCGAGCTTTAGCAATCTCGTCCATTGCATCAACACTCATCACATGAACAACATAGAGAGGCGTGTTAACAAAACGAGCCAAACGAATTGCTCGAGCAGTGGCTTCTCCCTCGAGCTGCCATTGTCAAACAAGGATCTTGATTTTAGTAGCTTCAACAAAGGTTTACAGAGGCAAGAGCGGATATAAGAGAAGAGAAAAAAATCTATGCAGTAGTTTTATAAAAAAGAAAATGCTGGGCTCAAATTACCACAGGAGGCCTTGAAAGAGCATGACCCTCTGGACCTGTAATGCCCAGTTCAATCATTCTTTTCTGTCCTTCGAACACTGCATCTCCATTTTCAGCATGAACCATCGCCAAGGCACCGAGGGATTTGCACCTTTTAAGGCCTTCCAGGAGGAGGTCATCAGTGACCATAAGAGATCCTTTATATGCTAGGAAGAATTTGAAAGAGTTGATACCTACAAAATTTAGAGACACATGCACTCAGTTTCATCTTAGCAGGGAAACAAAAGGGATAGAAACACCAAAACTGTGAGGCATCAATTAATGTGTCACAAGACATTTTACCCTTTTCCTTGACCAATATCTCCATGTCCCTGGAAACACCTTCATCCCACTTTGTGATTGCCATATGAAAACCATAATCCATACAAGATTCTCTGGATTTGTTTTCATAGGCTTCAAAACCAGCCACAAGATTCCCATTGATAGGAATAACAAAGTCTATATGCATAGTTGTTCCACCAGCTAATGCTGCTGCCTGACCACTGAAGAAATCATCAATAGTCTCGGTACCCATAAACTCCATGGCGAGGTGCGTGTGGGGGTCAATTCCTCCTGTTTACATTAAGTAAAAGAGGAAGATGAAATGCTACTTAAGGATTCAAAACAAAAGGAAACAATTTTGGAATGTATCAACTAGTATGAATTGATTAACCTGGCATAACAAACTTTCCAGTAGCATCGAGTACAGTGACTTCATCCCCAACCTGTTACATAGCAACAAACAGATGAAATCTGGAATTTAGAATCCCACCAAAAAGGAAGGAAACATTACAAGGGAATAGTTAGACCTTAATGTTTGGCTGCACAGCAACAATAATTCCATCTTCCACATAAACATCAGCAAGTTCTTGATGGTGTGCGTTCACAACTATACCTCCTTTGATCAAAATCCTCGTAGATGAAACCCCACAAGATCCCACACCATACTCTCCCCCTGCACTACAAAACTGCAAGAAAAACACATTTTAATCCTATCACTAACTTTCGATTGTGGATAGCTTTTTTTTTTTTTTTTTTTTTCTTCAGAAATTATAAATCAATCTCCAAACTTTATCTTTTTCGTTTTCTATTCAAGTTTCTTGAAAGTTACCGAATTGGATTAGCAAATAACTTAAAATCTCTGCTACTCGCTTAAGAACTAGATGTTAGAAGTGGACGGAGCTTTCAGTGTTACTTCAAACAGATAACGAGACAAAAGCTCCAAGGAAACTGCTATCTCTGGTTATTATTACAAGGTTCAAAGACAGACCTGAGTAGTGGAATCTGAGACGGAAGGTGACGGAAACAGAAGGAATAGAGAGACGATGAAGAAGATTGCATCCAGCGCCATTGATGAAGAAGCTTCTCGTGAGAGTCTTGCTTGATTCAGCAGCTTCCTATCATTGTTTCCATTCTCTTTGTTTATTGGCCGATCAATTTAAGTCAACGCAAAATCGAAATCATAGTCATTTAATAAAACCGGGTAAACCGGATTTGAATTTCAATTGGTTTTTGCGAAATTCCAGCAGAGCTGGCCGGTTCGCGGTTTCAATAGAACCCTTTATCTAAGGAAGAAGAAGGTTTTGATGTTTTAGTGAAAGGTTAGATTTTTTTTTCCCGATCTTCTTCAGGCTCCTCGTATCGTAATCTCTCTTCTGGATCCAAGGTGATGAGCTCTACGTCTTCCTCCCAGGTCATCAGTCTTCTCTTTATATGATTGTGATCTTTTTCTCGATGGTTTTGATCGATTTCTAGTTCAGTTTTTTTTTTTTTTTTAAAGGATTTAATTGTAGTGTAGGTTGGTCTTTGCTTGGTCTCGTTTTTGTTATTTGAATGCAGCATTTGGTATTGATTTTGAAAAGGTTCCTTTTTGATTAATCTCATACTAAAGATGTGGGTCGATCAAGTGTTACTGATATGCCATTGAAGTGAACTAAGCTTGAAATGAGCCAAGTTAAGTCTTTTATGGTGATTCTTCCTTTTGTACGAAAGTTACTGAATCTACTGTGAATATTTTATGGCAGATGGGTCAGCTTGTAGCTGACAAGCATGTACGTTACATTCTGATGGCAGAAAAGGTATCTAGAAACTATATCGAGAATTATATGCTTCATTTTCTCTGTTTAAGTCACTATTGATTATATAACTTATCTTCTTCTTTTCAATTGCTTTTGAATTTTATTTAATTTGCTAGAAGAAAGAGAGTTTTGAGTCTGTGGTGATGGATCATCTAAGAATGAATGGTGCTTACTGGGGACTCACCACTCTCGACTTACTCGACAAGCTGGGCTGTGTTTCTGAAGATGAAGTCGTTTCATGGCTCATGACTTGCCAGCATGAATCTGGTGAGTACTAGAGAGTGTCAGATCAGCTCTTTTTTACTTACTGATAGAATGATGAAAATAATGGGATACATGGGCTAGGCTGTGAAAGCAGGTGTCTTTGACAATTATGAGAAAATAATCATTGGCTGTAATTGCTAAGTAAGGACTAGCAAGAAGATCTATGGGAACCTTTGAATTGCTGTGGAGTTTCACATTTTGGTCCTTAATCATAAGATGTCGCTACAGTCTAAGTTGAAAACAAGTTGTTCTTCTCTGAGCAGGTGGCTTTGCCGGTAATACTGGACACGATCCACATATTCTATATACACTCAGTGCCGTACAAATCTTGGCCCTCTTTGACAAAATTAACATTCTTGACATTGGGAAAGTATCAAGTTGTATCCTTTGGCACTTAGTTTCTTGTCGTGTCACTAACTCGTCCTTCTTCACCAACAGTCATGGTGGAACTTTCATATTGTTAAATAATCAATGATGTTAAACAAGAAGGAATAACCCTGCCTTATAGTAGATATTATTATGTTTTCCTATAAACAAACTTAGATGTTGCTAAGTTGCAGAACGAAGATGGATCCTTCTCAGGAGATATGTGGGGAGAAATAGATACGAGGTGATTTTCCTTGCCATGTATTACTAAGACATTTATATATTTCCTGTTGGTGATTTCACTATGTTGAAACTTAACAGCAAGCTGTTTATGCAGGTTTTCGTACATAGCTATTTGCTGTCTCTCAATATTGAAATGTCTTGACAAAATCAATGTGGAGAAGGCAGTTGAGTACATTGTGAGCTGCAAAAACCTGGATGGTGGTTTTGGGTGCACACCTGGAGCAGAGTCCCATGCAGGACAGAGTATGTTATGCTATTTGAGTATTTTTCTCTGTCATCTTCCCAATTGTTACTTGCAATTAGTGTTATAGATGTCTTTACAGAATTAACAAGGCCAACCGCATCACTGCCATTTAACTAATCCAATGACTGGATACTCAGATGTTTATAGTTTCTGTAGTTGACGTGCTACTGATACACCCTTGTGTAAATAGTATAGGACAGTTTCATGGTAGGGTCATTTGGTATAAGACGGTTATTCTTTATTTGTTTGTTCTGTTATTGCAGTTTTCTGCTGTGTGGGTGCTCTTGCTATCACTGGGAGTCTCCATCATGTTGATAAGGACTTACTTGGTTGGTGGTTATGTGAAAGACAATTAAAGGGTGGGGGCTTAAATGGACGACCTGAGAAACTCGCTGATGTAGGCGTTAAACTCCTATCCAATGAGAGAGACCTTTGTATACTTTCTCTGGTTCTTACACATTTTTTATTGTTCTTATTACCAGGTTTGCTATTCTTGGTGGGTCCTATCGAGCCTAATCATGATAGATAGAGTTCACTGGATCGACAAAGCAAAGCTTGTCAAGTTCATTTTGGACTGTCAGGTTCGTCTCCAACAAGTCAAGAAAATTCATATCGTTGCTAATAAGCTAATTTGGATTGAAAGCTCTCATCTCATCTATCCTAATTTTGAATTTGAATAGGATTTGGAAAACGGAGGCATCTCAGACCGACCCGACGATGCTGTTGATATCTTCCACACCTACTTTGGAGTTGCTGGTAACTTTCATTTGTCTCTCTTTTAGCTCCTCTCTTGATGTGTTATAGCCAAAGTGGTCTTATTTCATCAAATTGGTGCAGGGCTTTCCCTCCTTGAGTATCCTGGAGTCAAAGTAATTGATCCAGCCTATGCTTTGCCTGTTGATGTCGTCAACCGTATTATATTCACCAAATGATTGCAAAGGGTGTGATCTTAATGGTCAAAATAGTATGGCACTAAGGCTCTATATGCTTTGTTCATTGAACAGTTTACCTAGGCGGTTTTAGAAGTTTTGTATGCTCAAGGAGGAGACATTATAAGAACCAAGTGGATTGGAATCAGTGATTACTGTTGATGATAAAGTTAGATATTGTTGGTTTATTCCTTGAGCACTTTGCAAAACTCAACAGTCTCGCAATGTTGTATTACTTTGCTACATTATTGAGGTTTCTGATGTAATGGAAATGAAGTTGTGTTGCTACACTATATAAATCACAGTGTGACATAAAGCACATTCACTTCTTGAAAAAGTGGACTAATGTGCGTTTAGGAGTGTTCCATACTTTATAAACCGAACCAATTTTATTAAGAAATCGAACAATTTAGAGAAATTGCATAGATTAGTTCATACATCATGATTAATAAATAAATTTATTTCCTTTTCAGTTTTTACTTAAGGTTATATAAAAAAAAAAAAAAAAAAACAGGATGTCTAAAGTCTAAACCCTAGTACGCCATTAGAGAGGGTTCAGTTCAAGTGTTCTGTTTCGTTTGTTTGGTAAAAACCCTAAAAGCTTACGAGACTCATCAATGGAGGCGCTATCGGGAATAGAAGCAGACATCGAATCGTATTTCGGAGAGCAGGATCAACAGAAATCGTCACCAGACGGCTGCAAACAGGTCCCGTGGCTGAGCTGGGAAGAGTGGGACTCAGTGAGAGAGTCTCTTTTCTCTTCATCTCTTGATAGAATCGCTTCTGCATTGGAAAGGGTAATGCTTTTCTTCACGTGTTTTCTATTTGCTAGGGAAATTGAATCAAGCTTACTGCTTTATAGACCAGAGAGCTTAGAATACTAGTTGAATCAAGTTTGCTGCTTCAGACCAGAGAGCTTAATTGTTATTACTTAATATGTGTAAAGTACGGATTTTTAATCTCGTTTGCGGATTCAGGTTGCAACATGGAGAAGTAGAGGATCTCTTCCAGCGCCTGTGGATGTTACTTGTTCCCTCATTGAAATTCAACTCAAAGATGGCTTTATTCCGTTAGTCTCTCTCTCTATTCTCTAAAACGTTCCCATCATATTTTTGGGTGTTTATCGTTTCCTCATCTTCATTTCTTGTTTTTGTGATTCGAAAAGGAGAGAGGAACAATCAGCAGATGCATTATATTCAGAGCATTTACTGCAGATGCTTTATTGCATGGGTATACTCAGGTGACTATGAGTTTGCTTCCCACTTCTTTATATGTTTTTGTTTGGTTGGTCCCTGCAATTTTTGACTCATATTTTTATGTATGTAGGCTTGTGAACTGTGTCATAGAAAAGACAAGGAGGAGAGAAGATGTTTCAATTGCGGATGCAGCTAGAGCAATCGGTATCCCACGTAAATTAATCGATCTTCGTCATGGTAAGAATCTTTCGGGTGCTTTCCTTGGTTGTGTACAATGACTTTTCAATTCCTGCATGATGCTTATGACTGATATGATTGTTCTTATTGTAGAGGGTTCTCACCGTGAGCTCCCTGCACTCTCGGTGCTTCGGGATGCTGCAGATGAGGTACAATGTTTTCCTTCTTAATTCTGTTTGGCATTCTAGATTTTCTTTATTTCAAGTATCATAGTACATGAAGGTCTGCTTTCCTGTTATTCAAAATGTTTGCTCTTAACATCTGTTTTGAGGAATTTGAAGAATCCAAAGAATCTTTTTATTGTCTTTTTAGAAGGTGTTTTGTGTAGTGTAGTTCTTGGACGAGACAGAAGATTTTAACTTGTTTGCATAAATTTGTTGGTCGTTGTAGGCACTTGAATGGTTGAAATCTTATTATTGGGAGCCACAGAAGTATCAAATTCCCTTTAAGAGAGATGGAACGGCTAGCATCAGAAGAGAAGTCAAATCCAAACTCAGGAAACTTGCTTTCTCCTTGCAGCTTAAGCATAATCCTCAATTTGACTCCCCTTTGGTCAAAGAAAAATGTAAGACAATTTACCTTATGTATTTTGGATCTTGTGCTGGGGAAGGGCTAGTAAGTAGTAACACCAAGCAAAAAAGCAGAATGATCCCTTCTGTGTCTCGCTTCTTTACCTTGATGAAGTTTACAGAATAATGACATAGCTTAAATGATACTTTGGTTTTGGCTGCGCTAGATTATGTTTCCAGCTTTAGAGATAGAGATAATTTTGGGTTGTATCCTCGTGTTTAACTTCGCTTTTCTGTAAATTTGTATGGTCATATAAGGTTATTTTTGTGATTTTCAGGTTCTAATAAAAGGATAAGGAAGATTGTAAGCAGCCTTGTTGAGTTATACCCTTCTTTCTCCGCAGAAATTTCATCTGTGCTCCTTGAATTCTTACTCAAGGCCTTGGATTCTTCAAAGTCGACAGATCTTCAGAATAAGCCTGGGAAAGATTTCAGAGGCTTCCTAGAAGAATGGGAACCTGTAATCATGGAGCTCTCAAATAGAGAACCCGAGTTGCTTTTGACTCTACTCAAGGAAGTCCTTGATATGATCCAAAATAATGAACGGAGAAGATATGAAACTGGTAATTATTGGTTTATCCTAAATACCTTTACTCCAAGGATCCTCAATTGTTTATCCTAAATGCTTGTATGAACTGTTTGTTTGTATCTAAATGTGTATCTTACAGAAAGGCCAGCGGAAGAGGTTTCTCAAGTTGAGCAGGTCCCTCTCTTGTTTGCATGGCTTGTGAGTCTTCTCAATGGGTCAAAGCATTTTCAGAGAAACAGTTCTGTAGAAGTGAAACCTCCAAGCATTTTCCTTATGGAACTTATACGTAGATGTCTTCTCTTGGGAGCCTTAGGATACGAGCTGGTTCTGAAATCAGCATTCCGACTCGCAGAGATTGTGGGAGGCCGTGTTTTAAAGGAGAAGCTCACAAAACTCCCTCTCATGCATAAAGGTTCTACAATTGTTCCATTGGAACAGAGTTCTACTCTTGTAACAGCTCCTACAACGCTCCTTGAACAAGAGAAGGATCTTGGTAATGCAGGCAAGAGACTTGAGTTCGTCAAACTTCAACTCTCAAAGAAAAAAGGTATTGAAACAGACAAAACCGGTAACAGATGGAGAAAGGCAAAAACATGGAGCCCTTGCCCAATTGGCATGTTGCCTCGGATCATTGGATCTTCTGGACGTTTACCTCTTCTTGACTATCACAATGCTCAGAGCATCTCAAAACAAGCACAAGGTAACAACAATGCCAAGAGAGGAACTGAGTGTAATAGAAAGCAATTGGAGAAATCACCATGCAAGCGAGCAAGGAAGAGTGCAGAAGATTCTGACACAAATGATGTGACATTGGAAGCATACGAGGAAGAAGCTGAGATGGAAATAGAACATGCATATGAGGAAACTGAAGCTGTAGCAGAAGAGAATCTGATGTGGAATGATAAAGAGGAAAGCAGAAGCTGTCTTATGATAGATGGTGAATGGAAAAGAGTCAATGAAGGAGAACTATCGGGGATGGCTTCGAAAATTACAATTTGTGTTTGAGATTTCTGCAGATGTAACCATATAAATCCGTCCTTTTTTGGAGAAAATATTTGATCAACTTTTACCAGTTAAAACATATAGGTAAAGATAAGATATTGTGACACTTACGTAAAAGTAATAATTGGATTGACAGTTCCTTTTTCAACAAACATCAATTGGAAGAATAAATTATTATACATGAACAGTAACATTGTGAGTAGTATTGATTTTATAGACAGAGAAGAGATGGAAGAAAACACCCCAAGCCCAAAATGTTACAAATCTGACACCAAATCAATTATGATACTAATTCTTCTTCTTCCATTCTCACAAATTTCCCCTTTCTTCTTCAAGGAATGAATTCACCATTTTGGGCTTTTAACCTACAAAGCCAACCCCAGAAAGAAGCAAATCCTTTTGTTCAACACAACTTGAAAAATAAGAAAGTAACAAATATGTAAGCAATCCTGATTTGTGTGTTGGCCGACACTGTTCTATAATCTATCTCATTAGAAACATATCCTATCTTATATGTTCTTTCGACAGGTTACCCGATTTCCATAAGATATATGTATCACCGTAACTTTCTTAAGAACAAAAGAAGAATCCAATACCAATACAGAAACACATATTTCCCTTGCAAATGTTGCGTTATTTGGATTTCAGTAACTTAAAGAACACAACACGAAACTCAGTTATCTGACAAAATTTGTAATGACAAACCATTTCCCTAAAAAAGGATTATGGGTTCAACTGCCCTAAAGTATAGTATCTGGACTATAACAGATGTATATGTTCTATGAAGGATCCCGGAATACCAAGAACACCGAGTAAATTGTACAAAAGAGACAGGACAGTACACAGATGCTTACCTAATAAGCTGTCTACAGTGAGTTGAAAAGTGCTTCTAAACCTCTCCATGACACCTACTCGAGTGCAGAATACAAAATTGGAATGTCTACAACTTTTTTAGCCAGCAACCCTTATTGCACCCATCTCATCAAGCTTTGAGCTTTTATGCTGCAACAAGTTATATCAAGAGCCGAATCAATACAATTTATCAAAGACATGTTACTAGTTCTCTAACACCTTTCCGCAAAAAACATTATGGTGGAAATTTCAAGTTGAGTATCAATGAAGAACGAAGAAAAATTGAGGCTCCACTTCATTACCATTACCTTGTTTTTTTTGTGCCTCTGAACGTCATTAAGATCTTCATCTCCATCGTGTTTCCTTTTCTGAAATATTAGTGAAAAGGCTCCATTTGATTTCCATAGAATGAAAAACTCAATCAAATGTTATAGTAAAACTGTTATAGAGCAGTCTCTAGATCTGCTAATACAAAACTTAACTCCACAGCAACAAATACAAAACAGACAGACACCTTCAACAAACAGACATGTTCTTACCTTATCATGATGTTTCTTAGAATGATCACCCGAATCATGATGGCCATTTTTGTCCTTCTTTCTGTCTCGGTCCTTGTCTTTATCTTTATCTTTGCTTCTATCTTTATGCTTGTGTTTATGCTTCTTATGCTCTCTATCTTTGTCCTTATCCCTGTCCCTGTGTTTCTTATGCTTCCTGTCCTTATCTTTCGACTCACTTTTTGACTTAGACGGAATTGTAGGAGCTCCCTTCTCTGCCTGAAAGAAGAAACAGGTGGGTTCATGTTCTAGTACCAAGGTCAATCATCTCTATAGGACACCCAGATGTAATTCACCTTACTGGGGAATGATTCTCAGTTAACCAAATAACTTGATGTTACAGGAAATAGGACATTCATTACTAAGCCCAATTTTCAGGTTCAATGTCAAATATTGATAATTGTATGAAAAAAGGTTAATCATAAAGTTAAAACTCAAAACACCAAGAGAGAGAGAGAGAGCAGATTCTTACTGGAGGTAGTTCAACAGGAGTCATATCATTTAGTTGGAAAGATTCCTTAAGCTCATCTATATCAAAAGGTTGGATGCGAACATTAGTCTCCCGGCTCTGTGATATGCTCTGAATAAGCTGATCTAATTGCATTCCTTCTCCTTTTCTGATCTCTGTGTCCCCAACCACATTATGAAGATAATGGGAATCTGATAGAGAGACGGGAAGGGATTTCTTGCAAAAGAATTCATGGTGTTGCACTAGTTTGAACTGAGATATAAGATCCGCAGCACCACACAACTCTTTTGGCCCTGCACTTGAAACAAGCAAAACATTGACCTCAAGGTGAGCCAAAAGGGAAAACAAAGGACAACGAGCTACACAAAACACTTCAGGAACTGAAGAAGCTCCAAATTCGAAACCAATGTACCTCCAAATTTTAAACGTTCAGGTTCCATCTTCTCTATTGCACTCTGAATATTCTTTGCATGATCACTGCATATGTATCCTACACAAGGAAAAGAATCACAGAAGCATTGAGTGATAAGAAAATAATACTACAACACAAAGCAAATTCAGCTTCAACACTGCCTAAACTAACAATTTGGTAGCACAAAAAATACAAATAACTATAACTAATCGCCAGCTCATATTGCATAGTGACCAAAACTAATGAAGTCTAAGCAAAACTAAGAACTAAAACTATGTAATTTAGCATTATATGCTATCAATTCTCAACTTTTCTGCTACATATACATGCTCCAAGCTCAAAGTAATGAAACTAGCATCAGAAACAAAACCCTAGAAATGAATGACTTGAGTATTGTCGACAGTTTGTATAGTAAAAATCAGATACCAAGTCTACACATTTTGGATCTAGTCAACAAGATAGTTTCATCCAATTGTTCAATTGAGGAATAACTAACAAAAAACAATGATCAGAAAAGCAAAGTAATCACTAAAAAAAAGATTAGACTCGATTAAAAAAGCTTCCAGCAGAAGAGATATTCGAAATTGGGGAGGGAATTGGAATTCGAAAACAAAACAAGACAAAGCCCAAAAACAAAACCAAAATCTGAGATTCAAATTGGTGAGAGAAAGAATCAAAACAACCAACATACACGTTTCTTCGAGAAGCCAGATCTCGTTAGCTACGAAACGTGAGGGGAAGTGGTTGGGTCTTGGGTATCGGATTTCCCGCCCAAATTTTTGATTTTGCAAGTGATCAAGAAAGGACAGAGATCGAGGAAGGTTCGAGAGAGAGAGAGAGAGAGAGAGAGAGAGCGAAAAAGCGACTAGTTAGGGTTTGAGAGTCTTTTTTGTTTCTGATGTTTTATGACCAATGAGGGCAAAAATTCTCTGTTTTCTTCCGTTGGCTTCTCAAATAAATCAACAGCTTTTTTTTCGTGGGCTTCACGCGCTCCCTAAACACGGCCCAGTCTTCTTAATTCAATAACCTAAACCGTATTCGAACCGAGTAATGAATCTCTCTTTAACCGACGGTACTCAAAAAAGTTTTATTACATTAAAAAAAACAAATACAAAAAAGTCTTTAAAATACAGTAAATTACATTATGCTTGTCAAAACAAGAATTTTTATTCTAAGAAAACATTACATTTAATTTGTAAGACCGAAATTATCATAAAATGTAATCCGATTGAGACATGCCTAATCTTTCACAATTTAGTTGAAGATGAAACATACGATGATGATGCGTGTGTATATTAGAGAAACAGTGTTTGACGAGAAGAAAATGGAATAATAGTATTTTGGGGATTTGAGTTTGTAGACCTGCTCTTCTACAATGTAAATGATGATTTTGTCTCATGTATATATTCACAAATTTGAGAAATAAAAAACGTGATATATGAGGATAGATTGAGATAAATATGGTGTTTAATTCCTGACAAATATTGAAGGTAGATGATGCATATTGGACCATATATGTGATTTAGTTCTTGTGATATTGTTTTTTCTTGCTCTGTTGATTCATAATATATCAGCCGATGGTGATGAACCCAAATCCATCATTATGCGCAGTGTTGATTCATAATAAAACAACAACAAAATTGTATTTTAGAAAGACTTAAAATGGAGAGGAGGAACATTCAAGTGGGAAGTGGATTTTTTCATGTGTGTGAGTGTAAATGTGGGTGAGGAATAACACAAAGAAAAAGGGAGTGAAGACAACATCATTTTACCCAAAGAAAGCTAAGTCTTAGAATCATCACTCCAATTCCCTTTTTGGCCCCTTCTTCTCTCTTTTCTATTTCTTTCTACTTTTGACCCTTCACATAATTACCATCCTCTCTATATGCTTTATTATCACACCCTCATTACTCTCTAAACTAACCACTATAATTAGTAAAATATTAACCACACTAATTACTACAACTTGACCAATTAATCCCAGCTAACACCTTTGGACATGATTCAACACAAAAAAAAAAAATAAAAATAACTTAGTTAAAAATAATGATTTATACAAACCTCTAATTTCTTTTCTTTATTTGTAGAAAGTGATGGAGAATAAGAAAAAGAGAGCAACAAACTTTTAGAGGAAGTCATAGGTTAAAAGCCCCATAGCTTTTTCTTCCATCACTTTCATTCTTCTCTTCTCATTCTTACAAACTTTGAGAGAGAATTTAAGAGATCTTGATCAGATCTTTTCTACTTGTGAAAATCGATTCTAAATCTATATCATATAGAGAAACTCTATATATCTTGAAGATTCAGAAGAGATGGGAAATTACTACTCTAGAAGAAATTCTAGGAAACACATCACTACTGTTGCCTTGATCATCCTTCTTCTTCTTTTGTTTTTGTTTCTTTACGCTAAAGCTTCATCATCCTCTTCTCATAATATACATCATCACTCAACTCATGGAAGCTTGAAGAAACCTGGAATTTTCGATCCAAAGCTTCATGATCTTGACTCCAATGCTGCGTCAAGAGGATCAAAATATACTAATTATGAAGGTGGTGGTGAAGATGTTTTTGAAGATGGCAAGAGAAGGGTTTTCACAGGTCCTAATCCTTTGCACAATAGATAAACTTTTGCTTTTACAAGTTTCTGTGAATTTTTGTCTGAATAAAACACATTTGTGCAAACACAAACCATATTTATTTACTTTTTTTCTTACACTGATATACACTATATTGTACGTTATCTGCCGTGATTGTAACTTATGTGTTCTAGGAGATCGAAGAGTGTTGAACAACGAGTCTCTGAAAATAGTAAATACTGCTTCTTGGTTTACTTGATTTAGTGTATTGATTACACGCATAATTATCTTTTCGACCCCTTGGTTTGAATATGAAGCTGGTGGAATTTCGTGTGGTGTGAATATTTTGATTATAATGATAAATGAACATCATTATAATGATAAATGAACATCATTGTTAATGCCAAATGAAAGAAAAGAAAAAAAAAAGAATGAACATCATTGTTGAATTGAAAGTATGATAAAGCTAATCGATTACAGAGTTGGATGTGAAAGATGTAAGATTATTACAGGCTATTTCATGCTTACAATATTGAATAAAATTGGTTGAATAGCATATCATTATTCTAAAGCTGTAAAAAGAGAATCTCATTGAGATGAGAAAAATCTATTTGACAATAAATCACTAACAGTAATGAATCACTGGTGTAAGAGAAAGAAATTGCAAACATAGTCAATGAAGAAATTAAACACAAATAATTTGGTACTATACTGTATAACCTTATTTACCTCGAGTCATTGACTGAATTTTACCATGACTATAAAATTTACTAGGTGTGGGAAAATGTAAGAAACAGAACGAGAGAACTGTCGTAAAATTGGAGATAAAATGTAGGGACAATAATGAGATTTTCGACATAAAATCAAAAAGCCAAAAAAAAAAAAAAGAAATTTAACATTTATAGATAACAAAATCAGTTGCAATTTCGATTAAATATGGAGAATTTGAGAAAGACTTTAGACTTGAAATCATAACTAGACGAACACGAGAAGATAATTTTTGCTCACTCATAAATTCATAATTACGATAAAGAAGACTTGAAGTGTCTCCACATGAACAAACTTTTGGAAGCACATTGTATAGAAGACACAAATTTAAGAGTTTAGTAAATATCGCTTTGCAGCTTCTGGATCCAATTCTTCATACACCTGAAACCAATACACATGAGAAGAAAATTTCCCGAGCATTAGTATTGATCTGCAATAAACGTCTTAAGAAGAAAATGTGCAACACATACAAGTTTCTTGTGGAGTTTCTCGAAAGCCTTGCAGAACCTCTCTGCTTCAACCTCACCAACCTGCAAGAATGAGATGTTCATTAAGAACTAGAAACAAGTTCATATCCCGGATAGAAGAACATTTCAGTATATGTAGTAGAATCAGAGATGAAACAAGAATCAATTCTTTCAGTAACAAGACATATATTTCGACCTCCATTTTCTGGCAAATCTCTTATTCACAATTGCACATCAGATGCAATGACTATGGGAAGACATTGTCTACTAAAATTATGAGCTACAACTCTATTGGTGAAAATTAGATTATAAATCTCATTCAACAACTAGAAACGTCGGAACAAAGTCACTGGTGATAGTTAGTTACCTTCTTCTCAGCAGCCGCTTTCAGCTTTTCCCAAAATTTATCTATCAAAAGAAATCCACAAATCAAGTTAAGGGATGCAAAATCAGGCAGAGAACAGACGATACACATGTTCAACGATATAGATAAGGAGCAAAAGGAAATTTTACTCATAAGAATCACAAAACCGCTTGCTTCTACAGCTTAAGAGCTAATTATATATGTGTATAAACAGTAGCATACAGATACCAGCTCTGTGTTAAGCAAATGCATGTATGAATAGGTCGAGATATTTTTTCACTAAACGAAGCATGGATACTTCATTGCAATGGTCAGATCATGTAAAAAAACATAGCCAAGGTTAGCTGAGGAAAACACATATAACAAAACTACAAACATGATATTGATAAGCTACAATTAAATCAAATGTCAGAAATCTAAGACATTCAGACAGGACAGTTTTACCAATTATCAACGAGGGTAATTCACCTTGTCTGTCTTGAAAACACAACAAAAGCTAACAAGTAGACATCAAGATTCCTTTTACAATCTTCTTGATAAAAAAAAACAGATAATATAGATTCATGATTAACCTGAGAATTTTTTGATAACTTGGTTCTCTGGTTTATTTTCGGGTAATATGGTTTGGGAGCTTTTAGACACATTTGATTTTTCTGTTTAATGAAGGAGACCAAAATCTCTTAGCTTTCTCTCTGAAATCGATTTCTCTTACATGATTTGAAAGAACTACTATACCCGACAACACTTTTTAGAACACAGGAAACAGCTGAAAACCGCTGGGAGCTAATGAAATTCTAGCCGATCTAACTAGCCAGTAAGCTAGTGGAAGTTAGTCAAAATCCGAAAGTAGGAAAAAAGACGCATACCTTGATCAGTATTTCGATATTGCAAGTCTTTCGGCTCAGCTACAGTCGGTGCATCGTGCCATTCACTTAACTGCGTTGAGTGATTCCAAGTTCCATCACATTTCAAGTGTACATAATATAACATCCGCAAATAAAGAAAAAGAAGCTTTACGAATTACGATCTCAGAGACTCAGACAGTACCTCTCGGTCCACAACTGACTGTGAAGTTGATTGCTTTGAAGAATCTAAATCAGTCTGAAACCAAACAAAAACTCAAATCAGATGAAATCAAACACACAGAGTAATGAATAAATACTGCATCAGACGAAAGATGATATAGAGTGACATTTGTAATCATGTGTTAAAACAATCTTAAGAAAACTCAATCACTGATCAATTTACTAAACCATAACAGAGAGATTTTCAGGACGAGAATCAGACCAAAGTGGAAAATGAACAGTAAAAGCCCTTTCGAAACATACACTACTCCAATTAGGGTTTATAAAGAAAAATCAAGTTCGCGGCAACAGTAGCAGCAGCAGCAAAAGAGAAAGAGGGAAGGAAGAGAGAAGAGAGAAGAGAGAATTTACACGGTGGTCGCGAGAGCGTACGACGGGGAAGAGATCGAGGAGACTACGAAACTCTTGGTCGTCCATGGCTTCCTTTTTCCTTGGATTTCTCCTCCGATTCTCTCTTAAATCTGAAGAAATCTTCTAATTTCTTTCTTCCCCTGGTTAAGGTTTTGGGACCCGTTTCGTTTTTTTTTTTTTTTTTTAAGTATTGAAAAGAAAAGGAAATTCTCATAATTAAACATTTTAATCTTGTAAACCCATCCCTTTTTAGTATTAATCTGATTTTAATTTATTATGGTCTATGCCATATATAAAAACACATATTTCTTTATATTTATTCAAACAGCAACATACATTTTTAGTTGAAATTGCAAAACACAAAGTCACAAACCACCTAATAAGAGGCTAAACATCTAAACACATGTCTTTATATTTCAAATGAGACTTTTTTTCTTATTTTTTCTCCCACTATACCTTAAAAGAGTTTTAAAAGGGTTTCTTTCTTCAAGTTTGCACACTGAAGTACACATTGTATGTTTCATCTCTTAAGCTAAACAATGGCGATAACACAAAGTTCCTCTGTGTTCCGCTCATCACGAAACTCATTGGATTGTATTGATTCATTCCTATGTTTAACTTAAAGCTTGCTGCCTGTTTAAACTTCTCATCAGTCGCAACCGGACCACATTCAAGCTTTAGTTTCGTCCCCTGCTTTAGTGTTTGATCGCTGTACACAAAACAACCATTGTTGCTCTCTAGTCTTAACGACACGCTTCCTGGCTTCCCATCAACTCCAGATACTAACCGAAAGCTAGAAGCTCCTTTGTCACTAGGAGAAGAAGCTTGAACCGTGAGGGAGCTATCAGTTGTTTGCTTTACAATCATGCCAGGGAAATCAAACGGCTCAAGCATGACCAGGCTTCCAATTAGTGCCTCTAGACCCGAAATCTGTGGTTTAGAATTATCAGTCACGAGCCTGAAAGTCGCTGCAACGGCATCTTGTGTCCCTAGCTCGGGTGATACCCTCATTGTGATGGTTTGGTTGGTATTTGACAACACGTAAGATATGTTTCCAGATTGTTGTGAGAGTGTGACAAGGTGACTGTTATAAGTTTCAGGTATAGGGGTTATCCAATTTCCAGCTTTAGCCTGAGTTGTGATGCTCCAGTCCCTGCTCGTGTGTCCGGCTAACAAGTAGGGGCCATAGAGTATGGCTTGAAGAGATGCGTACTCCGGACGATCATCTGAAATAATCACAAAATATTGTAAAAATCAGTTTCTGTTGTTATTGCTTTGTCAAAACAGAGTTGCATACAATTTATACACAATGATCAAGAACCATTTTAACTTAACAAACTCTACACAGTGTAATTGTGTTACCTTTTATAGCTTCGGTTCTGATACTCATTGGTAGCTCCATGGTTACTTGATCGCCAGATTTCCAGTTCTGTTTGATCGATAGGAAATTACCTACAAAGAACAAGACAGTTCCAATACACAATAATCAAACTACCTGATTATTAGTAAACTTTTGTTCAATTCCGGTGATATAGAAAGGTTACAATACACAATGCTCAAATCACCTGAAGTTGGTACTTTTAAGGGTTTCCCATTCAAAGATACTTTGGCACCTATAGAGTTAGTCCAAACAGGAATTCTTAGATTCAAAGTCGACTTCTTCGCCACTCCCTGCAAGAAAATTGGATCCATCAGACTCTTTCTTCAATGGAAAATGTTACATCATGTTCTGCACAAGTTTTACCACTTTGGAAGAAGAAAGAGTGAATGTCACACGCATGTACGGATCCCACGACACAACAGGATTAACTTTCTGAGATAGCAAAAGACCAGCAGATTTCCAATCAAGTGAGCTTGATATATATTGGGTGACATAAAGAGCTGGAGATGCACCATCTTCTTGAAAATATATGGAATCTCCCAGTTTTGAGAAGGATTCAATTCCTATGGAAATAAATAAAACAATGATTACCCTCACAATTTATCTGATTTTTGTATCTTAAAAAAATGTAGAAAACCAGATGATTGTGGTTAGAAGTTCACCAGTGCCATAGCAACACCAGAAGGAATCATAAGGTGTTCCCCAACCGTGATAAGTCACAGCCTTAGAAACACCTTGACCTAATGGGAGCATGTAGATCATCCGTCCGGGTTGGGTTCCTCTTTGAATTCCGAGCACACCGTTGGTCAAAGCGCGCTCGTAATAGTCTGCATAGCTAACCTCTTTTGTCCATCTGAACAGATTCCTAGAGACCTGAAGTTGTACAAGTGTTAATATGTTACGTTGAGCAAATGAAAAGAGGGGGGGAAAGTTTAAAATCCTACCTTGAGCATGTTATAAGTAGTACATGATTCCTCGTTTTCAGTTTGCAGTGTAGTCGCCATTCTCTTTGGATCTTGCCTAATGTTAACATCCCCAAAACATGGTTAAGATTTAAAACAAAAAGTCATGTTACAAAGAACCAAACTCTAAAGTCAGGTAATGGTAGTACCAGAACTCTCTGACTGATGTTCCTCCAGTTGCATAGCTGTGAGAAGCATTAATTATGTCCATAAAGAACATCGAGATTTCCTACAAATGCAGATTTCAGAATCAAGAGAACCAATATCTTCTTTAATAAACTTTTCTTGGTTACACTTCAATACCTTATGGAGTAGATCACCAGTGATTTCATACCGTTGTTGGGATCCAACGACGATGGGAATATGTGTATTAGCGTGGAATCCACTAATATCATCGGCCTGCAAAAATGCATGTCAAGTTATGTGACCTTACCATTCACATCTCTTCAAGCTAATCATCAAGTAAACTACCTGAATTGCGAGGACCCCGAGAAAGCAAGGCTTGTCAAAGAGATGTGCGAGAAACAAATACTTGGAATCTCTCTGCAGAGTCCAAAACACTATGATATAACACAAAGCTAGATATAACACAAATCTAAGGTTGCTTTTCAGAGTTTGATAAGATTTTAACTCACAGTGATGCTGTATAGCTGATAAAGAACATCATTCATGCCACCAGTCTCTTCATTTAGTGATTGATAATGTCGTTCAACACTGTACTTCGTTATCACATTACGAACACGACCATAAAAGTAATCAGCCATCCCTGTTGCCATCTTTAAAGCTTGAATATTCCCAGCCAACTTGTATTGATCCACCAGGCCGGCCAAAATCTGTCAAAATTAAGAGAGAGATGTTACTCTTTTGCAAAACATAAGCATGCCAATCTACATCTCAGTCAAATGGTCTGACTATTCACCTTGTGAATGGTGTAGTAAGGAGCCCAAACATGTGTTATAGCTTCAAACCGGTCGAAAAAACTGGAAGGAAAAGCAGAGAGATATCCTGTGCCAGATTTTTGCTGACATTCCGCTAAAGCTGAGACAAGAGCTGACATTTTCGCCTTGAGAGTATCATTATGAGTACTTGCCCACATATGAGCTGTTGCACTCAAATAGTGACCTTCAAAACAAACAGACAGATTTTTGAGCCATCGACTAAAAGGTCATTCCTTTAAGGTTCTATGCAATGTAAGAGTGAAAATCCTTTCAAGGGTCTATGAAATGTCAAAAGGTGATTCCTTTAAGGGCCTATGCAGTCTTAACGGTCTAATCAATCTACATACCAAACATCAAATCTCAAAACCTTTTCTTGCATACTAACAACAACATGAATCAAGAAACTGTATTTGAATTGAGGAAAAAGGCAGATGTTACCGACAAAATGGCCACGGAGTTCACTATCTGGTTTCTCCCATCCTCCATAGGGAACTCCAGAAGCATCAAGACCAGCAACTTTACGGAAGCTATAGGCTAAACCGTCAACATCCAACATCAATAGATACTCAAGGTTTGTCTGCTGAGCCCTCCAATGAAAGGAGTTGGGGTCGAGCCTAACGTCGTGCAAAGAGACATCCTTGAGAAAGTTACCAACAGAATTAGAGTCCTTGAACTTCCTATACAACATAGTCCAAGCAAATTCATCCGTCTCTTCTTTCAACATCTTCCTTGGCAACAAAGTAGACCAAGCAGCGTCATCAGTTGGAGTTAAATGGTAATGAGAGAACAACTCTGTCTTCAAAGTTTTGTTGTGTGATTGCAGAAGCTCGCTGTTCAAAGTATGCGATGAGAGCTTGGTAGGAATGTCTGTACACTCTTTCGCTACACAAACAAGAAGAAAGCTTGTGTATAATAATAGAGCAATGGTAATGATGACACCAGACTTCATCGTATCTTTTTTGTCTTAACAGACACAAAAATCACAAAAAAAAAAAAAAAAAAGTGTGTAACTAAATTTTCAGAATCCAAGATACTCAAAACTCATAAAACAGTTAGGGAGAGGAGATTTGAATTGGGAGAAGAGAATAATGTGAGTAGAGGTATTTATAAAGGAAAAGAGTTGTGAAGATTAAAGCAATGTTTGCCAAAAAAAGAATTCTAAAGATTAAAGCAATGTCTGTCTGCTAAAAAAAGAATTCAATCACGTGAAAGAGAAAAACAGAGAGGATTTGGATAAAAACAGAGGAGGCTATCTGGTTTGTTGTAAAAAAGAACAAGTTTTTTCGAGAGAGATGAGATCAGTGGGCTATTTTTGGTTTTCCTCGAGATGTTGAATTGACAACTAAACACCGGGTGGAGAACTACGATAATGAAAAGTGCATGAATGAGAATTTGGGTTTCTCCAGTTGCAGATCTGATCAAACCATTTTCCAACAGTAATGAGGAGACCAAGAAGAAGTTAGCTTTACTCCTCCTCATGCTCCACATGTGGGAGTCAACATCGAGCATGTACTCTACAATGCTCATCGCCGCCTGGTGTCTCAGGCTGTCCAGCTAGAGAACCGATAACGGGTGCATTTTGGGTAGTAATGGCTGAGGACAGGATCTGTCGCAAAAATTAGAAAGCTTTTTGTCAAAGTTCTTCAATAAACTTTTTGATCAAGGGATTCGACGAAATGCCTAAGAGAAAGTCGAGACACAAACATCAGCGATTCCGAAGATAATCTGTTGCCAACTGGTGATTATGGTTATGGGAACCTAAAACTGGTGATTATGAATCTGGTTATATACACATTGTTTTTTCCTTATCTCCAAAAAAATGATCCTTAAGAAAGTCACACATCCTCAATTTGACAACTTGAAGTAGGAAGAGCATAAAAACCCACAATGGACTCCATTTTATAAAAGAAAACCACACAAAAAAATTAGATCCGACCTCACTTTTACACACTGACCATCACAAACAAGACATGAAACTCAATAAACATATACCGAAAAAGAAGATGAGAGGGTATTTAAAAATCGGTAATATCAGCGTTTTCACTCACTCATGATCCAATATCTCTTCTTCATCCTCGTCTTCTTCATACTCACCTTCGTCATCTGCAGTTGCGTCTTGGTATTGCTGGTACTCTGAGACGAGATCGTTCATATTGCTCTCAGCTTCAGTGAACTCCATCTCGTCCATTCCTTCACCTGTGTACCAATGCAAGAAGGCTTTCCTCCTGAACATAGCAGTGAACTGTTCGCTCACCCGTCTAAACATCTCTTGGATCGATGTGGAATTCCCAATAAATGTTGATGCCATTGAGAGACCTCGAGGCGCTATGTCACACACGCTTGACTTCACGTTGTTTGGAATCCATTCCACAAAGTAGGAAGAGTTTTTGTTCTGTACGTTGATCATCTGCTCATCCACTTCTTTTGTGCTCATCTTGCCACGGAACATGGCCGAGGCTGTTAGGTACCGCCCGTGGCGCGGGTCTGCTGCGCACATCATGTTCTTTGAATCCCACATCTGTTGGGTGAGCTCAGGGACGGTGAGTGCACGGTACTGCTGAGACCCACGGGAAGTGAGCGGGGCAAAACCAACCATGAAAAAGTGGAGACGAGGGAAAGGGATAAGGTTCACTGCGAGCTTCCTCAGATCAGAGTTGAGCTGACCCGGGAACCTAAGACAGCATGTAACTCCACTCATAGTTGCAGAGATCAGATGATTCAGATCACCAACTGTTGCAATCAACCCATCACAATAGATTAGCAAACAGTTCAGCCAGAAGGAATCACAATTGGAGATCAAAACAAGGACGCGTTGTACCAAATAGCAACATTCATTGGTGCCCAAATCAGTGATTCAATTTTCACAAAACAACTGCAGAGAAGAATGGACATGGAAGGGACTTACAGCTAGGAGTGGTAAGCTTCAGTGTTCTAAAACAGATGTCGTAAAGGGCTTCATTGTCCAAAACCATACACTCATCAGCATTCTCCACCAGCTGATGAACTGAAAGTGTCGCATTGTATGGCTCAACCACAGTGTCGGAGACCTTTGGTGATGGGAAGACAGAAAATGTGAGCATCATTCGATCGGGATACTCTTCCCTGATCTTGGATATGAGCAGAGTTCCCATTCCAGACCCAGTGCCTCCACCAAGCGAGTGGCATACTTGGAAACCTGAAAAAATCATAAATACATATGAAAACCACAATTCAAAGGCCTTCAATAAACTTTCTTGAGTCTGAAAACATAAACGAAGAGTTTACACACCTTGAAGACAGTCACAATTCTCAGCCTCCTTGCGTACAACATCCAGTACAGCATCAATAAGCTCAGCCCCTTCAGTGTAATGCCCTTTAGCCCAGTTGTTTCCAGCACCAGATTGCCCGAAAACAAAGTTGTCGGGTCTGAAGATTTGACCATAAGGTCCAGTTCTGACACTGTCCATAGTACCAGGCTCAAGATCCATGAGAATGGCACGGGGAACATATCTCCCGCATGATGCCTCGTTATAGTAAACATTTACACGCTCCAACTGCAGATCAGAGTTTCCAACGTAACGACCAGTTGGATCAATCCCATGCTCATCACATACAACTTCCCAGAACTTGGAACCAATCTGGTTCCCACATTGACCACCTTGAATGTGAAGGATTTCTCTCATCTTCTATTTATCTGAAATCAAATTGCACAAACAATAAGAAATCAACATTACATGAACAAAAACAGTAAACAATCTGTATCAGATCCGAATGAAATTAGATCGAATTTCAACAACTAAATCTCGAGATCGAAGATCAAACATGTATCAGATCCAAAACAATCAATCCAAAAAATCACAACGCCGCACAGAATAAAACTCCGATTGCAAATTCTTCCCGGAATTCAAAACGGCAACACATTTTTCAAGTGGTAGTAAATCAAAGTTCAAGTTAAGAGAGCAAATATGAAACAGATCAAGAGCAGATACAGATTTGGAGGAAGACGATTCGATCAAAGTATCACAGTAAGCAGTAGGAGTTCATAACTTCATTCGCTAGGTTTCGCAGCTCCCAGAGAGGAAACAATATATAACGAGACTTAGCAGAGTGAACAATAAATACCTCACGGTGCAGAGAATCCCGGCGAGATTGGGACAATCGTCGATCGAAGTGAGACGGGTGAGAGTGAGAGAAGGTGGATTTATTTATGAAAGAGTAAGAAGAGGGAAATGTAAAATTGATCCAACGGCTGTGATTGGTTTAGTCTATCGGAAGCTGGATGCCGTTGGATGGTGAGATATCAACGTAGTAGATGGCGTTGGGTGAGAGATGTGGGAGCTACTTTGTGTTAATTGGATTGTGATTGTCGGTTCGTCCAATTATTGTTGTCACATGAATAGTAGTAAATAAAAATCTCTAACATTGGACCATTGGTCTAAAATGTAAAATATAAATATTTCGGTTTAATGTCTAATGATTATTATTGTTTTCCCAAACGCACCTTAAAATTTAGAGAAGATTTTTTTGGTTACACGTCAAATACATAAACAAACTCATCGAAAGCCGTAGGAGCAATACCCAAACCAACTCTTCACAAAATAAGGGAATTGATACCTCGTATGAGTGTATGACAGTATAAAATGTCTAAGAACCACGAAAAAAACGAAATTGGTCTAATTGAGTACGACGATGTGATGAATAGTAAATCACCGTACCATGGTGGGAGAGTAGACGAATTCTTAATGTTTTATTTCGTATATTTACTAAGAGATTTAAGTTTAGGTAGTCTGTCCAACAAATAAATTTTAAATCTTTCTGATGCCAAAAAAAAAAAATTAAAATTAGATCTTTTTTTTGGTCAAATATATTAAATTAAATCTTTCTTTGCATGCATGTCATAGCAAGACGTAATATGAACTATATATACAGAAATTGTTTTTTTGGTCCATCATCTACACTTAAAAATTCCATGTATCATCTAAGTTTAATTATGTATATGAACTATGAAGTTATAGTGAAATCTAGAATTCTAATACGAGAGTTGAAGAAAAAAGTTAATGCATATTAATAGTGCCGTAGTTACGAGTTACGGCGATAAAATGATCTAAAACACACGCATTGGATACTCTCGTTTAGATTAATAAATAATTACGATGCTGCTACATTGCTTCTTTGAAACCCTTTAAATATTCTATTAGTTCTTACATCTGTCGATCTACTGTCAATCAATAAATTCATCATGATTCACGTTGATCGGTTTACTATTCAGCAAATCTAAACTAATTATATTAATCTGCCAACTTTGTCCTTGCTTGCACAACACTAAAAATTGATGTTTCAATGGTTTCTCGCTTACTACTAAATATTCCATGGAACAATCATGCTTACGTTTCTATAACAATGCAAAAGAAAACCCGAAATCAAAAGCTTTAACGAATGATATCAATAACAAAACCAATGTCCTTATCTCACCATCATTTATGTCATATATAGACATTCAGTACAAGACGTGATAAATAAATTACGCTTAGAAAAGTGTTAAATAGATCTGATTAAGGGGGCAACATCATTGTAATTAGGAGAAATTAGAAGGGTGCAAAAACAAGAATATATGTGTTGGTCTTGTAGAGATTGTGGATCCGAATCGGATAGTGACAAAATGGGATGTGGAAATAAAAAAAGAACAATGCACATGATAGCCACATTGCATCCCATGTGACATGTATGAATGAATTGTTGGTCAAATGGGTGTTCCTATGATAAGATTGTTGTTGTGTTTCTTAATAAATGAAGATACGAATTCAATGGATCATCTTAATATAAGCACAGACTCAGCAATGACCAAAACATTAGGCAAAAATACTAGACTTAGTTAAATACTAGTTTTAAAGCAAGAAAAATAATACTAGCCATCAATGGGCTCAAATATCACACATCCATTTGTCCAAGAACTCTAATCGGTACGGACAATTGATTCCCAAAATGCAGTCTCCTCCAAATGAGCATATACGCCCAAAAAAATGACTCTCAACATTACTTGCAAAGGCTGTTCCACAGCAGCAACAACAACCTCTCTCCTTTCGGCACTGAGATCCCACATGTGGATCGGCCACGAGTGGGAAAAAAATTCAAAAGAAGCTGATCGAAGACATGCACAAGATTAACATAAACTTTTTCAAGAGGGGTGGAGGGTGGAAATGTGGAATAAACGAGGGCTCATGCAAAATGCAACTTGGAGTCATTTAGCAACTCTTGTGAAATCGGTACCTCATCGTAAACATCAGAAATGGGATGATCTAGATATATATGATCTACAAAACTATCAAGAAAACTATTCTGAAGATCTCGGAGCTGAGACTCTATCTGAAAGGTTAATTAAAGTAAATAATTTTTTAAGAAATTAGATTGAGTAGAAAACGATGATAATAAACAGATAAAAACTAACTTGGCTAATATTTTATATTATCTGACATATATATAATTAAAAATCAAGTAAACTTTACTTTATCTAATATATATAGTATTATTAACGTAATTAATTTTCTATTGTTCTCTTGGATTGTGAGACTATGAAAAATAGGAACAAATTTCTCTTTGAAGAACTATTATTGAGAGGAAATGAAGTGATGGTCAATGCACCTCCTTAAGAATTCAACAAAACAAAAACATAGTTAATTAGCTGAATTGTAAGAGCAATCCAACCATGGAACACTAAAACACTAAATTTGGTATTTTGGTGTTCCAGTTTTTTTTTTTAATCTCCAACCATAGGCACCAAATTTTACACAAAAAAAAAAAACAAAAAATTTTGTTATTATATTATTAATTTTAAAATTCTCTTTATTTTTTAATAATTTGATAAACACTATTTATTTTTAAAACTGATTTATCTTAATTTCATTAATATAAAATTACAATCGATAAATTTAAATAATAAAATATAGATTACATTGTGCTAATTCTCAGAATTATTTAAAAAAAATTGTGCAAATTATTATCGTATATTAATAATAATTAAAAGTTCATATTATTAGAAATGAAAAAAACAAAATATTGATAGTATAATTGTGTTTAATTGATAAATAACAATTAAAGATAAAACTAGATAAAAACACAAATAAAATAATTATATTTTTTTAGTGTTTTGTGAATAGTCTTACATCATATTTGGTGTAACAATGTTCACAAAAAACAAAAAAAAATAGAAATACTATCTATTATAGTATTTTCTTGAAGTTGAATTATCACTAAATTTGGTATTTTGGTGTCTCCTAGGAGGTGCACTAAACATTGGTTTTGCCGTTTTGCTATGAAGACCAAATTTGTAATTCTTTTTTAAATTAAGAGAAAAGTTTAATTAAAATAATCGTCATCTTAAAGGTTAGAAAGGTTGGAGACCAATTTATCCTTGATTGGCCCAGATATCAAACCGTTAAAAGCACATTCTTGGCAAGTGCAATGTCCGCCTAAGATACGTCATTTCTTATGGCAAATTTTAACGGGTTGTGTACCAGTTACGGAAAATTTGCGGAGAAGAAGAATTGATTGTGACACAGGTTGTACCAGATGTGGCGAACCAGTGGAAACAATCAATCATACACTCTTTCAGTGCCACCCGGCACGACAGGTTTGGGCACTTTCCCAGATTCCTACCCCAATGGAAATTTTTCCAACGGAGTCTATTTTTGCGAATTTGGACCACTTATTTTGGAGAATACCTTCGGAATTTGATTCTTCAGCCTTTCCATGGATTATCTGGTATATTTGGAAAGCAAGAAATGAAAAAATCTTTGAAAATATTGACAAAGATCCGTTAGAGGTATTACGGTTAGCGGAAAAAGAAGCACAATTGTGGCAGTCAGCCCAAATCGAGCTTCATCATGAAACTAATGGTATTGTGGATTTGGTAAATCGTTCTCGAGTGGGGGATGCTTTACTTGATTCGAATTATTGTGGATGTCGTTGCTTTGTGGATGGATCGTGGAAAGAAAGTGATAAGTTCTCCGGTATAGGATAGTTCTATACATCATCAACCGGAGAGCCGCCAACCATGGGAGCTGCCAACTTCCGTAGAAGTCTATCTCCATTACATACAGAATTCGAGGCTCTTCTCTGGGCGATGAAGTGTATGATTGGTGCAGATAATCAAGAAGTGGCGTTTCTTTCAGACTGTTCTGATCTGGTGAAGATGGTGTCTTCTCCAACCGAATGGCCGGCGTTTTCAGTGTACTTGGAAGAATTCTAGAGTGACAAGGAAGAATTCTCATCATTTTCTTTATCTTTAATTTCTCGAAATGCTAATGTAAAAGCGGATAATCTGGCACGAAAAATTTGTACAAAACCGCTTCATATCACATATGTAAACAACATTCCTCAGGAATGGCTCTTTTGAGCTATAATTAATTTCGGATAACAAAAAAAAAAAAAAAAAAATCGTCATCTTCTTTCTTTTTTTTTTTCCGCATATGGAGCCGTGTTTTTTTTTTTTTTTTAATTTGCTAAGCCTTTTTCATGGTTTCTCAATCGAGAAGTAGAAACCTAACAGTGAGATCCATGGCGATGGTATTTGCACAACCCAAGAAAAACTTACTTCCTCTCCTTCTCTTCCTCTTTTGTATCTCCTTCATCATTCTCCTCGTTCTCGTCTCCGAGACCACTCGCTCTAACGCCGGACGAGGAACTACTTTCCGGCGAAATTACAATGATCCCCCTCCTTTCACTTTCCTCATCAAGGTTCTCACCTTTAACCGTCTCTACTCTCTCTCCCGCTGTCTCAGATCTCTCTCCGCCGCAGACTACGGCGTTTCCGGCGACAAAGGACGCATTCACCTCCACGTCTACATCGACCATTTCAACCTCGCGCGGAACGATACACCTGTGGAAGATAACTTGAACAGCGCGAGGGAAATCCTAGGGTTTGTTGATAGATTCGAGTGGAGATTTGGGGAAAAAGTAGTTCACTATCGGACTGATAACGCTGGATTACAGGCGCAGTGGCTGGAAGCTTGGTGGCCGAGCTCAGATCACGAATTCGCCTTCGTCGTTGAAGATGATCTTGAGGTTTCTCCTCTTTACTATGGAATTCTGGAACGCCTGATTCATAAATACTACTATGATACTTCTAATTTCAATCCTTCCATCTATGGAGCTTCGCTTCAGAGACCAAGGTTTGTTCCAGGTACCATTTTCTATTCTGTGATTCCGCAATGGAGATCGTAGAACAAACCTCCAAAAATTTAGGGATAGATGATAGAAAGAGATCGATATATACATTGTAGTTGAATCTGGTGATACATTGTTCAAATAGAGAGTAACGGAAGTTGATTGAAGAAGCGTAATTCTTATATGTTTCTTGGATATACATTTCCCAGATGATAGAGCTATGCAAGTGTAGATCAGTAAGAAGTAGGGTACATGAGTTTGTTAGTTCCTAGAAATGTCTTAGATAGTGACTGAATGATTTAGTGGTCAACTGCAGGTAAACATGGGAATAAACTACATGTAGATCCCAAAACGAATCTGCTCTTATATCAGTTAGTGGGAACTTGGGGACAGCTTCTCTTCCCAAAACCGTGGAAAGAGTTCAGACTATGGTATGACGAGCACAAGTCGAACGCCAAGAAGCCTTTCCTTGATGGCATGGTAACTTCAGGGTTGTACTTTCTTCTTGGTGGATTTCATTTTTCATAAATTCGAAGTTATATGTCATTTATTATCTTCGTGGATGTTTTTCTCAGGTGACAAATGGATGGTACAAGAGGCTGGGAGAACGAATATGGACACCTTGGTTCATAAAGTTTGTTCATTCTCGTGGCTATTTTAACATCTATACCAGTTTCCCGAATGAGGGGGCTTTAAGTGTTTCTCACAGGGATGCTGGTGTTAACTATGGAAAAACCGCTGGCCCAGACTCACAGTTATTGAATAAAAGTGCTCTCAGTTCTGATTCTCTGAAACTCCAACCCTTGAGCAACCTTAAGTGGTACGATTTCTGTTTCAGTGAAGTTGTTCCTGGTAGAGTTGTGAGAAACCTGAATGAACTTGGCACCATTCTTCCTTCCGTGCAGAGTGATAAAACCATAATTCTGGTCAGTCTATATGGTGCAGAGAAGATGTTCACCAGGAACTTACTCTGCCATTTCGAGAAGCTTAATACTCAAAACCACATTTTTATAGGCCCTAGCTCTGAGTTGTTCTATGATCTTTCAAGAAGGGGACATCCTGTGATTGATGCGGATATGCTTCTCGACAAGTTGATCAAAAGCAAAACTTCTTATCCAAACTCAGTGAAGGAGGCTCTGGGCAATGCTTTCGTTGTCAAGAAATGCTTAGAACTTGGATACAGCACCTGGGCATTTTCAAGTAACTCGCTTTTGGTTGATAAAGGTCCTCTCCTTGACAGAGTTAGCGCAGAGTACGACATCTATATCAGGGAAAGCTCTGGAATTTTGATTGTTCAATCTTCATCAGTGACTCAAAAGTTATGGAGCAATGAGTTTCTACACAGCATCACCTCCGCAGCAACTAAGAATCCGTCCCTAAATCAAAGTCTAGATTATATTCATTTAGTGAAAGAGCTAGTGGAGCAAAAGGGCAAGAGGATTAAGACCGTAGAGACAATGGATATTGCAGAAAATACCAATGCCAACAGCGTAAACCAATCGTTGGGAGATGGCAAGCCGGTGGTGTATTGGTCTCCTAAGGTTGCTCCCAATATGATTCGGTCAAAGCTAGAAGAGTTGAACCTGTGGCTCATCGATGACGATCTCTCTTGCAAGGCCGTGGTTTGTCATAATTCATAACGTAAAAAACATATTGGCATTTTCTGGTGATAGGATTGTGACAATTCGTTATTTAGTTTTGTTGAATGTTATATAGATCTAATACCAGCAACCAATGGTACTCAATACCAAGAATAGATTGTTTGTTACCCAGCAGTTGGAGTTTAACTAACATGCCAATCTAAACGCATTGTCGACCGACTCTGTCTAGCGTGTGTAATGTGCATTATAGAAGTCATCGGTCCGTATAAGTTCCAACAACAGTGACACATGATGAATTTTTTTGGCATTATAGAGGTTTCATCTGTTTTTTTTTTTTTTTACGTTTATACACATACTAAACCAAAACCAATGTCATCCAAGGCATATTAATTCAAATACATATAGTTTGCACTCAATTCGAAGTTTGTGTTTGATTTTGATCCTAATAAAGCGCCAATAATTACAACCAAACAAGATCACAATGAAAGAGAAAGGTACCAAACAAGATCACAAAATTCTACATAGTATTATATCTGGAATAATAAGTGAATCAAATTTAATAATGATATGTCGATGTCAAAAACAAGAACTATACTAAATGAGAAAATTACTTTTTGATAGATTAACATATAAAGATGCGTGAGTCACATTTCTTCAATGAAGTTTTGTCTAATATATTTATGACAAACAAGCACTGTTATACATGACTACAGAAACATTTTAATCTGGTCAAACCGTACGTGCAAAATTTTGATTTCACTTTATTTAGGACTTTGTCACCAATATCATGTACCTAAATATGTGCCAACTTTTGGCTTCGAAACAAATAAACATTGTGTTAATTGGTCGTATCATCTAAAACTTATATAAACTCCTATCACTATTATAAAGTTAGCCTCGTGTTAATTGGTCATACCATCGAAACTTCTAAACAACTACTATCACTATTAAAATAATCTTGTGTTAATTGGTCGATCGTACCATCCAAAATTTGTTTTATAATTAATGCTGCATTATTAAGTTTTGTTTGTTTGCTAAAGAACGTAGCATTATTCATTATTATGTTTATATAAGTGAACTTTGTGGATGTACATGAATCACGACAGAGCGTCACCTCCACTCTCACTAATTAGGAAAAGATCGATGGCTCAATATCTATCTATATCTACTCATGACCGCGTGTCCGCGTCTCCACTCATGATACCATATTGAAGACTTTTCTCCATGTTACAAGTGCATATGACTATTCATCAATTCATTGACCACCACACCATGCTCACGCTCCTGATATGTTTTACGCCAAAAAACGGGCCACCACCAAAATGTTGATGATGATGATCTTTTTCAACTTAGCTTTCTGACGAGTTCCGTTGTTCAATACCAATATTTCCATCATAACTCAAAAAAGTTAAAAGAGTCCAATTCAATGAGCAGATTGGTTCTTGATCAAAGGTGCTTCACTTGCTGAATGGTTGCGTAAAATAAGATATTTTCATATAAAGACATGCATGAACTCAATATATAGAGCTTATTTCCTCGATTTTGAGCCGCAGATCATCGTGATGATTTAAAGCTTTGTAAATCATGTCATGGGAATTTGATCGACTCAATAGTCTTCTTTCCATCATGAGGTCTTCCAAAAAAACCCTTCAAATAGTCTGAATACACAGTCTTTCTATACCGAGCCATCTCATTGTTCTCTAACACCCCTGGTAACGGCTCAATAACCGAATCATGAACCGGTCCGCAGAAAACCGGAATGGAAACCCGGCTACAACACTTATTGACCACCACACAATGCTCCACGCTCCTATACCTATCATTGCTCAATATCTGTAATACATCTCCAATATTAACAGCAATTGCTCCAGCAATTGGAGGGACATTAATCCATTTGTCACCATCCTCGGTGGCTCGGGCGTAAAGACTGCTTAATACACCGTGTTCTTGCAGGAGGAGAGTGATAGTGTTGATGTCTGAGTGGCGACCAGTTCCTATGGCCAGGCTTGGCTCAGGACATTTCGGATAGTAGTTGAAGTTCATTCTCATTGTTCCCATTAGAGTTTCTTTATTGGACTCGTCGACGACTGAGTTTAGATTGTTGATGAGTATGTTTAAGATCTTCTCTGTAATTGGTTTGATCTTCTTGAAGTGGTCTATCACTTGTTCCCTACCCACAGTTATTAATTCCAAACACTACTTAATTATGTACTTTCTTTTTTTGGGTTCAAAACACTATTTATGTACCTACACAGACTTACTTGCAGACGGAAGGCCACGTGGCAGCGAAGTCGTGTCGTTGAGGAAGATACTCAAACTTGAGGAAATCTCTCCATTCCAAAACTCTCTCCTTGTAAGGATTGAAACTTGTGGTCAACCACGCCGTCTCCGACACCGAAGTCCCTCGCCAATACCTTCTTCTTTCTTCGGCCGGCAACTCGAAAAACCCACGCGCCGCCGCAATCACACCCTTCAACTCCGCCGGAGCTATCCCGTGGTTCACTATCTGAAACACACCCAACTTTGTCGCTGCATGGCAGATCTCTCTAGCCAGGTGCGGGTCATTCCAATTGGACACGTCAATGACCGGGACAGGTGATCCGAAGAGGATCTTGTCGGAAGTGAAGCGTTCTTGAGGAGGTTGAATGTATGGAGAAGGAAGTGTGGTTAGGGTTAGAAAGTCGACGAGTCCTTTCACTCCATTCTTTTGGTTCACCACGAAATCTTTCACTTCGATTTCGTCGGTGGTGGGACTCATGTTTTTTCTTCTATTTTTAGTTTTAGTAGTTAGAGAGTTGTTTTACTACTAGTCATTACTGGAGAATAGGGAGTAGATGATATGGATTATGGATGCTATTTATACACATGAAAATATCATGGATGGTTTTATTGAATATGAAAAATGTAACTATATCTGATGTTTTATGATCTCTACTACATGATTGGACAACCGATATTTTTAAGTTAAAGTTGAAGAGAAGAGCATTTGTTTTTGTTATTTCTATTATGCAATATTTAACAGTTGTCCTATATAAGAAGCATTTGATATCACTTCATACTTTTTTTTTTTTTTGAATCTAATATCACTTCATACTTTAATCATGTATATACTATATACAGTTGCCCTACATCTCCCAATATGGCATTATTTATTCGAGTATGAAAATGGAAACTTGACTATTCAGTCTCACCAAAAACAAAACAAAAAACGAAATTTCGACAGGGTTTCACGGGTGTGTGTGCTTGAGAGTGACTCAACCACACTGATCAAAGAAGCCATTGGAAATTGGAATGCCAGAGGAATAGCATTGTAGAGTATATCTTGGAACAAGTTTATTTTATTTGTTTTAGCCTTGACATAAAATATCTCATCTCGACTCACCGTACATGGGACGAGACAGAAATTGGATATAGAAACATTGAAGCCAAAGCATACAAGACCACAAAACAGGTTTTGATATCTTAAATTGCAGCACAGATCATGAATTTCAAAACTATCTCCTATGTGTAACTTTGTTTTACCATTTCAAGGAAAAAAGGTTTTGGCTTGGTACCAAAAACTCTAAAGTGGGCCTCAAGCAAGTATTCCTGGAGGAATGATTGAATAAAATCGGCATTTCATAAAGCAGATTAAAAACCCGAGATGAGTTATTGTCGCTTGAGAGTGGGAAGCAAGCAGTCATAAACCGTTACTAGTCGTTGTGTCACTGTTAGCTTGTATGATGTTTGCTGCTGTGGCCTTCCTAACTCGATCAGATCTTGTTTCACTCTGTTTATAAAAACACATCAGTAAGTTCAAGCACACACATAACCACTTTAACAAATAATGGACTTATGATAAACTGAAAGCTAATGGCAGCCTCAATTTAATAAGCTAATTGATGGGATCAAAGTAAAAAACTTACAAATCCCACTCGTCAGTTGCTCTTGCAGGTTTCTCAACAACTCGATACAAACGTTCCAGGCTGTATATTAGCAAGCCAAATACGGTTTCTGCGTCCTTATCCTGTAACAGCATCAAGAAACGACCAGAAATTTTTTCACAGGATTTCTTACAGGACCCATTTGCAAAATAATAATGATTCAAGATAAAGGGAGAAAAGGAGAATAGTGGACATCTTACACGTCCTTGCTCAATGTAGCTCTGATACTGCATAATTCTCTTTTCAATTTCAACGACTAGTAGTCTCCTGTGAATACGAGCAATTCTTCCTCGTCCTTGAGCTTTGCTGTCCTGTTTCATATCAGTGAAATCAAACTGAATAAAGATAACAAAACTATAAAAAATGGATCAAATATATGTATTTCTGTCACATTTGGTTTTCCTTGAATTATCACTATCCTTACCTTTTTAAGCCAGGTCCGAAGCACTGTGAGCATAACTATGCTAAGAAAGAATGCAGGTAATGCAGCCAGAATGGCAAAATTTATTTCATTTGCACGGAGTATCTGATCCAGTTCAAGCATCGCTCTGCAGGAGAAGATTATTCAGATTTATACAAAATGAGTAAGAGATCTACTCTAGTTAACTGAGAGCTACTGGTTTAATGAACTTACGTTTCTATATCCAGTTTAAGCTTTTGGACCTGAAAGATAGAAAATTCTGATGTAATTCGTATTTCACAAACCATAAACTATAGCTTCATGCCAAGAACTTCAAATTACCTGAATAAGCAAACCACGGGCAAGCTCTCCGCTAAGGAGGTTGTGAATAGGATGCACAAGTTCCTTTTCATACCTGCAATTAGAAGGTAAAATTCAAATTCATACCACGAAATTTCACATGAAATCATTTTACCAAGTCTAACGTGGTTAGTGAGGCTGATGACCAACATAGTCATGAGGAAACGTCTTTCATTACCCAAGATTGGAACTACTAACAATTATTTGATTGCTTACATTAATGCAAAATATTCTAATGCCATGTCATGTGCCCTTAACTGCCTAAGAAAGAGTAAGGTTCAGAGTTGTACCGATTCATAACAACCTCGAGCATCTCCTGATCAGATGCATTATCCGGGACCTTTTCACGTGTAGCCTGCTCGCAGAAATTCCTAAGCATTCTGCATAAAATAGAAATTTGTAAGACGTACTAAATAAATGGTTACTGAGATTTTTTGGTTAAGGGTATGTGAAACCCCAGTGATCCAAAGAATGAGATCAATAGAACAAGTGAATTGCTAAGGCATAATGAAATGGAGACGATGAACGCACATATACAACTACAAACAATCAGAGCTAGGATAAAAAGAATCAAGAAGGAAAGGAATATCAACCTATGCAGTGAATCTTGCGTCAGCTGCACTTCTTCAGTTTCCATAACACCCTTGTGCCTTTTCCGGAAAGTATCAAAAAGCTCATCCCGAATGGAAAGCAGCTGCAAGGATCAGGAAACTAATTCAGAAACTCCATGCTCTAAAAATCTCACGTAACAAACTAATAACTCGATCATTTTAACTTGTCACACTTTTATTTTGGCTCGGACCAAACTTTGAGAGTCGCAGTAGCTATCACTTTCTATTTGTATCTCTTAATAGAGTTTTATGCAACAAGTCATTTGTTGGAACAGGACAAAAAGTCACTTAAAATATTAGTAAGGTTAAGAACAAACCGGTTGCTCAACATGATCACTAAAGAAGCTCATCGTTGCTTCTTTTGCATCATGAACCCAATTCTCGATATCCGAACTTCCCATCAAACTACTGTGACGTAGAAGCCATATAGAGAAAACAGAGAGCCCAACTGCACCACACGTATACCGGACCCAGTACAGGGTCATCCTCCTTGGCTTCCGATGTTTCCCTACCTATATAAAAAGCAATGCAAGTAGGAAAACTGTCAGAGTTGATTTCAGGTGATAGATCTTTATCTTTACATGTTCATATCTGTGATAAAAAATTATGGCCAATGCTATATAAACTACAGTCACACCTACCATAACTGATAAATATGAGTTAAGTTTCTCCAAATTCTTATGCGCCAGGTTGATTGCATCTGTAAGTTCACAATCAGTCCACTGGGATCCTTCTTCATTAACTTCAGGCAGTCGATCAAATACAAGAGGCATTGGGTAACTTCCATCAACAGAAGAATCACACTGCAAAAGGGATGTAAGTCAAGACATAAAAGTAAGACTCGAGACCATCACGATATAAATGATCAGACAAATGAAGGAAGTGCCAACACAAAGTAAAAAAAGAGTGTGTTTACCTCACGCTCAGCATGCAAATGGCTGAAAGAACCCTCCAAGTTCGAAAACAATCCATTGATAACAGCCAACAATGATGGCAGTGACTTTTCTGGATTCTTCACAAGATCCTCTCCACGTTTATCCAATTCAACATAAAGCTAGAGAGCCCATTGAAAGAAGTGACATTAGTATGTCAAACATGTAAAACAATGCTACTCATGCACAGAACTTTATAATGGCGTTACTTATGTTAAAAAAAGGAATTAAATTATCATAACAACCTGAGCAAGAAAGGAAGCGAGTGCAGATCTTAACTCCACCAAGACCCGCATCCTCTCCGTCATGTGAGATGAAGATGACTGACAAAGATGCTGCATCGCAGAATCCTCACTGAGACTTTTGCTCACGAACTTCGTACTCTCGTTGACAAAAGCTGTTGGTCCTCTCTCAAAAATCATGAAGTAAGCTTTTCGTGCATTGGAACCCTGTATTAAATACGATCAAAATAATGCCACGAGAACCATTTAGAAGGAAGACTTCCACTACAAAATCCAGTGAAAGAAAAGATACATCTCATGGAATGTTCTGTTCACTCACCTCAGCTCTAGATCGCCAAAAATCTAAACTTTTCTGGATATCATGCAAATTCGAGAGAACGTCAGCCATAATTTCCTCCAAAACACCATGAATTCTAGCTGTATCCGCAGAGACATTGCTTGTAATTCTGAATATATCAAAATGTATCAGCTCAAAAGTCAAAACAGTCTCCATATCGTCATAACAGTATATAATCAAACAAACACGAAACTCCAGTAATCAGTTCCAAGCCACGATCATCAAAAAGTAATCAATGAAGGCCGAATAAAGAACACTAACTAAGAAAAGTACCAGAAACTCCCAAAAGAGATGAAAACAGAATCTTACGTAGAAGAATTTGGGAATTCGGAGGGCAGAGGAAGAGGAAAAGAAATACTTCGTTTTCTCGAAACTGTTTGGCGATAGAGATTGGAGATTTTCCCGAGAAAAATGGAATTGGAAGTAGGCAACAAGGAAGCAAGGCGATTCCAAAGGTAACTGGAATAAAAAGGAACTAGCTCTCCGACGTTTGACAGCGCCGTCGACGGGCTTGACTCGTTAGCCGGAGGCTGAGAATCCATTGAAGTCGACAATCAATTTTCTCAGTTCACCTCTGGCCGGGTTTATGACCGGAGACGGAGGAGCTAGTGCCCTTAATGTCGGTAAAAAGAGAATTGGGACAAATAACGAATTGAAATCCTTATTGGGCTGTTAATGGGCCAGGAGTAACTTTAAAATTTTGGGTTTTGCAGACTGATCTGTTAACACCGACTCACATTATTTAGATATTTGATTATTACTATTTTTAGGATCAGTTTTTCTCCCTGTTCTAAAAATCCCCGCCTAGCCCCGATTACTCCCCGCTTAATCGCTAGGCCCACCCTATCCGCCTCGATTAATGATTAATCCCCTAAAAAATCAGTAACCCGATTATTCTCCGCCTAATCCGATTACTTTCCGCCTAATCTTATATACCCCGATTATTTTTTAGATTGCAAGTATAAAAAAACTTTTTATTTTTGTTATTCAATCATTTGAATGGAGAGTTTGTGATGTTTTACAATAACTTGTGTTCAGATTTTAATAAAAATCATAAATTTGTAATAAAAATCATAAATTTTTACAATATTGGATTAATATATTTTAAAAATATTAAAATAACCCTAAAACTAATCCCCGATTAATCTCCGATTTTAATCCGATTTTCCGATTAATCGCTAGGCCCATGCCGAGCGCCCGACTAGCGCCTAGCGATTTTTAAAACAAGGGTTTTTCTAAACAAATTTATTTACATAAACGCACTTTTTTATTAGATTTGACATAAAAACACTGTCCCGTTTACTAAACTAGATTATATACCCGCGCGTTACGCAGGATTTTAATTACTTTTTTTTATTAATGTGTATTTTTATTATAAATATAATCATTCGAATTTGAAGAGATTTTATTTTAATCATTTGCATTCTTAATCCAAAGCTTAGAAAATAATTAGTTGTTCACTACATTTCTCTTGTTATCTTGAATGATTCACTCGTCGTCTCTCGAAATCTACTTTTTTTTCATTATCTAATGAATCACATGCAATATACTCGACTACAAATTGGTTCCCAAAACAGACCATATCTATTTCCTCTTTACTATATTTCAATATTCAAGTTTTTAATAAGTTTCATGGTCTTCTTCATTTAAGTGAAAGTTAAAATATATTGGACAGATATTTGTCATGAAGTTTCTTTAACCATGTTTTGGTGCATGTGAAATTGTTTTATAGAGAACAAATCTCGTATATGAACTCATTTCTAACCACGTACATCAGATTTCAACGTCAAATCTTGCACTTTTATCTTGATCATTTGAAAATATAAAATTCTCTTTTCACATATATAAGTTGACATATATTATGATTTTAGATAATATTCTTAAATTTGATTTTTCTAAAATGTGTAACTTACAAACGCATAAAAAATTATTCTAATTTTAAAATATTTTTTTTTCCAAAAACAAAATCATCTTTATTTCTAATTAAAAACTCTTCGATCTACCATTACTATCACTACTCTAAGTTCCAAATATCATTCTCAAATATTATTCTTACAGTTTTATTATTGATTAGATTATTTTATTTTTATTTGTGATGTCTAGAATAGTTTTTTTTGTTTTTTTTTAAAATCAGCCTAGTTTTTTCAATCTATGTTAATTTCCTAAACACTAATTAATATTTAATTTTTCCTTTTTAGCTATTCATTTGTTTAAAAACTACCATTGTTTCAATTTAGAAAATGTTACTTGTTTATATTATATTATAATTATAAATAATAATAGCACATACACAATTCTTCTTATATTTTAATCGGTATTATGAATTGATACTTTAATATTAACAAATATATTCTTAAATTTTAATTGAATATTATTTCGGAAATGAATTACTTTTTAGTTTAAGTAAGAACCTTTAAATTTTGTATTTTTTAACTCTTATTTTCTTTATTATACTAAATAATTGTAAATCTCAAAAATAATTATTGTACCGTTAAGATATATGATAAGCTTCTTTAGTTATATTTTAGTATTGTGGAAGTGATATTATTGTAAGATATAATAACTAATTTTATGCTTATTTAATATCTATTTAAAATTTTCATATTTGTTTAAAATATTTATTTTTTTCGTTTTCTATTAATATTTAATTTTATTTTTTGTAAATTATTATTTTTATTTAAGGAAAGATAATAATATGAAGTGTGTGAATGAAATTTAGTTTTAATTTTTTTTGTTTTAATAAATAATATATGTAGAGCCCACAAAAAATTAAAATAAGATGACATGGATGATGATGTGGACACCCTAGATGGAGAGAAAACTCTCTAATTATATATATAGATTAATAAATTATAAAAAAATGGGAGACTCACAAAAATGCCCCTTTTTCAATACCCCTTTTCAAAAATGCCCCTTTTGGATGTCCATTTTTAAAAATACCCCTTTTATGTACAAAATGACTAAATTACCCTTCTTTTAATAAAAGATATTATAAATATATAAGGAAATATAACAAAATTAGGTCCACAAAATACAAAATATTTTTTTGGCGGGAAAAGTGATCCCCCAATTTTTCCCGCCAAAACACTTGTAAAAATTTGTAAAACCTTTAAAATACCTTGTAAAATTTTCCCGTAAAATTTTTTCCCGCCAAAAAATTTTCCCGCCAAAAAATTTTTTTTGCGGGAAAAGTAATTCCGCAATTTTTTTGGCGTTAAATTTTTGGCGGGAAAATTTTTCCCGCCAAAAATTTACAAGGTGTTTTACAGGTTTTTTACAAGGTATTTATAAGGTTTTACAATGTATTTTAAAAGGTTTTACAACGTATTTACAAGGTATTTATAAGATATTATAAGATTTTACAAGCTTTTTTATAAGGTTTTTACAAGTTATAAGGTTTTACAAGTTTTTTATAAGGTTTTACAAGTTATAAATACCTTATAAAACCTTAAAAGTACCTTGTAAAACCTTTTAAAATACATTATAAAACCTTACAAAACACTTGTAAATACCTTGTAAAAAACCTTTAAAATACCTTGTAAATTTTTCCCGCCAAAAATTTTCCCGCCAAAAAAATTTCGCAAAAAAAATTGCGGAATCACTTTTCCCGCAAAAAAATTTTTTTGGCGGGAAAATTTTTTGGCGGGAAAATTTTTATGGGAAAATTTTACAAGGTTTTTTAAAGGTTTTTACAAGTGTTTTGGCGGGAAAATTGCGGGATCACTTTTCCCGCCAAAAAATATTTTATATTTTGTGGACCTAATTTTGTTTCAAATAAGGGTAAAATGGTCATTAAAAATTAAAAGAGGGCAAACTTAAAAATGGACTCTCAAAGGGGGCATTTTTGAAAAGGGGTATTGAAAAAGGGGTATTTTTAACAATTTCTCTAAAAAAATTGGTTGTAGGAAGATTATGTGAATCAAACATAGAAGAAGCTAAAATGTTAAACAACTTATTTGCAATGTTGTTGTTGATTCCATTAAAAGAATGCTCTGCTACCGTAAAACACACGAGACCCTTCTTTTTTCTTCTCCATTCCATTACTATTATTATTATTCTGATTTTGAATTGGAGTTGCAGTGTTGTTGTTGTTACTGTGATCTTCCTCGTGTGGTTTATTATGAAGATCCATGGGAAGCTTCATTTTTGCCAAAGACTCAGTGAACTGTTGCATACTTCTCATATACATCTCTGCTATCTGTTTCTGCATTGTTGTTTCTTCATTCATCTTTTTCTCTTCCTCTTCTTCTTCTACTTCTTTGTTTCTTCTTCTTGATACTTCTGTGATCTCTCGATTCTCTTTCTCGTTTGAATCTGCTGTGTTCTTGTCGTCGCTTAAGCTTGTTGTTGTTGAAGAAGAAGCCATGAAGCTTCCATTCCCATAAAGCTCTTTTTCTTCCGAGCACACCATTGATATGTCCGTTTCTGGTCCATGTGTTGAGCCTAGACAGAGAAAAGAAGCGGTTCCGGATTCATTGAAGTACTCTGTAACCATCTGTTTGTTCTCGTTAACAACATTGATGTCAGGGAACTCGATCCTCGTGTAATCTACTGTTTCAGAGACTTGTGGGTCAAGCAACACGACCTCGGAAGAAATCGACGTGGTGTTAATCTTGGGATTAGATGAAGAAGTAGAGGAAGGGTTAACAATGGAAAGCGTGAGCTTCACGGTACCAGCAGGGGAATGGAAGAGATCGGTGGAGGAAAGACTGTAGTCTTGAGTTACACTGTCTTGACCTATGATGTCTGAAATTGGGACAAGAGCGAAACCAAGAAGCTGATCTTCCATGTAATGTCTGGCTCTGCTCATCATCCAGATCTCACATTTGAGAACTGCAGCATGGGCATCGATCTGAGTCACATCGATCATAAGCTTCTGGTTGAATTCAGGGTTTTTGCCTGCTCTGTGGATGATTCTAGTGGAGATGGTGTCGTCAGGATTGTACGTGAGAGAGAATTTGGCGTAGACGTCTTGGTTATCGTAGATGCAGATGTTGTGGATGTTTCTTGCGTTGTGAACAAACACTTGGAGAACACCTGAGAAGCCTTGGTGGTAGCAGAACCCAGAAGAAGCTTGTTTCAGAGATTCCATAGGGGAAATAAACAGAGACAGATGATCAAAGAAAGAGAGAACCACGATAAAGCGTAGATGGTTTAACGTTTAAAATGAGTTTGAAGCTGAACAGTAGCATGACCTCAAAGGGAAGTCAAGAGAGAAAGAGAAGTGTTAGTGAAGCAAGAGTAGCTTTAGCTTTGAGGGAATTCAGGAGCATTGAATGGAAGAGGAATAGGGTGGTTGAGCATAAGAACCAATGGAACAAAAATATAGATAAAAAGAACATTATGATGACAAAGATGATGATTATGAAGACTGAGATGATGAAAATATCTAACCACACATTTCCAATGGAGCATTTTCATCAAACAACATCAAGCCAATTTAGACACTAACGACGATAAACGTTTATATTGGTCAACAAAGTTGACCTAGACTAATGATTCCATGGTCTTAATGGGGTAGGTAAGGGATTGAGATGTCTATTTTTCTGATCAATAAATTAAGAAGTTATGTTTTTTAGCTTTGATTTTGCTTGGCATTGCAGTCTACACCGCCCAAAAATTGGCCAAAGTCAATAGCAGACCCCACCAAAACCCACTCATCATCATCATCATTACCATAACCACTTAATCTTCATTCCATATGATCACTTCTCACATCATAAGCCACAGTATCTCTCACTCATCAAGCAAATGATCAAGAAAGTTGCAGACTAAATAAATCAAATCTAGCAAAGCATCTTAACGACAAAGATTCAGCAAGTTTTGTGGTTCTAACATTATTAGATTCTACTGATGTACAGATTCTCAAGTATCGAAGTCAATGGATTTGGCCATTTGGGGTTGGGGTGGGTTGAATGTAACTACAGAGATACAACCACAGTCACTTCCTTCCCAACCTAACCAAATGGGCCTCGTGCTTTGCAGCTGCTACTGCTTCCGCAGCTTTGTTTGCAGCTTCACGCTTCATTGCCCTCTTTGCACGCCTTCCTGTTATGGCACTGCTAGTCTTATCTTTTGGCTCACGTGAGGATGAAGAAGTGGGTTCAGAGCCAGAAGCCTGTCCACCTCGGTTCTTATGTTGGACCGGCCTTGCTTCTTGGCGGCCTGCCCTGACGAATCCATTGTCACCCCACCTCCGGTTTCCTAAACGAAGACTTGAACCTTGCATATAAAACTCGTCAAGGTCATCGTCGTCCTCATCCTCATACTCAGGTGGAATATCGAAATCATAATTGAAATTGTCATTGTCTGAAACCCGCTCCACTGCTTCCAGTGGCTGGAACCATGATGCCCTCAGGAGGAGGCATACACTCTCCTCGAACATGAAATCTTCAACGCTGCAATGATATATAACAGAAAAAATTAGTTGGAAACGAAGAAGTACAGAAAATGATGTAAAAGCAAGAAAGGCACAGCCAAGTAATTGGAGTTTAAAATGGAGCCAAATGTAAATAAGGATGGAAATTTTACCTTCCGTCGAGAGCGCGGTGGACATTGAGAAAATCAAATGGAAGCTTACATTGTGGGCAGGTAGGTTTCTCTTTGTAACTTGCCCAGCGGAGTATGCACGTCACACTATATATAGATAGAAATGAATCATTCCTCTTAAAAATGGAAAGAGAAATATCAGTATCTGTCCTATTTCATTTCTAATCAAACATATTCTGATCAAACGAAAGAAACAGAAAAACGTAATAGAAGGTCTACAGATTAAAGCAAGGCCAAAGTCGATTGTTAAGAAAACTGAGCTGAGAACTAAAACTGATCTAACAAAACAAATGTCTTAAACCACAAACAGTAACTTCCTCAGTATCAGACTAAATATTGATAAGAATGTCATAGAAAAGACTTATATACAGGCAAAATCAGATCATCAAATCAGCATCATTGCTCATATAAAAGAAAAAGGATATACTCTGAATAAACCAAGAATCGATCAGACGTACCAGTAAGCATGTTCACAGCCTTTAACCATAGCTGTTTCTTGAAGAGGTATTGTATCCAAGCAAATTGCACAACAGCCGCCATGGTTCCCGAAACTCAGCTCATTGAACACTTGTTGAGTCTTCTTTTCATCCTAAATACAGAAAACATCTTGAATCAACCTCGTTCATGAATGAATTATATAAGGGGGAGATCATTTATAAAGAGATTCATCAACATCATCCTAAAGAGTGTTTTGTTTCGGAAAAGAAACCAAATTCATGTACATAAGACACAGTTTCAACACCAGACACTCCACAGGTAACAACCGAACTACAAAAGACGTAAATCCTGAGCAAAGATCCCAAATTGAAGCTAACCCACGAACAACGAGATATCAGACCCAACATTCACGAAATCCCTAATTTCTCAGAACATTACATACATCAATTCAGAAAGGGAAACGCAGCATCAAGAATTCAAGAGCTAAAGATGGAGGGACTCAATCACAAATCAAAACAGAAACTTGATCTTCCATTTTGGATAAATTTAATTGATTCATAAGGGCAAAACGAAAATAAAACCTGATCTTGATGAAGAGACAAAACATCCACTTGCTGCTCATCAACGATCTGGATCGAGGAAGTCATAGCGCGAAAGGGAAAAAAAAAAAAAAAAAAAAAAAAATTTGGATTCCGGGAATCTGAAAACGAAAGACTTGGTAATGAAGATAAATAAAAAGTTGTTCCTCCGAAATCTATCCGGTAAGCAGACGAAAACCCTAATCTAGCAATCTGAGGAAGAAGAGTTGCGAGTTCAAAATGGGTATGAGAACGATTCGGTGACCAAAAGAATAAAGAGAAAAGGGATCGATCGGAATCCTCCGTAGGAAACGGCCGAGGAGATGTAGAAGAAGATGAAGAAGAGAAGACCCTAATTTAACGATTACGACTTCTCCACCAGAAAATCAAGCGGCGACCCAAAATAAAAATAATATTTATGCGGTGCTAAAAAATGTAAACTTTGATGTTTTTTTTATTTATTTTATTTAAATATGAAGTATAGTTTAAAGAGTTACAATAACTAAAATATGGAATATATTTGACCATTTTATCATTTTTATATACATTTAAAATTCATAAACCTTATTTGATACTCAGGAAAAAAAAAAAAAAAAACCTTATTTGATACTCCATTTTATTTTAATTACATAAATAAATATATAACAGAGCCAAACACAAAAAAAAAAAAAAAAAAAAAAAAGGAATCGGACAAATAACACCAGAGTAGAACCAGAAACCCTCAGATTGAAATTGGTATTGGCCGGTGGAGAATGGGAGCAGAAACAAACGTAGTTGCAGAGAAAGTTGAGGACTTGCTTGAGGTCTGTCTCCTTCTCTTCATCCCTAAAATCCCCTTTTACATAATCGATTCATGTCTCCAACTTTTGGGTGAGCTAAATTTGAGTTTATTTGTTTTTTTTTTTTTGTTAATTGACAGGCTGCTAGATACAATGATATTGATGATCTCAGAACCTTGGCCTCTGATGGTGTCTCTCTTGACTCTCGTGATTCACAAGGCCGAACAGGTTTCTTACGATCTAAAGTTCCAATTTTTCCAGTCAGTAGCTTCACTTTTTCTTTAATGCCACAGTCAGATGAGGTTCTTAAACTCTTGCTCAGATACTTGGAATGTCTAGTGAGTCAATTACTCGTATAGATATAGGAAAATTTGGAGTAAGTGATGCGAAAAATTGTACCTTTGGCTCTCATTTCATCTGGTTACTGTTTTTTGGATTGAGTAATATGTTGGTGTTCTTACTCTTATCCTTGTATATTTAGATACTCAGATTAAGGCGTTTGAAATGTATGTTTAACTATGGGAACGTTGTTTCTTTTATCTTTTGTTTGTCTTCATAGCCCTGCATATGGCCGCGGCGAATGGACATATGACTATAGTGGAGTATCTTATCAGTCAAGGAGTGGTAAAAACAACAATCCCTTGCTAATTTTGATTCCTTGACAATGTAATTTCTGGTCTTCTATCGATTGAACATGAATAAAAGAGAGATTATTGTGGCTTTGTTTTGGTGAGCAGGATATTAATCCTCTCAACGATGAGAACAATGCTCCTCTACATTGGGCATGCTTGAATGGCCGTGTTGAGGTGAGGTAACCATCACTCATGTTCTTGCTTGAAGATGTTTTGTTTCTCCGGTTTACTAAGTGGAAAGCTACTTACAGGTGGTGAAGAGATTGATCTTAGCTGGAGCAAGTCTAAGTCTTTTGAATCGGTCTGTCTCTTCAATCTTTCTTCTAAATCTATCGGAGGAACTAAGCTGAACCAGTAGAAACTTGAAATTTTTGTAGGTACGAGAGGACTCCAATGGATGAAGCCATTGGTGCGGAGAAGATGGAGATTATAGATGCTATTAACACAACTGTTGCACAAATGGAACTTGAAAATACCAGTGTGGCATGACTTTTCAGACATCGTCATCCTCAGCATCCTAAATGTTCTCTTTCCGTCCCTCTCTCTCTCTCTCTCTGATTTACAAGTGAGGTTTTGTATTGTGGGAGTGTTGGTTTGTTACCTATGCTAGTAGTTGTTAGAACTGGGATCAATAAAATTCAAAATTTTTGGTTGCAACACCCATAACCACAAACTTGTTCAATGAATTTTGGGCTGGACCAGTTTGGTTTTGGTTTTATTTGAATTTGATTTCGGTTTTGAAATAACGAATTTGCTATAAAGGATGGACAACGGTGGTGGTAGCCAGCTGCGGAGATGTAGCGACTAATAAGGCATATGTATTCTGTAGCTGCTTAGACTTTTATTTCCCTATATAGCTTCATTTGTCCTCTTTATATATCACAGTTTTAATTTCTTACATATTAATATCGTACTAATTTGCACATAAAACTAAAACTTGAACAAAAGACATTGATGTATCGACTCACTATCAAAGAGAACAAGATCGAAACCCAAATTATCCAAACAAGACATTGTATACACTAACTTGAGAAAAGGGCACTAGTGATGTATAGAATCATTACCAAAGTGAACGAGCTCAAAACCAAATTATCTCAAGAAGACATTGTCTACACTGGTTCATGCGTGCTATTGGTGAGCCAACCCAATGGCCAAGATTGCAAACGTACACAAAGGAGATCCTAATTCCCAAGTAATCAAAGAAAACATCTTAGACCATCCTCATTTAGAAGTCGATACACAAACATTATTTGTGCCTGCGGATGCAATAGCTAAATAATCTTATAACTTTTCTTCTTATATATCATGCGGTTCTTGAGAATTCTACTCTCGATTGGTTTGATTTCAGTGGTTTGAGATGGATAATTACCTTATGCATTTCTCGGTAATGCAAGAAAATTGGTACTATTGAGTTATTAAAAAGGACATTGTGATGTAAATGAAAATAATTTTTTTCATGGATAGATTTGCCTTAAACCGACATAGTATAAATTCGTATAGGGTACAATATACTTCAGTTTCCTTTGGTTCGCATACAAATTATTGTTTGGCAAAAATATGCATTATGCGCGTTTGAATTTACATCGACAATACTAGCTAATACTACAAACCACTAAACTACAGATCTGGATCCATGTACAAACTTTGATAGTTGATACCAATTAGATTTATTTGTCATCGGTCTCTAGTTTGGTGAAGTGTTGGACGTTTGTTGGATAGACTAGTAGTTGTAAGAACTGGAATCATAAATCCATCCGGAAGAATAAGATATAAAGTGATAATCTTTCGGTGCCCCATTCCTTCTTTTGTTTTTTTAACATATGTGCATTGCACCATTGCTTCGGTTATATTAGATAAAGTAAAAGTTATAATTACTAATTTTGGTTTAGTCCGAAGGGGAATGTATCTCTCTCTCTTTACCAAATCCATGCACCTAAACTTGCATTTTTTTTGTTTGGCCTTCACGTTCACGGTGTTTACGCACATGCCTCTCACTTTCTACAAATAGTTTCATAGTTTTTTGGATAAAAATCATTTGTTAAACGTTTTCACAGTTGGCAAAACATCATTTCGTAAACCTTTCGGTTCTGATGCAGACTGACGCTGTATGTCTCTTTATGTTAGATGTGATATACAGATAATTTTATTTAAATGGTTTTTCGTCAACATATTCCCCACTCTCTTTTTGTCAAGTAAAATGTGTCACGTAATATTTTAAATCAACAAAAATAAAATTGATTTGAATGTGAGGGCTTCAAATTTGGGGGAAAAAAACCAAGATGTAAGAAAATAATCAAGAAGTTTCAAAAATATCAAGATTTTGCTTAGTTATAAAAGTAAAGAAAAATCTCACTAGCAGTACTCGATCCAACATAATTATAGTGAAAGCTAACCATTTTTTATTGTTTAATAAATAAATAAATATATATATATATATATATATATATATATGTTTTGTGTTATGATTATACTATGTTTCCGTGTAATCATTCTACTGGATGGCAAACGACTTCTATATCATTAGTATAATAAAAAAAAACATTACTATGATAAATGAATGAATTATACAAGTCGTTTTGATATGATATCTCTCTCATAACTCATAAGTCATAAGTATTGTTAAAATAGTTGGTAACAAAGTATATACAGACATACAGTACTTAAACTTGAATGTTTCACATATCCTCTTCTTAAAATTAGATATATATATATATATATATATATATATATATATATTTATAGACCTTCTGATATACTAATTCTCCTGATCTTTAAATTTGTATGATTGCCAATGCGTGATGCTGTTCACCATAATAGCCACCAACGAAAAACCATATGTCTACACGTACAAATATATTTGGTTCGGTTTTTATAAGATTCATCTTCCACTGGTTGACAAACATGCTCATCAATATTATACAAATGTAACCAAAAGACATAAAATAAAGAGATCTGCGCGAGGTATCATTTTCTTGCGAGGAGGGGGGGCGAATATTACTACGTTCGAAAGTTCAAAAAGCCTAAACCCTATAAAGCCTACGACACTGTCGAATTTATTATTATTATTACTTTATGGTGGAGTGTTTGAAGGAATATATTGATTTTTTATTTTAATTTTTGGCTTTATTCCTACTACATAATACAATTGATAAACATATGAGGGTCGAAGTAGTTTAGATAATTTTTTTTTTTTTTTTTATAAACCCTATCGACTATTTGGTCGGCTTCGGTAGGAACGCACCAAGGTGCTACATAGGACTTGATTGGTTTTCCCGCTAGCACCCGCTTAGCGGTTGTTAGCGGTCGGTTGCGGTTGCTAGCGGTTGGTACCAATCATAGAAACCGCTCCACACCGCTTCGAACCGTTCGAAATCGCTGGATTTCAAAAGCTCCTTCCCGCAAGCGTTTGCGGTTGCGGGCGGTTGCGGTTGGTGTAAAAAAGGAAATAAACTAAAAAAGAAAATAAATAAATTAAAATATATATCATCATGTCTGATTTATATTCACGTTAATTCTAAAAAAATAATTATTATTTAACTTTAATTTTCTAATATAAATAATTATTTTTGTTTTCAATATAAAAATTTATATGAATAATTATTTATGGTTTTTAATCATTAATCATTTTTAAAAAATTTATACTTTTCATAACTATAGTTTCTGGTGGTTTATAATTTTTTATAATCATATATTAAATTTATTTTGGTAAATTTTGGTTTAACCGCTATCGTACCCGCTGATCAACCAGTCGTAAATCTCCCGCAAACGCACCCGTTTTCAACCGCTAAACCAGTCGGTCAAAACGCTAAAAAACGCTTGAAACCGCAACCGCCCGCTTCCGCAAACTCCCACAACCGCAACCGCAACCGCTATAACTATGAAAATACATAAGTTGTGTCCGAACAAGACTATAACTATGCTTCTGATATTAACGATTTAGTGGCGAAATCTATGGTTGGACATAATCGATATTCAGGTTCATATATTTCTTAAATCCCTTTTAGGCTAAGTTGTTTTTTGTAAAAGGGATTTAACGTGAGATCTCATTGTCATATGATAGACTCTGACTCCTCGAAATATAACTATGCCAACGCCCAAATAAATTCAAAATGTAAACATGGTTCGAGGCTTCGAGCAATATTTTTTCTCTCGATCTACACAAAGATCCATATGTTTAATCTCATAAAAGCCTATACAGTATATATATCAGTGCACAGCAACGTGCCTAGGTAAGGTGGAAGCCACAAGATTACAGAGTCTTCTGCGTAATTGAATCTAAGTCAGTGAGAATAGTAACACTAGAAAGTGCACAAATAGGCTCAGTGAATCAGTTTATAGCAAAAACAGCTTTTAAAACCTAAAAATTGAATGGGGATAAATCATGAATTGATGCATATGAAGGAGGATATATATAACATTTATATTTAGGGAATATGAAAATCCAAATTTAGATTCAAAAGCTATAACTGATACAATATTATGGGCTGGCAAATGAACACAAAATCGGCCGACATAGTTAAACAAATATTTGAATATAATAACTAGTAGTCTAGTACATTAGAGCATGATTATTAGTAGTATCTTAGAAATAAATCTTAGGAATATTTAAGTAATATATTTGTAAAAGTGATAGGTAAGAGATAGTATTTTTGAGTTAAGATTTTTGTGTGATTAATGGTAGGTTCTTAACATGTGATTCTTAGAAAAACAAATATTATTATAAAAATAAAATTTATAATTATAGAAAATTTAATAATAGTTGTAAATTAAAAAAATTAAAACATACATGAGATACAATTTATCAACATCTTTTTTTTGAAAACCTGTTACAAAAGAAAAAAATTCTGCTCTAAGGACATACAGAAAAAAAAAAATTTAAAACATATAGAAGAAAAAAATTCTCTTTTTGATTGTTTTTTGAACCTGTTACACAGTGACACGTATCAACATCTTAAGCTAACAAAAACATCCTAACTAAGATACAAATCTTAGATTAATTTTGTTAGTATAATTATTTTTAATCAATTTTAATCCTAAAATATCTCTAAGATATCACCGTTAATGCTGCTCTTATATGTATCCGGTTAGTGGTGAAATAATAACACTTGATGTAACAGTGAAACACTTCAACTAAATAAAATTCTTCTACATATAATTCTCGTTGATTTAGGCATTTAGCTATAACATCGTATTTACTTTACTATGTACCATAACATCTATACGACTACACCTATAATTTTCGTTGATTTAGCTATAACATTTCGTGTTTACTAATTATATTTTTAACATGTAAATCTGTACGAGTTAATATGATAAGTGCATGAGCAAAATGGACTTTATTTTTTTTGCTAAAGCAAATTGGACTTTATTCTAGGATATCAATGGTGTAGGAATAAAAATTAACTATCATACACAGAACTTATTTGAATAAATTCTAGTCCTACTGTTAGAAACAATTTAGATTTGCTATTACAAGAAACTAATACCACAAAATTATCAAACAAGTCTTAACAAACAGATATGGTTTTAAATTCGAGTTGCCGCATATTTTCGTGCGGGTTTTAATCCTAGGAATACATAACATCTATACTTAAAAAACGTGATTTCAAGCAAAACGTTAGGTGTTTCACCACCAATTAAGTAAAAAAAAATAACTGTCGATACGTTTGTTGCAGCATTAGAATTTAGAAGTAGTTCGTCCGAGTGGACAATTCATACAACAGAGTTGTTGAACTATTTCGTTTGTATCTAACCCCACTGGAGAAAAATATCAGAGAAAATCTTTCATTCAAACAATAAACTTTCTTGAATTTGGTTTAACCGTAAAACCCACCGCCTGAACCGCCGCCACCACCACCACCACCATAAGCAACATTTGGCGGGTCGAGAATAGGCGCAGAGGCTGAAACTCCGTTATGGTTATTAGCTGCACCACCTAAATGCAAATCCGACATATTAGGAAAACCTTCTTTGGGTTCAAGCCCTTGATCGTACAAGAATCCTTTAAAGACATGGCCACCGATTTTCACCACCGCTTGGTACGCGTACTCGTCATCCCCGTCCTCCACTGCCGTTACTCTAACACACTTGAACACAGCCGTAGCCCTAACCTGCCCTGGCCATGCTTCTCTTGACCCTCCTCCGTCTTGCATACATAAAACATAATTATGAATCATTTTCACCATATCAATCTACATAAGAGTGTTAATTATCATACAAATATGAGTTTTTAATACGGATAAACTAATCTGAACCAAACCGAAATAAGAGACTCTAAACTGACTAAAATTCTATATGGTTAAAACGATCTAATTTTTCCATAGCTCCAACCAAACCTCAAACTGAACAAAAGACTGAACTTCAAAATTTCACAAAATTATTGATAAATTTCTTCAACTAAAACCATATCAAACCCGATCAGTACTATATAATGTTTTATTTTGGTTACTGTCATTCAGATTACAAAAACCCCAAACTTTGATTGATCACCGTAAGGTCCATAACGGCTATTAGTGTTATATGCATGTATATACATAAAATCATGTGGATATATATACTAATGAAAATGTAAAACTACCTTGTCGGCTGGAACTGGTCTCGAAACTTTGAGGAGGCGTGTTAGAAGTTGAAGTATGAGAAGTGGCTTGTTGTTGTTGTTGTTGAGACCCTACGATCCTCGGCTTCTTCGTCCCGGAGGAGGTCGACAGAGACGAGCCAGCCGTTGGATTGGCGCCGGTAGGCATGACCTGCCTCTCTCTCCGCCGAGCGGCAGAGACCCACGTGCTCTTCACGTGAGTAGAACAATCAAAGCCACGGCTCTTGCAGCACGTCCTGCACCGCCTCTGCTTACACTCCTTCTTCGCCTGATTTCCACAGTCTTGACACGTGGCGGTTCCCGATACGCCTGAGCCAGACCCCGAGTTGTTCGAACTCGTTCCGACCGTTGTCTGGTTAGTACTCTTGAAGTGAAGATACTGCGTTTCGTGGGTGTTGTTGTTGTTCTGCCATCTCCGGTTGTTTCCGAGGAAGTTAATGTCGGAGTCTTCCACGTTTTGCTGCGGTGGACCCGCCGTGAGTAGAGGAATCACTCCGACACCGAGCGCCGCCGCAGCTGCATTACTGTTCATATGTTCCGATCCAGATATAACTCCAGCGTTCTGGTGATGATAAGCCGGAGCAACAACGAAGACGTCTCGCAGACCCACCATGCCCATCTCCGTCGCCGCCGCCGACGAAGGTAGGCCGTAACGGACAGAAGATCCAGGATGCCATGATGGAACGCCGGCGGCGACGGAAGCTGAGCCTATACCGCCGTGGATGACGGAGGGACCAGCATTGAAACCAAGAGATAGATCCTCGGTGGCACGGGAAGGTGTCGTCGTCGTCGCCGCCCAGTCGGTGAACGCACCGGAATCCGACGTCGGTAGATTATGCCTCCTCGTTGTAGCCACAGCTGATTAAACCAAACCCTAATTCCAAAAATAAAATAAAAATTATAGAAAAATAAAAGTCACAGTACACAGCTCCAATGCACATAACCCATAAATCTATACAAATCTGAGCTGATAGAGAAAGATGAAGATGGATCCTACAAATTTTTCCGATAAAACCAAAAACAAAAACAAATCCAAAATAGATTTTTCGAAATCTACTGTCACTATCTCTGTTTGTCTCTGCTCACGCAGAGGAAAAAGAACACTGCGACTCTTTTTTCGCTTCCTCTCTCTCTCTCTCTCTCTCTAACAATCTGACCCGTTTCCTACTTTCTCTCTCTAAAAAAACTGGTTTTTACTTGGTGCTGTCTGATTTTGCTCTAATCTTGGGTTTCTTCTGGATCTTTCTTTCTTACCTCCTTCAAAAACAATAGTGGTTTATGTTTTGGTTTCTTGTTCTAGATTGTTTCGTCTTGTTCCTGTCTCTCTCTAATAATCATCATGGACAACTGCAGAAAGATAGATAGAGGAGGCAAGTGAATTTTTGTTGGTTTACCTTTTTTTTTTTTTTTTAAAAACTTATTTTATGATTCTTTTTTATAATAATAATAATAACTCAAAGAAATGGCACATGATACCTCTTCTCCTTTTTTGGATTTTTGCTGAAGTTTAATTGTAACATGATCACTTTATAAGTTTATATATATATTTTCTGTCAATCTTTATCAGATGACGAAGTTCATCACCACCACTCGTGCGCGTGGCTCACTTGCGCTTAAGAGCGGCTTCGCCGGTTAACTCTTGTAGGTCATGGTTCGGTACATACGCGTTTTGTACTTACCAGTCTAGTGGCCTACATCATAATATCCGAGATCCGATCCTTTAATTTGATACTTGGGGTTACCCTTTTTCTTGTCAACATCCTAATTCTTTTATCTCAATATTAATTTTCATTTCCAATTATCATGCGTATATTTTTGCCTATTTTTATAAATATTTTAAAACTTTGAACATGTTTTAGATATTTGTCCATAATGATATAAGATATCATGTATCTATAAGACATAAACTGAAGATGTCTACAAATTTGATACGAGGATCAACAATCAACGGCGACAACAAAAAGATGTATTTGGAAGTTATTATAAACTCAACATATGTGAAATAATAAATTCAGATTTCGAGGTCATGATTAACATTGTCATTGTATCCTAATCACACACATTTTGCTCTGTTATTGTTGTCATATATCATACTACAGAAAAACAGACAAAAACCGGTACAAAAAAGCAGAGACCACATTTACGGTGATATAGCAGTTTTGTATTCATCCTTCCGACACTGTTGGATTGCTTAATGTCCATACATTACAAATAAGAAGAAAAAAAAATACTTTAAATGGTCCACATAAATGTGAAATGTTTTGGAGACCAAACAAAAGACCACTGAAAAGTCCAAAATCCAAAATATGGTTTACAGATAATACAATAAATGTTGAGTAGATTCAATATATACGAAGCAAACTTTGTTGTTTGATACTATTAACCCTTGTTTGAAAAATCGCTAGGCGCTAGTCGGGCGTTCGGCATGGGCCTAGCGATTAATCGGAAAATCGGATTAAAATCGGGGATTAATTTTAGGGTTATTTTAATATTTTTAATATATATTAATTCAATATTGTTTTCAAAATTACAGTAAAAACAAATTTTTATGATTTTTATTAAAATTTGAACACAAGTTATGTAAAACATCACAAACTCCCAATTCAAATGATTGAATAACAAAAATAAAATGTTTTTTTTTATACTTGCAATCTAAAAAATAATCGGGGTATGTAAGATTAGGCGGGAAATAATCGGATTAGGCGGGAAATAATCGGATTAGGCGGAGAATAATCGGGTTACTGATTTTTTAGGGGATTAGTCATTAATCGAGGCGGAGAGGGTGGGCCTAGCGATTAAGCGGAGAGTAATCGGGGCTAGGCGGGGATTTTTAGAACAAGGCTATTAACATGAGACACGTTGATATGAGTATGATATATCTTGGACTTTTGCCTTTGTGAATCTTTCTAAATTTACACAAACGCCTAAGATTGCTTCCATAATATCCGGATTTAATTTTCAGACAGAGCATATGTAAGCTGCACATACATAAACCATTTTTCCACGTTTCAACGATATTTTGACAAAAAAACGTACTGCGTGTCACATCGTCGTTTTTACATAAAACAAGAAATGTATTGAAAAACTAGTTTTCTAATATTGATGAATAACATAATCAGTTTTACTAAAATCATTCAAATTAAGTCTTTATAGGGGGGGGGACATCTTAATTAGTTTGTATGCATATTTTTACGTAGTATAATTGCAATTAAGTAAGAAAGTAGCTTTTATGTTTATATATAAAAGCTTTAAATGAGAATAATTAGTTCGAGCAATGCACGTGAAAGAACCCTTTCAATAAGATGTTCGTCGGCCCCTCCCCACGCTTTGCGGCCGTCGAATCATTGCCTTTCTTCTGAGGTCTTTTTTTGATAAATTTCCCTTTTGAGATCTTTCGAGCCCGTTTGATCTTTGTGGCTAATTTACGTAAACCCACTTTGTTTTATACTCGTATGTTTTCACTTGATATTTTTTCGAAGACCTTTTTCTATAAATGAAATGATATATACTTGTATATCTAGACAATAATCCCAAGTTTTAAATAATCATTGTGTTTAATCAATAGTATGTGGCCTAATGGTTTATATAATTAGAGATCGAGTTCCACAAGCTACAAAAATCATTGCGGTGTTTTTTTCACCACTATAAACCCTTGAAATAACCGATTTTCTATGTATTCTGACTATTCTTTTGTTGGGTTTCAACATGGAATATACCCCCAATTATATAAAGAAAATCCAAATGTTTGGAGTCTATGACTCTATGGTCCTCTTTCTCAATCTTAGTCGCTTGCTCAAAATTTGGGAATTAGCTTTTGCTCAAAATGGGGAGGGTGGTAACATAAAACAAGAAAATTAACGATTTTACGGAAGTGCAAAAAGTGTTAACATTCTCAAAAGGAAAAAAATAAAAGCATGTACCAGACCAGTAGATTTATGACAAAGCAAAAGAAAAGGAGCAGAAGGCACGGGGCTCGAGAGAAGAAAATGTTGGCAAAAACCAAAAGAAAAAGAAAAACAATAATGGAGGCCTCGGAGACTTGTTGAGAGTTTGAGACAAAGACTAATGCTTCTTTGCCTAATCGGCGGAGGTGGCGTGCTGTCTCACTTCCCTCCGACATGCGTCGGCCCCACGCGCCTAATTTCCCTATTTCTCTAGTTAAAGAAACGGACCCCAGATTGATCGGTTCGATTCATCGGTTTATTACGATAAGGATAGCTTAACGGTTTGGTTTTTGGTTTATGATAAGTTGATAACGAGTAAAAAAAAAAAGCCCAGAAACAGAAAATAGTCTAGGTCAAGTTGTATTTTTTTGGCTTCTCCTATTGATTACCGTCTGATCGATAGCCTTAAGTCCAAGTGTCTAGCTCTATTAGCGGCTCGATCCGCGCTTTCCGCCACTAAGCCTCGAGGACTTTGCTCCTCGTACGCCTTGATTAATAGTCGCCAGTTTTCAAAGCTGACTAAAGATTCCAAATTGCCAAAGTTTAAATCTGAATCTAAAAGTTCTCAGGTAACATATATAACCTAGTTCGCATTTTTTGCTAGTGATTAGACAAAACCTTGAAACTCTATGGTTCGATATGAATAAGTTGCTGATTGCTTCCAAACTCTTCATCTTATTCCTTTTGAAGGCTGCAGTTTCTGATTCCATTACCGAGATAGAAGAAAAGTTAGATGGAAGGTCTGTGACCATCTATCTTTTTTCTCAACGCCATGTAATAATAATGATTTTGATTTATCCATTCGGAAACTAAGACCTCACATTTGGGAGGGGACTATTTTTACCCAAAGCTAGAGATCGCCCGCCGGGTTCAAGTGAGAGAGTTGGGAGGGTGCAATATAAAATGTTCGGGTCCCTGGCCTCAGGTGATGTACGGGTGTAGGTTAAGAGCTTTTAGTAAAAAAAAAAAAAAAAAACTAAGACCTCTCATCTCGAGGGCAATTTTTGAAGAGTTTCAGAAGAAGTTTAAAGAGGTATATAGCTCGTTTCTTACACTCTTCCCCTTGAAACTGCATAATGTGTTTTTTTGGTGTTTCAGCGTTCTGATACTACTGCTGCTGAATTTGAAACTGCTAGAAGACAGTTTGCCATATTCGTTGTACCTTTACTCTACTTGGCGTCATTTGCTACATCCGCCATCATTTTGCACGAGCTTGACTTAATGGACGCCAGTCGCCAGACATGCTCAGAAGAAGCTCTCTGCTCCAAACCAAATCAGTACGTAACTTCTCATTTTTGCTTGAAAATCTCTCATTGTTCCATTTTTTACTAGAACTTGTTCTAACATTTTCATTGAATTATATATTTATCCACTGCTCATTTTCTCAAAAGTCAAAACTATGCTGCTGAGTTTTTTTATGTGTGGAATTGTGTTATTTTCTCATTTTTGCTTGAAAATCTCTCATTGTTCCATTTTTTACTAGAACATGTCTTAAGATTACTCACCCCCTCTTTTTTCTTCTTCTTTTAGAGTGTACATGCATGTGTTCAACCAGATCACGTTAAGACCAGTTTAACTCTAGCAACAGAGAGTTACTCGTTCGTTCCAATGTTAGAGTCACCTTAATTAACAATTAATAAGGCTTGTTTTTTTTTTTTTTGGTTTGGCGATATAGAACATTTCAAAGTTGAAAAAGTAGCCAACATCATTGTGGGTGCAAGGTTATTACGTACAAAATGAAGAATAAGTCGTTTTTGTTTTCTTTAGTTTATCTTCTCTTTTAAAAAGACTATGTCTATCAAACGAAGCCAATGACATGTGACGAAGAGTTATATTAGTTGAATTTTCAAGGATGAACCATAATATCAAATGAACATGTTGGAGTACCTAACAAATTTATATATTACTCTTGTAGAATTACTCCCAAAACATTCAATTTGTCAACTTGTTCATGCAAGACTAAATCGTAACCAAACAAACTAACCACTCTAATTTACTTTTTATCTTTCCACATTTTTTTCCCAATAAAAAATACAACGGAAGAAATAAGAATAATTTTTTGAGAGCCTATCCCCAAAGCCAATCAATTCACTTCTTCTTGCCTCCGATTAAGACCGAAGAATCTTAATGGAGAAACCCTAATCTTATGCTCGGAGATCGTCTGCAAATTCGGTGACCACATGTGCTCTCGTGTTCCGACAAGCTGATCATACTGCTTCTTTAACTCGGGAGAATTACAGATCGTACTGTTTTCACCACAACTTGTGGCTTCTTCTTCTCTGATGTTTCTGTTTTTACATATAAGACTAATGATAAACTCCGGAGAAACTTTTATCAGAATCTCTCCGTTTGGTCCTTGAGTATACTCAAACGGCGGTGGACTGGACGGCGCCGTGAAATTCAACGGTGGAGTGTTTGACCGAACGTTTTCAAGATTAGAGTTGAAGATTGAGAGACACGAAGTGGTTAAGATTCTGTATGCAAAACGTTCGATCGGTAATACAAAATAGGTTTGACCTGGGATTAGATAGTCGTCCATGGCTAGAGCTGGAATCTGACGACCGATGAAGAAAGAATCTGCATGGCACACGATTTGATCAGGAAACTCGAACATGATTTCTCCAGCAACATGTTTCTTGAATCCACATAGGGTTTTGGTTGATCCATGCTCAAAGAAAAAGAGCGTGACTATTCCTTGGCGTCTACGGATTATCGGAAAACAAGAATTGATTAGAGATCTTCCCATATTTTTCCGAGAGACCGAGATTTTGTTTTGAAGCTGGAAAGTTATGGATTGTCGTATTAGGAGCTAGGAATGATATATATAGAGGGATTTAGTAGTCGTTATGGTCTTTGTAGTTTGTTTGTAGTGAAAAGGCAACTACTAGGAGGATAGTTGACTTTTGAATGGTCAAAGACTTCAGGATTTGATTTTGCATATGATAAATATGAAATGGGTTCTTTGGTCAAACCTCTCGGCTTTTTTGCAAATTTTGTTGTTTTAATATGTCGGTATCAAATTGTATTATACGATATTTTAATTAGAAGTGTTACATAGAGTCGTGGAAGTAGTTACACTATATGATCAAATAATCAATTTTATTTTAGTATTCGTTATTACGAACACGTTGAAGCCGTGGCTGATTTCATGACAACTGTGTACCAAATGACGAATTAGATAATGGTCCAGATACATACTCCCTTATCACTTAGTACAAGTTGTCTCGTTATCCTTCTTTTTGTTGTCCATAATACTATCATTTAACACCGCCAAACATATGGTACAATATCTATAAACCACACCATATTAGACCTTTGAAATTTGATGATTTACATATAGTCTATGGAATTTTTGTATTTTAAATTTAAAGGCAACAACTTGAACGAGGATTTATATATACTGTATTTTCTTAAAGGGTTTTGAAAATACTGTAAACTTTCAATTTACAAAAGTGTTTTTTTTTTTTTTGTTTTGAAAAAGGAAATTGCTGTAAACTTTCATAGCCCCAATTTTTGATTTTTTTTTTTTTTTTGGTATGAAAGCCCCAATTTTTGATTAGGTAGAGAAAAAGGAAATTTTAAATTTTAGTTTTTGAAAAAAATCCCTATAAAAAAACTAAAAATGGGCCTCGAGAAACATGGGCCTTAAAAATTGTTTTATCAAAAAGGAGGACGTAGGCTTAAAATGTCTCCAATATTTATACCCAAGACACGGGCCTGATTCAAACACACACCAAATTTTTGTCAAAGAAAAACAACATAACGATTTTAGAGATATTTTACTATATTAACCTGTAGACTCTAGTTTCAGCTTGGATCCGATCGTACATGTTCGGTTCAATAAGGTAATGCACAGATGAAATACATTTGTCACATTAATGCTAGTAAGTGCATTACCTTATTGAACCGTTCGGTATAATATGGATTTTGAGTTTGTAACAAATTATCCCGTTTATAACTAATTTACGATATTAAAAGTTTCTATATATATTTAATTTACGAAAAATTATCTAGTATAGATTCTTAAATGTGAATTTATATTAAACACAAGTTAAATTATTGCTAACTAGTAGTAGTAAATACAGTTAGAGACCCTAATGTTTGAAGAATAATATAAAGCAGAAAAGATTGGTTTATTATATTTCTCTAGTCTGTATAATCTGCCTTTTGGTCTCTCTCTCTCTCTCTCTATCTTTTTTTCTCTTTCTCTTTCTCTCTCTCTCTCTCTCTCTCTCTCTCTCTCTCGCTAGAAAACTGCGTAGTAGATCATGCCATGTCTCTAGATTCTCTGCCTCCCGATTCTTCGTCACTTTCTCTCGCGTCTGCTCAAGAGCTTACCATCATCCTCAAGCCAAGGCATTCTCTGATTTCTCTTCTTCTTTGAAACGGCGCCTTTGTTCTTGAGCTATTCCGATCGATTTTGAAATCGATTTTGAGCTGAAAAAGAGTTGCTCTGCTTTTAGTCAGATGGAAGTAAATGTGTTGGAGTTTGCTTCGAGATCGACGATCATGGTGATTCTTAGCTGATTCCGTTAATGTAGATAGCCTTCGAATTTCTTTCTTTTTTTTCGCGTTTTAGCTTGAACAAGTGTGGTTTTGGTTGATGGAGGATTTCGATTCTGAGGAGCTTCGTTGAGATTTTTGTGTATGTCGAGAAACGGAAGGATGGCTTCGGATCTTAGTAGAGCTGGTCCTGTGGAGAGAGATATCGAGCAGGTTGTTGTTATCTTCTTCTTCATTTATCTCCATGTTGTTTTAAGTAATCGAAGCATGCCTTATTTATGGTTCATTTGCTTAGACTATTTATGGATAGTCTCTTCGAAATTAGAAATATCTGTCTGCCGAATTTGTTCAATTGGCATTTCTTAGGGTTAGAGAAGAGTGTTTCCTTAGAGCTAACTTTGATTTCAAACTCAAGATTGTCCATGAATTTCACCTTAATCATGGATTTCGAGTGTGAGAATTGACGAGCTTGATTCAAGCTATTGATCCAGGAACTTGAATTTTGGTTCCCGTATAAGCTTATCCTTAATGGAATTTAACCTCTCTGGCAGACTAGGATTTCATCTTGCTAGCACTCTACCAATCTCAAATGTCATTTATCGGATACTAGTTTATATTTTGTTAAGCCCCCTGCCACGATTCTTATTTCAGTGTGTTCATTGCTACATATATTCTGTATCAACTATTTCTTCTAATATTATTATTGGTGAGCTGAAGATATATCCACTTACTTTGCTCTTATGGAATGCTACTTGATTGACTCAGGCTATCATTGCCCTGAAAAAGGGAGCTTACTTGCTAAAGTATGGAAGAAGAGGGAAACCTAAGTTCTGCCCATTTCGCCTTTCTAATGTAAGTCATGTTTGGTTCAATTTCATTTAATTTCTTGTTAGCGCTGCTCTACAGTAATAGTCCACTTTTAGTGCCATCATTTTTGTTTATCATCGGTTTATTCATGGATGGCTGGTGATGTTTATTTTTCACTCTTTTCTTTCAAAACTTAATTTACGTGTATCTCATTGTTTGGTGTTTAAGCAATAGTGGCCTGTAAATTTCAGGATGAAACTGTTTTGATATGGTTCTCTGGAAACGAGGAGAAACATCTGAAGCTGAGCCATGTTTCTAGGATTATATCTGGACAACGCACTGTAAGTTCATGTGTGGATGATGTGATTATAATTCTCCCTTGAGCTTGCACTGATATACTTAGAACGAGTTCATGAGGACTGTGATATTCGTTCATGCAACTTTTCATGCGTCAGTTTCCTTAGTTCAACGATATCTTGTTTGATATTCTAATAATTCTAGCAATGGTGCTTCTCGTGTAGCCTATTTTTCAGAGGTATCCTCGTCCCGAGAAGGAATATCAGTCATTTTCACTAATATATAGTGAGAGGTCTTTGGATGTGGTGAGATTCTCTTAAACTATTTACTTCATCGCTTCTGCTACAAAATAATTACCCTGTCATTCGAAATGTCATTGTGGTTATTTGAAGTTAATTAATATATTGGTACAATTTGATTTGGTAGATATGCAAGGATAAAGATGAGGCTGAGGTGTGGTTTACTGGTCTTAAGGCCTTGATTTCGCATTGCCATCAAAGAAACAGGAGAACTGAATCAAGAAGTGACGGTACACCATCTGAAGCTAATAGCCCAAGAACATATACCCGGAGAAGCTCTCCTTTACATTCTCCATTTAGTAGCAATGACAGTTTGCAGAAGGTACTAAAAGAAGTTTTCTGCGTACACTTTTGTGCATGTGAACACTAACTGAGTACATTTTCGTTTACCTTTCAGGATGGTTCTAATCACCTTCGTATTCATAGTCCATTTGAGAGCCCACCTAAGAATGGGCTTGACAAGGCATTTTCGGACATGGCATTATATGCAGTTCCTCCAAAAGGATTTTACCCCTCAGATTCTGCAACTATTTCTGTTCATTCTGGAGGCTCGGATAGCATGCATGGACATATGAGGGGTATGGGCATAGATGCTTTTAGAGTTAGTATGTCAAGTGCTGTTAGTTCCTCGAGCCACGGTTCTGGTCATGATGATGGAGATGCGTTAGGAGATGTTTTCATCTGGGGAGAAGGCATAGGAGAAGGTGTTTTGGGTGGTGGAAACCGTAGAGTTGGAAGTTCGTTTGACATGAAAATGGATTCCTTATTGCCCAAAGCTTTAGAATCTACAATAGTACTGGACGTCCAAAATATTGCTTGTGGTGGACAACACGCTGTCCTTGTGACAAAACAAGGAGAAAGTTTTTCTTGGGGAGAGGAATCTGAAGGCAGGCTTGGCCACGGAGTTGATTCCAATATTCAACAACCAAAGCTCATCGATGCACTCAACACCACAAATATTGAGCTTGTAGCATGTGGTGAATTTCATAGTTGTGCGGTTACCCTATCAGGGGATTTGTATACCTGGGGTAAAGGAGATTTTGGTGTTCTTGGACATGGAAATGAAGTTAGTCACTGGGTCCCTAAGAGGGTTAATTTTCTGCTGGAAGGGATACATGTATCATCCATTGCTTGTGGACCTTACCACACAGCAGTCGTTACATCTGCTGGGCAGTTGTTTACTTTTGGTGATGGGACCTTTGGTGTTTTGGGCCACGGAGACAAGAAAAGTGTTTTCATACCTCGGGAGGTAGACTCTTTGAAAGGTCTTCGCACTGTCCGGGCAGCTTGTGGTGTATGGCACACAGCAGCAGTTGTGGAAGTCATGGTTGGGAGCTCAAGCTCGAGTAATTGCTCTTCTGGAAAGCTCTTTACATGGGGTGATGGTGATAAGGGTCGTCTTGGTCATGGTAATAAAGAACCAAAACTTGTGCCTACCTGTGTTGCTGCTCTTGTTGAACCCAATTTTTGCCAAGTTGCATGTGGTCACAGTCTAACGGTTGCACTTACAACATCAGGCCATGTCTATACTATGGGCAGTCCTGTCTATGGTCAGCTTGGAAACTCACATGCAGATGGAAAACTTCCAAACCGTGTCGAAGGTAAACTTCACAAGAGTTTTGTCGAAGAGATAGCCTGCGGGGCTTATCACGTTGCAGTTTTAACTTCGAGGACTGAGGTTTACACTTGGGGAAAGGGATCAAATGGTAGACTTGGTCATGGAGATGTAGATGATAGAAATTCCCCGACATTGGTTGAGTCGCTTAAGGATAAACAAGTTAAAAGTATTGCCTGTGGCACTAACTTCACAGCAGCTGTCTGCATTCACAGGTGGGCATCAGGGATGGACCAGTCCATGTGTTCAGGTTGCCGTCAGCCCTTCAGTTTTAAAAGAAAGAGGCACAATTGCTATAATTGCGGACTAGTGTTTTGCCACTCGTGCACTAGTAAAAAGTCGTTGAAGGCTTGTATGGCACCGAACCCGAACAAACCATATCGAGTGTGTGACAAGTGTTTTAACAAATTGAAAAAGACCATGGAAACAGATCCATCGTCTCATTCTTCTCTGAGTAGAAGAGGAAGCATTAACCAGGGATCAGATCCCATTGACAAAGATGATAAGTTCGATTCTAGATCCGATGGACAGTTAGCTAGATTTTCATTGATGGAGTCCATGAGACAAGTGGACAGTCGATATAAGAAGAACAAGAAATATGAATTCAATAGTAGCCGTGTCTCGCCTATACCTAGTGGAAGCTCTCAACGGGGTGCGCTTAACATAGCCAAGTCTTTCAATCCAGTATTTGGAGCATCAAAGAAGTTCTTCTCAGCTTCTGTTCCTGGTTCTCGAATTGTGTCTCGGGCAACTTCCCCAATATCGAGACGTCCTAGTCCACCTCGGTCAACTACACCAACTCCCACTCTTTCGGGACTAGCCACACCAAAATTTGTTGTGGATGATACTAAGAGAACAAATGATAACCTAAGCCAAGAGGTCGTTAAGCTAAGATCTCAGGTACATTTGCTCTTCATCAGCTTTTGTTTCTCTTATCTCCAAAATCCTTCTCACATTCTCTGCTGCAAAAAGATTTAGTTGGTAATGTTTCTTTGTTTCCTGATCACGGTCATTTACGTTCTGGATTTTACTTTGTGGTGAGATCATGCTATTTGTAGGATTTGAGAAGGCTTGGCCGCCAATTTACTTGGTTTCATGAAGAAAAATTTACTCCTTCTGATTGCTTCTTTGCTAACCAGTAATTGATATTACAGGTTGAAAGTCTTACAAGGAAGGCCCAGCTTCAAGAAGTTGAGCTGGAAAGAACAGCCAAGCAGCTAAAAGAGGCGTTAGCAATCGCTAATGAAGAAACGACGAGATGCAAGGCAGCAAAAGAAGTGATCAAATCACTTACCGCTCAAGTAATTTCTAAGTTAAAAGTAAAAATATGGTTTATGCAATTATTGGTGATTTCTTATACTGATTTTAAACATCAACATAACTATGCAGTTAAAGGACATGGCCGAAAGATTACCTGTTGGATCAGCTCGGACTGTGAAGTCTCCTCCTTCTCTTAATTCATTTGGTTCCAGCCCTGGTCGCATCGACCCTTTTAATATCTTAAACCAACCAAATAGCCAAGAATCCGAGCCAAATGGCATTAGTACGCCAATGTTTTCTAATGGGACCATGACACCTGCATTTGGGAATGGCGAAGCAACGAATGAAGCACATAACGAGAAGGAATGGGTGGAACAAGATGAACCTGGTGTCTATATCACTCTTACAGCTTTAGCCGGAGGTGCTAGAGATCTCAAACGCGTCCGTTTCAGGTACAATAATTTCTTATCTTCCCCAAAACGAAACAATAATTTTTTTATGTCCGAAAATTAGACTGTAATTTTGATTGACTGTTTTGTTTTCTGACAGCCGAAAAAGGTTTAGTGAGAAACAGGCAGAACAGTGGTGGGCAGATAACAGAGGAAGAGTCTATGAACAATACAATGTTCGCATGGTTGACAAAGCCAGTGAGGACTTGCCTCATTGAAACTCTTTAACACCAACCAGTTCTCTATTTTTTTCCTATGCCCGAGTCAGGTGAGTGCGGAATCTCGGGATATAACAACAGATATATATATAGAGAGAAATTAGATGTTTTAAGTGCTTCTTTGATTGTAGTTTGGGATTTGTGTGGTGTTGGTTGTGACAAAGTTGTAAATTCTTTGTGGTGAATCATTCTGTAAATCCTATAAACATACAGTGTTTTTACCCCCTAGTAACAATGCTGAGTAACTGGTTTTCGAGCAGATTTGTAGATACACCATCACATTGGAAACTAAGAAGGTACTGATACTGTTCCAACAAAAAAACAAAACTAAAGTAAAACTGGACCTCAGGTGGTGTCTTCATCTTCCTTGAGCTTGAATTCTATGTTTTCAAAATGCCATGGCAAAGGCGATGAAGGTAACGAAGAATGATGATGGATGGGCGAGTCTGGTGGTGAACGCCATTGAGTTGAGCATTCCAGCAGATCGGAAAACTCCTCCGTTGGTATCTCTTTGAGTTCATCCCAAGAGTGGCTGTTCTCATCATCAATCTTAGGCACAAAAACAAGTGTAAGAGTCATAAAATTTGTTCAAAACCAGAGCTACAACAGGATGCTATGTGTTTGTCTTCTCTAGACTCTTATGGACTTTAACCAACGATCTTAGAACGAATCTCTTATAACTCTTAACAGAATTTAGATTGAGATAGATAATGTTAGAGAAAAAGCAAACTTTACCTCTTTACTATTATTGTATTCAGGAACCCCTTCGTTGATGTTGGTATCTGAAAAGCAGAACAAAAATAGGCTTCAGAGAATAAGCCAAGGAAAGGAACGAGATGGAGAAAAAGGGTTCTTTCTTCATAAGTCATTATTACCATGTCCATGAAGGATGATGTGTTCAGAGAAGTAGCTATCCCACTGATTTTGTTGTTGTTCTTCAATGCATTTACTGTGATCATGCAAGAAACCTTCCTTTGCTATGTCAAAGTCCACTCCTTCAACATTCTTCTTCGTCTTGGAAGAAGCTTGAGGTTGTAACTTTGACTTGTTTGTAATATCATGCAGAGCCTTGCGGTTTCCGAAACCCGTCCCGTTTTTCTTTGGAGCTGGGAGCGAACTCTTACCTTTTCCAGCAGCAACTGCCTCTACAATGTCAAACAAAAATAACCAGACTCAGAAACATAATAAGTTGCCAGGATCTCTACCTCTAGAATTATAGATATAAAACATGTTCCATGGCTGAACATATATTCTCATGCTTGTTATAACATTTTACACTGATGAATAAACATATACAAGGTGGAAACAAAAATAAACGTAGTTCATATTTGATCCTAAGCCTATTTATTGGACATGATTTTGATGCACACCTGGAGAAAAATCATGAATGTATCTCTAGGCAATAATAAGAAGCTCTTAATAGAAGAAACCAAGACCTCTCATCATATGAATCCAAGAGAAATAAAGACAGAAATATATGCAACTTGGTGTATATTGTCCTTAATGTTTCATTTCTTCTAATCTCAAAGATTTTCCAACCTTAGGACAAAGGAGTCATCACAAAAGAAAAGAAAAAAAAAAAAAAGATTTCTTTGTCCAATACGAAAAAAGGAGCAAAAAACCCAGAGATGGAAACAATACTTTTTCCATGGGCCGCCAATGCGTTCTCGTCCTGGAAAATCATCTGCCCGCGTGCAATTGTGTTGGCCATGCTCTCTCACTACATACAACCAATTTTGGGGTAAATTTTACATGAACAAGCAGGAATAAGCGGGAAATGAAGTAATTTCGATATCAGCACAAATCAAAACCAATCGCTTAGGGTTAGACTCACCAGATGCCGATGAGCGGATAGAGGAACTCCAAATCAACAGCTAAACAAATGAGGTGGGAGAAGAAGAAACAAGCAAGGACTGCTCTAAATTGAGATCTAAAAGGAAGACGAAGAGAACGAATCTGCCGCGATTTAGGGTCTGCGGAACTTCAAACGAACACACAGAGAGCGGTTTCATTGTAACATTTTCAAATTCTTTACTTCTTTTGTTCCTTTTTTTTTTTTTTTTTTTTTTTTTTTTTTTTTTGCGTTTAGCAGCATCGTGTTCAAAAGCTCAAGAATGTTTTAATGGCTTCGCATAACTTTATTTTATTGATTTACAGTATTATTAAGTTAGTTACTTCTTTCATTATAGTAGTTTTATTTTCTCCTATTTTGAAACTTTCCAATTTATGCCGAAAGTAAAACAACATCTGCAATAAGACTCATAACGATATATCTCAAATATATTGGTCACTCTCAAAACACAAATTAAGACCCATAACGTAATACACAAGTGAAAATTTCAAAATATGAAGAGTTAAAAAAATAAAGGAAGAGAGTGGACTGATTTTTAAGTATATACATACGTAAATAATATACTGACTGACTGGTGGTGGTTCAAGAGTGTCTTTAAACATTGATGAGATCAGCTCAAGCTTGGCCACAAGGAGCTGAGTTTTGTTGCCAGCTTCGCACTCTTATAGTCCTCCCGAAGTTGAATAAACCTGCACATTATTTTCATTTACATATTATTCCTTTTCGACTCTCTCTCTATTTCATCATTTTTTTTTTCTATTTTATCTTTAATAATCTCTTTCTCTTCTTACCTTTGCGCGTCTTTGCGAATGCTTGGACTTCCCTCGAACAAAGTCGGCAGACTATCTGGAGCGACGATGAAAACATTCGCGATTCTGCACTCACACAAGTGATTACAAGTTATTACAATAATAATAATAATAAGAAGAAGAATTAAAGTGACAAGAGAGTCTAAAGAATGTTCTTTACATTCCCAGAAGCTCAAATTTCTCATCCACAGATGGAGCACCAAAGCTTTTAACAAATCCTACATACTCGTTTAAGTCACGCTTCAGCCGCAGTCCTCCACTGTCAACCCAAGTGTTAGTAATCATATAACAGAACCAAGGTTTATTCACACAGACCTAATTTTGCAAGGATCGTTTATTCAATGTGGTCAAGACTTTTGATTTGATCCGACAAAACATTTATACCAAGAGGTGCGACTACGTCAAACATTGCATTCATGTCAGATCAGAGTGAAAAATCAGAGATAGCAAATTTGGCATGGTTCTCTATGTTTGGTTTATTAGGGCCCTGAATCTGATTTTACGGTTATTCTGCAGATGTGATTTTGGCAAGGAAAAGAGAAAACATACAAAAAGCTGAAATCATACCTGGGATTGAAAGTGAACTTCTGCCAGTGTGTTAGTAGCAGTTTTTCTAACCTATTTCCCTGAAAATAATAAAGAAAACTTAATTCAAATCCTCATCCTTCTCGATATATAGCATCATTCATATGATGCAGAAATTATAAATTATTCTTTTTAACTATTCATTCAAAGCCACCACAGCGGTGGAAAACAAGATTGAGTTGGTTTTTAATTGGATCATTCAATCATTATAGACTGCCATCTACAGGGGAAAAGATAGCAGTATATGGAAAAGTCGAAGATATCACACAGGAACTTAAGCTTAGAATCTATTTTTTTCTTCTCTAGTCCGTCAATGGACAAAGCAATAAAAAGCAAAGGCCAAGGAGAATAAGCACTTCGAATAGATAAAATAGTAACCAAAAGGCTTAACGAAATCTTTGGTGAGACAAATCATACCAGTTCAGTCAGGAAGGCTTGCTTATTAAGACCTTCCAAGGCAGTGAAGGCAGACTCAAGTACCCGGGAAAGATAAGCCACGACCCTAAACAAGAGAGTGGGAGTAGAAATTGAAGCAAGTTCATTAGAAAAAAAAAAACAGATAAAAGAAGAGCACATTGTTGAGATGTGATCAATAGATATTTCGTAAAATGGTTCAGAAACCTACTAAGTACACTACAAATAAGCACTTCTGGCTTATCAAACTAAAAAATAAAAAAGGTGAAGCCTTCAACCAATTATAGAAGGTAAAGTCTCAGCGAGACAAACCTTATGCAGGCATTTGTTGGGCGGTGGTCAGAAGCAATTCCATCATCAGGTGATCTATAATCGGTAGACTTCTGCTCAGATGAAAGTAGCCTATCAACCTGAAAAAGACCATTTCAGAGTCCTTAAAATGAGTCGAAAGAAAATAATAAGCATGACTCCTAAACCTGTTCAGCGTTGAACCTCATGTATCTGTTTGTAATGTACACAAATAGCAACTAACCTCAGCCATCACAGTTTCAATGCACTGCTGAAGTCCTTTATAAGCAGCTGCCTCTGCTTTGGACAGAGCAGTTGACATTTCTTCACATGAAGCAGCATGTGCACCATCCACTGGTAGGAGAAGCCGAGATATAGTATTTGCAAAATACTGGTAGAGAAAATTAGATGATTAGAACAGAAGTCAAAATATAGAATTTCCATAGTAGAAGATCGGGTCAAACTATTTGAATATTTCAATAGTTGAGTAGCAGAAGCCTTCTCAGATGAAATAATTGAAACCAACTGATAACCATAAAAGTAACCCAACATGCCTGCTGAACTATAGCAACACTGCTACCGCAACGCTGCACAGCAACCATGAAGGATTTAAAGCTACTTTCACCAGCAGCAGCAGCAGCTTCTGCCTGAGAAACAATCAAAGAAACTATAAATAACCCCACCTAACAATAGTATTTCAAATAGTGAGAAAGAGAAAAGAGAAGGAATTACAGCAGAAGCAGCTGCAGCAGCTACTCTTCTGCTAACGCTTGTGCCCAAAACAAATCTCTCCCTCAATGCTGCAGCTTCAGACAGGCTATCCCTTGCCCGTTCAAGTCCTTCAGTTATGTATATGCTCACCTGCAAGAACTCATCACTGCATCAACACAATTAATGTGAGAGACTCTAGAATCTTATGAACAACATACCTGGTCTAGCAGACAAGTAAATATAGCTTTAACATTGGCAGCAAGTGTGGCTGGCTGCACAAAGAAATAATTATATAAATCAGATATACAATCCCAAATATTACAGTTTACTTACTGTCGGATCTGCCAAAATCAATATTTTAGATTATTTCTTTGTCAATACCTCTTCCTACATCTTTCCTAGAAATTCACAGCAACTAATTTATTTTGGAAAAAATTCTCATAAATTGCTGTTCAGTAACCTGAGATGAAAATAGTGTGCATCTAGTTATTGCTTCTTCATTCCATCGAACAAACTCCGTCACAACGGTGACTGATATCTGCTGCAGAGATGATGATATTGAAGCACCCTTAGAGCGTCCTATTGTCCCAGATGATTCTGAGACTTGCTGACTCTCAGCACGTAATTCTTCCATCTGTAGAGAAAAACTCATATCTAAGCACTTCACACTAATAAACAAAATAACAACTAACTTCAGTGAGAAAATGAAATAATTATATTAAACCTTTGCTTGATATAGTTGTTTTAAGGAGGCCTGCTCATGCTCAGGGTATTCATCCTTGTGCGAGGAAAACAAGGACTCTGTCAAATCTGCACATTCAAAATAAAGACTTGTCAGCACCAACGAAAGTTTACATGACAAAACAAAACTTCTATCACTCGGAATCACAAGAGAAAAAAATGACCTTCAACATCCAGGTCACCGCATCCAACAGCTCGGAGGTCTTTAGCAAGTTCTTGGGTTCTCTCATATGCAACTGCTAACATTCTAAGGTACTAAAGACAAAATCAAGAGTTAACTTTCTTATACCAATTCTACTACGAAGATAGACAAAAAAGAGATAAGGAGGTATGTACACACTAGTAACAGTCCGCCTTCTTGCACAGGTGGTGGACTCATAAGAGAGGGCTTCGCCAAAATTTTGTCAAGAATACCTGTGACACGCTGCTCCAGAACTCTCTGCGTAAAATACATGAAGAGTTGGTATAGCTTATCCATATGCCGGGTTAACCCTACAATGTCCAATTTATCAGTGCCACTTACCTGAACTAAGATCGCCATAACTTCATTTGGAGTAGGGAAAACGGCTGTAATGGTAGCTGCTTCTTTGCGTACAGTGTCTACACATAAGAAGTAACAAAAGATATGAATCGGCATAGAAGCATGTTTCAAGTATGGCATCCAGATCAATGACAATCCTTCAAACCTGTAATTTCCTTGTATAAAGCTGAAAGTCCACGGGCAACATTGCTAGGACTAGGCTGAGAACCATGGTCACCGAGAACCAACCTTATGTCTGAATTCATGACTTCTACATCAATAAACATTGGACGTGTAGCCACATAATGTTGCATAGCACTCGTACCCCTGTTAAACTGAAAATCAAGAAGAAAAAAAAACTATGCATCAAGAAACATTTACAAGAGGAGAGCTAGACATCCATTCGTTCTGTGACAGCTTTATGTAGAATTAACCAGTATGTAACCACTAGATATGTAAGAAAGGCCTTCGCTCAGAATGGGTTTCCTACTGAATTGTAAAGGCGCATGCTACAGAATAAAGTATTCACCTGTGACAAAATCTTAGCACATTCTGACATGGTGGATAAATCTCTCCGCTGTGATGCAGCATCAAAACGAGATAAAAGCCTGTTCTCCAATTCTACAACACCATACAAAGACAAAGTTGAAGATACAGTAACGCTCTTCAGTAAATATACAGAAAACACAGTATAAACGAATTAGTTTACCATTACAGTAATCCTGAAGATTAGCAACTGCAACTTCCAGTCCTCGGCCAGGGGTAGCATTTCCTGCAGCTGTACCCGCACCTTGCCTTCCAATGTCTTCCTCAGCAAAGGATCCTGATATTGACAAGGAGACATGGAAATAAGTTGCAGCCTAATTTAACTGAAAACTTTCATTTTTTTTTTGAAGTAAACTTTCATTGTTGTGGAAGTAAGAGAGTTAAATGCTTAGTTGCTAACAAATAATAGATAAAAAGTTGTTCTAACACTCCAGACACATTTCAAGTAACATAAAGCTATCACATCATACGTAATTTCTGAGCGATAGAAGCAGCCTCAGCTACGCGGCTATCATCAGAAAACAAAGCGGAAAGCTCCATAAGATCCCCTGGGCTGCCGTTGAACTCCATTAGGTACTGCATTTGTTGAACAAGGATTACTTTAAGCATTCATCTAACTAAATATGTGACCAACCTTGCAACATAGATGCACTTTTACCTTTATAAGATCTATCGTCTGGCTAGCCGTTTCCCGCTGAGCATCTGCACTCTGACAAAGGAAGTATGGGTTAATATTGGATAGATCACCAGATAGTTGGTTATAAGCAAGATAAATTTTACCTGCAAATGATCTCCAATTTTTGCAGCGGTCTGTCCAACACTTGAAATACGACCGTCCAACCTTGCAAAGCTCTCAAACAGACCGTCCACACCCTTCTCTATCTAGAAAGAGAATTCAATTAACATTTGAAGAAATGATCGGGATGTCAGTTATTCATCAGGTAGTGATCCATGTACCCAAGGAATTTAATCAAAGTATTAGTATTGGTCTGCCAACCTCAGTCAGTGTCTTCCGGTGTTTAGAATCTTGGGTTGAAACTTCCTTCTTTAGTGTATTGAGCCTTCCATCAACCTTCCAAAATATTTAACAAAAACCTCAGATATCAGAAGGATGAAAAGAAAAAAGAAGGGCTCGTCGTCGATGTAGACCCAAGACACTCTCACCTGCTTCCGAAGATCAACTAACTCCTTACAAGCATCTTTGAACAGAGACAAAAGACCATCTACTTCAGGGAAAAAAGGAGCAGAGGACAAAGGAGCAGATTGCCCACGTAAATGCCCATTTGTCAAACCATCAACTCCAGCAATGTTGCCATGGCCATCCCCAGAATCTGCTTCTTCGTCTAGGAAAGACGGCAAGAGGTCGTTTACCAGGTTCCCAAATAATGCATCAAATGAAAAATCACCCTGCGAGTGACCAAACAAAAACAATCAAAATCACTTATTATTCAAAAGTAAAAAACATAAGCAACCCAGAAGCTGAAAACCTTACCTTGAAGTCTTCAATGTCAAGAATCAGAGGAACAGAGTTAACAGAGGATGATCTGGGTCCTCTTGCTCTGATTCCTTCTGTCATCTGACAAAACAAAATAAAAAAAAAATTCAAAGAATTGAAGAATCAAGTCTGACAGATCATATATGAAACATTCAATAAATAGCAGAAAGAGATGCGTAGGATTCTGGATTCTTCAATGCTATTAAATCAAAATTACAGTAGTGTAATCTTCTCAGTTAAGTAATCACCGGCAATCGCTGATTTCTCCGCCGAATGCAACAAAATTTAGAGCCTAAGGACGACCAATCGCGCAGAGAACAACACGGGAAAGGAAAAATGTAATATAGAGCAACTTACCGCCGGTGAACGGAGAGATCTAGCCGGAGGAATCCGGTAACTGCAGGGAGAGAAAGACGGAGAAATAGAGACGGTCTACAATGGCGGAGTTGGGGATTACTTTTCACAACTACGAGCTCCCTCCAGATGAGCTGTTAATCTAATTATTTACGAGTTTTTTTTCTTCTTTTCTATACCGGCCGGTTAACGATTTTGATCAACTGTTCAATTACTCCGTATTAATTTGTTGTATACAGAGATCGAATTAGTGTATTTAGTTTCTCTCCAATTTTGGGACAAAGTAGATAAAAATACCCGCATTACAAACCAATTGGTTCGTTGATTCACTTGCTTCATTTAACACATGAAAGAAGGATCGAAACACATGCCACATAGACGGAATGAATGAAATTCTAGAGCAAATAAATTCAAACAAAATTAAACATTTGGGATGCCATAATATTTCCTTACGAAAACTTTTTCTTGAAAAAACATAACGGCAAAGTCATACATAAACGGGTGGCATTTAATAGAGAGAGTTTCAGATTCACATAGCGTAAACACACATTCAATGAGCATATGATCTCTTCAAAGCATTGTAACCTCATTACCAACTCTTATAAATTAAGAGAGCTCAAAGCAATGGAAGCAATATCCAACAAGTAATTGATTAATCGAGTCAAAACATATCTTAAACAGAAACAGATACAAAGAATGGCCACCATTGTTTCTCCTTCGCATTTCTCCCCTGTCGAAGACGCTGAAAACATCAAGGCCGCTTGTCAAGGTTTTACTTTTCTTTGGATTAGTGTTTCAAGACTTGTGTGATTCAAGTTTCTTGCTATCTCCTTTATTCCTCTTCTTTCTTTCTATTTGTGTTTTTAGGATGGGGAACCAATGAAAAGGCCATCATCTCGATCCTAGGACACCGGAATTTGTTCCAGAGGAAGCTCATAAGACAAGCTTACCAGGAGATTTACCATGAGGATCTCATTCACCAGCTCAAATCTGAGCTCTCTGGCAATTTTGAGGTTTAGATTATATATATCTCCATATGCTCTAACTCTATTCCGATAATCCACAAAACCATAATTTTCAAGGAGAAAATATATTTGTTACCTGCAGAGAGCTATTTGCTTGTGGGTCTTGGATCCTCCGGAAAGAGATGCTTTCTTGGCTAACTTGGCTCTTCAAAAGCCTATTCCTGACTACAAGGTTCTTGTTGAAATTGCCTGCATGAGATCCCCTGAAGATCTATTAGCTGCTAGACGTGCTTACCGTTGCCTCTACAAGCGTTCTCTTGAGGAAGACTTGGCCTCCCGTACTATTGGCGACATCAGGAGAGTAAGTAATTTTAGTTTCCAGATATTTTCTTCTTCTTTTGACTGATCTTCAACGCTTGGGCGTTTTTTGATATATACAGCTCTTGGTTGCAATGGTGTCTGCTTATAAATATGATGGAGAAGAAATTGATGAGATGCTGGCGCAATCAGAGGCTGCAATTCTTCATGATGAAATCCTTGGTAAGGCTGTTGATCACGAAGAAACGATCAGGGTCTTAAGTACACGGAGCAGCATGCAGCTTAGCGCAATCTTCAACCGCTACAAGGATATATATGGCAGATCGATCACTAAGGTATACAAACAAAAAAATGGACATCAAGTTATACTGATAATTGATCTGTGACAAAGCAATCAATGGGAAATTTTTAGACAACAATAAAGCAATCATTACCAGTTTTTCTTCATGTCAATGTTCTTTTGCTATCCGTAATGAAACATTTGATGACCAGGATCTCCTCAATCACCCTACAAATGAGTACCTGAGTGCACTACGTGCAGCCATCAGGTGTATCAAAAACCCTATCCGGTATCACGCAAAGGTAAGACACAACTATAATTTTCAGAGGTGGTCTCTAATTTATCCCAATACAACTAACTGGTATTCATGTTTAATCTCTAATGCACTTAGGTATTGCGCAATTCAATCAACACTGTGGGGACTGATGAAGATGCTCTGAACCGTGTGATTGTCACACGAGCAGAAAAGGACCTGAAGAATATAACTGAGCTATATCACAAGAGGAACAATGTGAGTCTCGATCAAGCCATAGCAAAAGAGACATCCGGGGACTACAAGGCTTTTCTTCTAGCCTTGCTAGGACATGGAAAAATTTAGAGTTCATCCTCAACTTAAAACCTTAAAACAGTAGCATCTCTTCTAATTTTCTAGAAATGGAATAATAATATCTTTAACGCTGAAGTAATAATAAAGTTTTCTGTTTGATGCTTCCTCAATCAGTTCTGTTGTTTAGCTATTCATAGTAAAACAGGAATTACATAATTTTCCCGTAATAAAGACATTCTTTCAAGAACACAAAGAAACTAAACAGACTCACTGAAAATCAGGGAAACATTTACATGTATGGGTTCTTTCCTCCTTATCTGCGTAAAATGGCTGCAGCAATACCAGCAACAAGACCTACAGCAGTGACAGCAATTCCAACGCCAATAACACCATCTGCTTTCAAAAATCAGAAGAGAGTTAAGAGAAAGCAGCTCAAGATTTTAATGGATGATGAGGACAAATGACACAATAGTACCATGTGATTACCTTTAACAATACGGTCCTCTATAGCCTTTTTGAGTGTCTGAGCCTGTCCCCACTCTGGTTCAACCTCCAAACACCGTTGAATACAATCCCGGCTTCTTGAAAAGTCACCGCTTCGATAGTACCCAAGAGCAAGGAGATATAGCTTCTCTCTTAGTTTCATTGCACTTGTATCATTAACCACCAAAGCTGCGAAAACAAAGCAAAACACTTTGCTGAGATCAAACCAGCAATATGGATCAAATCATCCACCTTAGGAAGAACACTAGGCAGCTGAAGATTCCAAAATTTCTAGTGGAAAAATGAAATTGTGAATTGTGAACATAATCTATTACCTTCAAGCATTGCAATTCCACGCTGAATATCCCCAGGCATCTTTGAATGAACAAGAGCCCATGAAAGACGCATCATGCATTCCTTCTTACGTCCTTCGTCTTGAGCCTCTGCAAGTTCTTTCTCACATCCCTGAGAAAGATTTCAAGTTATGTATGCATGTCAAAATTCAGTCCAGACACGTTAAGAAAATTATGTACAGGGACAAGCAACGCAAGAGAATCCAAAATCCAAAGAAGAAGACGAAGGATGCATCGAACAATTGGAAATTCGGAATTTAGAGGTTCATGTGGCTGTCAATTGTTGAGGAAGATAAGGTGATGAATCATAAAACTTACGGAGATGATGTCGGAATCGCACAAGGGGAACTCATCGGCGGAAGCAGAAGCAGCGCCGGAGAAGAAGTCTGAGACGGAATCGAAAACCTTCCCTATCGCCGCGTCCATTTTTCCTGTCGCAGCTCGAAGATATTTCAGAGTTTCTTTTTGCTTCTCGGCTTTGGACGACGAGTCTCCCTTGCGCAATTTTTTCTTTGATGACGAGACCCGGTCGAGAAATTTTACAGAAATAAAAGTTTTCCGTAAATTTAGAGGCTTTTTTTTTTTTTTTTTTTTTTTTTTTTACTGTATTCATAAAAAGGGGTTATTACTGAATTGGGTATTTGTTGGGCCAAAAATTTGAAATAAGGAACAAACGTCCGAGCTTCGTTTTTAGGCATTTATTGGCTAAATGAAATTACACATTTACCCCTATCATATGTATCTTCTTTCTCATTCTCTTTTCCCGACCACCACCACGTTTCCTCCACCGACCAAAACGTTTGCTTCCTCTCGCGACCACAATACTCGCTTTCACGGTCTTAATCCTTGCTTCTCACCACCGTGTGCTCCATCAATACCGTTTCCGTTACTTTTAGGACCAACTTTTTCACCTCCAAAATATAAAATCTCTCTTCCGCCGACGCCAACGATCTGATTAATTCAATGGAATTAAAGGAAACTAAACCCTGTGGGGGATAGTATCTAATAAACCCAAGGGGTCAAATCACAAATATTAATTGAATCAAAACTTTCAATTCATCTTCAAATCTCAACTTTGTAAATTATGTGTTCCCGATCTTATCATCATCTTCTTCTTCTACTTGTTTCTCACCACCGCGAAAACCACCCTAGTCACCGGATCTCATCATCACCACCATCTAATTTCCAGTGTCTTCTTCTTCGTCTCGTCTCCTCAACGTCACCGAATCTCTTCATCGTCACCACCATTTCGATCACCGCTTTTATCATTGTTTTCACAATTTCGTTCTCCGAATTTCATCATCATCTCCACAAATCGTTGTTAAACGTTGTCACAGAGAATTCATCGTCGAAATTGAAACGTCATCAAAGCTTCTCGTCGTTGAATGTAAGGGTAAAAAAGAAATTTTGGTATAAGGAAAAATGCCTAAACCAGCAAGTATAGGCATATGAACCGGATTTGATAATTTATGTTGGAATAAAGCCCATTCCCGTAGTTAAATCTTCATAAAAAAGATACTAAGATTTTTTATTATATTTTCCATGGCTAATTTAGAGATGCTTTAGCTAAATTTATTTTTAAGAAATTTATTTTTGCTTTTAACAACTATCAATTAATACTTATTTTAATAAAATTTAACCAATGATATAAAAAAAACTGTAGAATTCAAATAGTCATAAAATATGAAATGAATTTAAAAATTGTATAGAAAATTGTAAACATCATATATAGTGAAACAAAAAAAATCTCTAAAACATCATGTATTTTGAAACAGATGGAATATTATCATATTAGTTATTAGTGTTGTTTTATAAAAAAATATATATATATATTAATGTTAGTTTAACAAAAAAAATTAAAGATTTTCAGAGACCGGCAAAACAAATCGGAATAAGTGTAAAATAACATCAATTTTTTCATGAGTTTTCATAAGTACTATTTTGTCTATCATGCATTCATTCCGTCGTGCTTTATCTCTATTAGGAATTTTAGTTAGAAGAAATGCATATTGGTGGATAATGACATTCTAGAGTAAAAATGGTGAGAGATACTTCCGAAACAAACAAACATAGCGTATCTATAGAAAATTAGGAACAAACTAACACAAATGTATCTCTAAAGAGAGAAATATCTTTTTGGAACAACATTTCCATGTGTCAATTTTTAGTTTATATAGATTTCTTACTTATAATTATATTTTGAAATTATACAACACAAATTAACTTAAAATATCTATTAATAATAACATAAATAGTTTATATAAACTTAATATCTTATTTAAGAAAATTGACCAATTTTTTATTTATTTTACTTTCATATTTACATAAAATTAGATTATTTGTATAGTTGGAAATCAGCACACATGTAAATGACAAAGTAGTTAGTTAGAGTACCAATCTTATCATCGTTTATAACAGGTTAAAAAAAAAAAGGAAAACATATCACAATATAATATATCACACATTGTCACATTCTTTGACCATAAAAAAGAAAAGGTGAAAAAAAAAAAAGAGTAGTGTGGGAGGGGGAGAGAGAGAGATGGCCTTCTCTTCCTAACATTGACCAACCCGTCTTTGTTTCTTCTCATCATCACTGTGAGAAAGAGAGAGAGAATTCGTGGATATCCAGAATTCGTTAAGGGCGTTTCGTTTCTCTGTAGAAGAAGAAGAAGAATTCTCTTTCTACTTTTTCTTTTCCGAGAAATTAGAAGAGAGAGAATCTCTGTCCTTGTCTCTCTCTCTCCTTGCACGTTGCAAGCGTTTCTAGAATAAAGTGAAAAAACCCAGCGCTTCTTTTTTTTTTTTTTTTTTTTTGCAATCCAGAGAGACTTGGCTATGGGTTTTCTTTGATTCGTTTGTTTCGTGAAGCGAGAGCAAGCTTTTTAGCAATGGAGTTGGTGGGTAAAGTCGTTCGGAAGGAGATCCAAGGGATTGGGTTTTGCTCCGGGACGGTTCGATCTCGCGATTCGTCTGGATTTTTCGAGATCGTTTATGAGAACGGAGTCACAGAGATTTCGGAATTGGATGAGGTTGTTGCTCTCGTGATTGGAGATGGTAAATCTCAGGAGAATTCGGTTCCAGTGAAGAAGAGAGTTGGTAGGAAGCCGAAGAAACGGTCTCGTGTCGCGAAGATGGTTGAGATCAAGCGAGAAAGCTCTGAGTTGGATGAGGTACATGTCGATTTAAATGATGGAGTTACGGAGATTTCGGGAGTTAGTGATGTGAATTTGAGAGGGAATGTTGATTTGAATTGTGGTCCTGTGGAAACCCTAGGTAGGACATGTGACTCTGTGACGGATTTGAATATGACGGTGCCGCAATCGGAAACTGGCTTTGATCTGACTACTGGGTTGGATTGGAATTCCAATGAAGGTTTAGGTTTGATTAATGTTAATATCGATTATGAAGACAATTGTAGTGACAAAAGGAGGTGGGATATTGATCTGAACATGGATGCGAGCTGTGATTTGGACAATGCTGCTGTCTGTGATTTCAATGGGCAGAAGGGGGAGGGAGGATTTGATTTGAACGTGGAGGTTGATGTAGAGAACAGCAAGGATGGCGAGTACATTCAAATGAATGGAAATGACATTGTTCAGGAAATCAACATGCAAGACGGAAATGTTGTCCATGATAATATTGAGACTGGGGAATATAAAGAAGTTCATGTTGCTGAAGTGTCCAGCGCTCAGCTTTTGGAGGAGATACAGAAGCAGAACATTGTTTCACCGCAAGATCTCAATAATCCTAATTCTAATGGGGTTGAGCAAGATCATGAGCTACCTCAGCATGATGCTAAGACGGTTGATGAGTCTCTATCTGATAGGGGAAATTCAGATGAATATGGAAGTGGTAGGAGGAAAAGAAGAAAACCTTCTGACAATCCAAAATTCATTAGTGAACCTCGGTTGAGAAGAAGCGCTCGTAGAAGGTTAGCTCGATCTCCTGTCAGTAGTACTGTAACAGCGTGCTTAGTTGATGAAGTATCCCCTTCTCCTTCAATTAGTAGTCTGACAGAGGAGAAAACTTGGGTCGATGGAAAAGCTGAGAATATTTCTGCCCTCCCGCCAAAGCCACAATTACCTCCATCCTCCCATATTTTGGATTTAGATGGTCTTCCCGTACTTGATGTCTTTACTACTTACTCTTGTCTGCGGTCCTTCAGTACTTTGCTGTTTTTGAGTCCCTTTGAGCTGAAAGATTTTGTGGAAGCATTGAGGTGCATGTCTCCTAGTCTATTATTTGATAGCATCCATGTTTCTGTCTTGCAAATATTAAGAAAACATTTGAAACAACTCGCTGCTGAAGGTGAACTATCTGCGTCTGCTTGCCTGAGGTATACCTTTTATTTTCTTTCTTTAGTACTTTAGTTTTACTGCTGTTTTATGGATATAAAGCCTCTCCTGTTTTGGTTCTGATACTTTGCTGGTGGTGTGTTGAATGCAGGAGTCTTGATTGGGATACGTTGGATGTGGTTACATACCCCCTTTTTGTGGTTGAATACCTACTATTTTCTGGGTACAAAGACAACCCTGGATTGGATCTTACTCGGTTGAACTTTTTCAGAAACGAGTATTTCAGACAACCCATGAATCTGAAAATTGAGATACTTAGTCGTTTGTGCGATGATATGACAGATGCTGAAGTTGTGAGGTCAGAGCTTAATAAAAGATCTTTTGCAGCTGAGTTTGAAACGGAACTTGATAGGAAGACAAACACAGAAGTTCGACGCAGAAAGCGAACTATGATGGAGCTGGCAGATGATTTATCTTTTAATAACGAGGTCATTGATACCTCATTTGACCGGAACAGTGACGACTGCTGTTTTTGTAAAATGGATGGGAGCTTACTGTGCTGTGATGGTTGTCCGGCTGCATATCATTCTAAGTGTGTCGGTCTTGCCAGTCACCTTTTGCCTGAGGGTGACTGGTACTGTCCTGAATGTGCATTTGATCGGCGTGTACCAGGATTGAAGCCTGAAAAGCAAATTCGAGGCGCAGAGTTTATAGAGATTGATCCCCATGGTCGAAAATACTACAGCAGTTGTGGCTACTTATTGGTGTAAGTTTCTTACTTCAATTCTCTTAATGGAATCAATATTGTGGATATGGATCACTATAATTGTTTTTTCATAAACAAACATAAATGTTTTATGAATATTAGCAAAAAATTTGTCTAACTCAGTGGTACAATTTGTGATGATGTCTGACGAGCACTGTAGATACATTTTGGTTTTCCAATAAGTGGACGAGCACTGTGAATAGCCTTTTTTGTTTGTTATTTAGATGCACATGTTAACCCTCAGTATCCCTCAATGTATACAGATGTGGAATGTTTTTATCTTCTATTTCTAGGAACTTCTTTCATATGTTGATTGTAGGAACTGTTATACATATTCGTAGGTTGGTTGATGTCGTCCACTATGAATTTGCAGGATAGATACAGATGGCACAGGCTCATTTAACTACTATCATGTGAATGATGTGAACCTTGTGCTGGAACAGCTAAAGTCATGCAGTAGTTCCTATACTGGCGTAGTAAGGGCAATTAAAAAACACTGGGATATCACTGTTGGGCCAATAAGGACAATCAGCGGTGTGAATTCCCAAATGTCTGTATGCCTGGATAAGTCTGTCAAAGAAATGATTCCTTCTATTGATGGGTTTAAGGCTCCTCTACCAGCTTCAGAAAAACAGTCAACATCTGGTGCTAAAAAAAAGCTGAACAAAGCATCCAGCAATGGATGGTCACATATTCATGGTCCTAGGACTCGTCGGAAGATATTAGATTCAGCTACTGGGCTAGATATCCTTAATATGAGTTCTGAAGGATCTGCTGAAACTGTACAAAATGGATCAGACGTCCAGAGACTTCATGAGCCAGCATCATCAAGCATTTTGGATATCATGAAAGAGCCAAATATGAATTCCCATAATTTGGCTAGAATAAACACACGGAAAGGAATTAAACCAAATGTGCAGAGTGAAACAGGCTACAGAAACCATTACATATTTGCTCAGATGACTAGATCAGTTTATGAAGAGATGATACGTAAGTCACCAATCCGTACCAATGATATGAGATCTGATGAAGAAATAGCTTCTACCCAGGTGAAGACTATATTGATGAAAACCACCAAATTTCAATGGCGAAACATCCAAAGCCTCTACCTAGATGCGTGGAAAGAAAAATGTGGATGGTGTCATTCCTGCAAAAGTTCTTCTGAGGATGCTGGTAGTGAGATAAATTGTTTGTTTAATACGAGTCTTGGGGCTTTACGAGGTCTTTCGGAAAGTGAAGTAGCTAACATTCAATCCATTGAGAAGAACAGTCATCTTTTGGCCATCATATGCCAGATACTTTCCATGGAAAGTCGACTGCAAGGACTCTTGGTTGGTCCATGGTTGAATCCGCAGCACTCCGGCATTTGGCGTGAACACATTCTGAAGGCATCAAATATCTCAGGCTTGAAACATTTATTGGTTGAAGTAAGTTTTTCACTTGTTTCTTCCTCCTAAAACATTCATTTTGCAATGGCATGTGGAATTATTTCTGAGCTGAATCATTGTATTGGCAAAAGCTCAAGTCTCTGAACAACCACACTAACTTTCCCATGTCAAAAATGTCATATTCAAATTTCGTCATTATGATCCTCTGCTGTGTAGAACTTTAGCTTTGGTTCGTTTTCTTCCTACTTGAAAAGCTTGCATTAATCATTTTCTGTTCACTTTTTTAGTGTGGCCACGAATGTTGAATGTTTTGTTCGTTCTCCAATTGTTTATGAGTTAACTATCTTCTAAATGTTTTCAGTATGAACTCTTGAGCACTTTTTTTGTGTGTAATGCATTAGTGAATAATCTAGGGGTGCATCAGTTTTTGTTTCCTAATGAAAGATTTTGTTAATTACCTTTGCCCAGTTAGAGGCAAGTTTGCATCATCGTGTACTTTCACTTGAGTGGCTAAGCCATGTCGATGCTGCCGTGGTAATGGGATCAGCAATACATATTCTCATTGCTTCGACACGATCATGGTCAAAGACTGCTATTGGTAAAAGAAGGGGGACATTGTTGGAGTCTGGGGTTAACCCTACTGCAAAGAAAAATGGTGGATTGACCATGTGTTGGTGGAGAGGTGGGCAGCTCTCTCGGCGGTTATTCAATTGGAAGGTTTTACCTCGCTCTTTAATCTCGAAGGCTGCTAGACAAGGTTCACATTTTCTCTTTTGTTCTTGCTTTTGCGTTTGTTCTTCTACCGTCTTTAATAATTATTTTGTTCCCGTCACTTCTATTTAGTCGTTTCATTTTCCATGTACTCTACACTATGCAGGTGGAAGTATGAGTATTCCAGGAATATTGTATCCTGAGAATTCAGAGTCTGCTAAGAGAAGCCGACGTGTTGCCTGGGAAGCAGCTGTTGAGTCATCTACAACTTCAGAGCAGCTCGGTTTGCAGGTAATATAAACTTGGTCAACCTGAATGTAATTCCTGTCTCGCTGGTATGGGTGAGAAGTATCAATGTTGAAGTTTCCAAGGGTTTATGGGTGATACAGGTCGTGACACGAAATATTGTTTCCATTTCGTCTACGCATGAATATTGATGACTTTTGAGTTTGTCATCCATATTATTTACTGTTACTTGGACTTTTACTGACATTTGCAGTTTTTGTACACTGAATAGTTCTCAGCGTTATCAGCTAACAATTCAGTGATCACAGGTGAGGACACTCCAATCATACATAAAGTGGGATGATATTGAAAACAGTCATCTTCTTCCTACATTAGACAAAGAATCCAGAAAATCTGCCAGGCTATTCAAAAAAGCGATTGTCCGTAGGAAGTGCACGGAGGAAGAGACTGTGAAATATCTCCTTGACTTTGGTAAGAGGAGAAATATTCCGGATGTTGTGTCGAAGAATGGTTGCATGGTTGAAGAATCCTCGAGTGGAAGAAAAAAGTTCTGGCTGAATGAATCACATGTGCCTTTACATCTTATGAAAGGATTTGAAGAGAAAAAAGCTGTACGGAAAACTAGCAAGCCAGGAGGCTCTTTCAGACACTCTGAGATACACAAATTACGGAAAAGGTCCTCAGAGGGAAAAGGATTCTCATACCTATTTGAAAGGGCAGAAAGATCTGAATCCTCTTTGTGTGAGCAATGTAAGAAAGATCTGCCTTTGAGGTATGTACCTATCACAAACCCTTTGTACCTTCAAAAGTCCTTCTCTTGATCAGAATAGCAATCATATCTTGAGTAATCTTTATTATCAGTTGGACTCTGCTTAGAACCTAATAGCATGAGCTTTGACGTACAGAAAATATCAGAGTAATGATCTTTCTTTAACTATTTTTTATGGTATCTGTTTTTCTTTGATGACAGTGAAGCTGCAAGCTGCCACATCTGCAAAGGTGAGTTTCTTTTCCTGTTACTTTTGTTAAAGATTTTGTTTTTCGCAAAACCTATGCCTGTGTAGGTGATCTGACCTAGCCCATACTTACCATAAACCAAACTCCCACAAGACCTATAGGTGGAACCAGTATTCTTAAAACTTAACCTGCCTGATCCAACCTGGAAGAAAATCCCGTCTAGGATAGCTTGTCACTGGTTCAGTGATTCTTTGATTTATTTTATTTTGATAAAAATATGAAAAAAATTATTTTGAATTTCGTAAAATAAAAGAACCTCCAAGAGGAGATTCCCTAACATGATCTTTCATAACTAGTTAGACCCATTCCTAACCAAGAGGAGACTCCCTAACATGATCTTTCATAGAAAGTATTTAGTTATATTTTTAATTGATTTTACTTTTGAAAAAATTTCAGGAGTATTTCACAAAAAGCATATAAAGAGGGCAGAGAAGGAGGGCATGTACATCTGTCTTCCATGCAGAAGTGAAGTGATAGCAAAAGAACAACCCACCGTACGAAAAAGAGGGCGGCCGCCAGGGAGTTTCCGGAAAAAAATTGGAGTTCAGACACAAAAGCGTAAAAAGGTCATACCTGCTCGCAAATCACCTCGGCTAAAGAAGACTAAGACCTCGATGGCAGAGAGAATTGCCATAAGGTTAAAGAATCATAAAAAGGTTGTTGCAAGCAAACCATTGCGACGTTCTGGCAGGCAATTGAAGCATGTTATTCGGCTGCAGGATGAAAGTAAAGTTCCTGAAGGGAGTAAGAAACGGAAACTGGAAACCAAAAGAGGTAGAGGCAGACCTAAGAAAGTAAAACAAGAGATCTCCATTAGAAAGAAGAGAACAGATAGGTGTTTGAGCTATTGGTTGAATGGCCTCCTTTTGTCCAGAAAGGCTGACGATGAACGGGTTCATAAGTTCCGGAAAGATAGATATTATACTCCCTTGGAGAACTCTGATTCTGATCATGATCAACCTAAGTGTCACTTATGTGGCCCAATTGAATCTGAATCTGGATCAACTTTCATTGCTTGCGAAATCTGTGGAGGTAATCCATTTTCCGAGCTTCTTTTGGTTCACGTTGCTAGGGTTGGTTTCTTTTCGTTTCTCAGCTTTCTTTTGTTTTTGTAATGTCTGTAGAATGGTACCACGGAGATGCTTATGGGCTTAACGAAAAGAATTCAAGTATGGTGATTGGATTCCGGTGCCATCTCTGTCGCGAACAAACTTCTCCCACTTGTCCACATATGAGATCTACTACATCACCTGTTGCATCCTAAGCTGTGAATTTGTTTAAGGCTGATATAATATTCTTAGGCTGTGGGGTTCAAGTTGAAGGAATCAGACAGGGCAAGGTGTAAATTTTTTAGATGTCTATACAATTATGGGTGAAGAGTATGAGTAGAGATCAAGGAGAAGCAGAAACAGAGGAGGGTACATTTTGGTGGAAGCATTAAGTTAGTTTGGCTTGTTGGGACTGGTAACGTGGATGGGTAGGTTACTAAAGTGGAGTGGTTGACTTAGACTTAGAGGGAACAAAAAGGGGATTTAAGATTCAGAGTTGATTTATATAACCTGATTTAGTTTTGTTTTTCACTATGAAGGGAGTCAGTAAACAAGTGAAGGTATGTAAAGAATATGTTGAATCCATTTTCTATCAAAATCCATTGGTAGTGGTGTTATTGGCTTTCAAATAGTAATGTTTTAACTTTTAACCCTTCTCTCTTCATCACAAAGGCTAATTACTTTTGCTCTCATTATAGTGTTCAATGGTGGACAAAAATGCTCAGCATGTTGGTTCTTTTCTTACTTACTATACCATATTGACCTATTTCTCTCTTTTGTCTCGGTAATGTCCTTGACTTCTCTTAAATTGACTTTCTTCTTCGTTAAAATGGATTTTGCTAAGCTTTCTATTTATATAGACAAAAAGAGGAAATGATGTAAACATTATCAAATCCATTTCCTGAACCTGTGATTTTGTTTGATCAGATCTATGTTATCACATTGTAGCAACACGTTTTATGCTCAACAAATGAACAAACTTCATCAAAGGAAAAACTTTATTGATCAGAGTTGCCCTTTATTGATCTAAAGGGCAACTTCAGCCATTTTAATAAGTTGAGCCAGAACTCTATAACACTTCCAGTAAACACAGAGCATCTCCAGTCTTAACAAACAAAACATAGGTAAAAATAGAAGAAGAGGAGATTGTGTCAATTGGTCGACGTGAGCTGCCTGAGGTTGTACTTTGCTAGCTCCTTGTACTTCTCTACCACTCCAATTAAGCAAACTGTCTGTAAATTGCAACCCAAAACCCGAAATGAGTTTATAACAAACCAAATCTGATGAAGCAAAACATAAAAATTTCTCCTTGTTTACCTTAACAACTTCCACCACGATCGACATCTCTGGATTGCTCAAATCAACTTTGTGAGGGGCAGGAATAGATTTGGCGATCGTGTTTATTATTTTCATCCTATCAAGCCCTGTGTTAGCACGTGCTCCATACAACACAGCAAACTGCAGGAATGGTAAGAGAGAGGTAAACACTTTGGAATCTAGGAAGGGATACGCAAATTGATCTTATTAGTATTATTACTTTCCGGGGATTTTCGGTCTCAATGGGGAAGTATTGTTCTACAAGAGGCTTGATGGCTCTTGAAATTTCTTCCTCTGAAGGGTAACACGATACTTCAATTGGTAGAAGTCTTAGGATGAACCTAAGAAACACGAGATCCATTAACGAAAACTGATAAAGTCAATAGTTACAAAATTCTTGGTACAATGAAGTTTTGTGTAAAAGAGCAAACCTTGACATATGCTTTTTTGTGGCAGCAGCAGATGTCATTGCATGCTGTGCAATATCTTTGGGACTTGGGTCACCATCTCTCCTTTTCATTTGGATGAAGACCAGACCGTTGCAACCCGGATCTAACTTCATGAACCGTCTCTGTCAAAGATGGACAACAAGACTCTTATGATCCGCAAAGAAATAAAAACATAGACTTAAAGATATTTTTCATGAAAGCTCCTGTCATTCACCCATAGATAATAGCTTAGCTTACCTTACTCTTGTCCCCAAGTTCTTTTAGTTCAGCTTCAATCAACTTATCAATAGACTTCTCCGCATTTTCATTTACTTTTGCTAAAGGATTTGCTTCTTCCGTACATGTCTTCTTTCTTGGAGGTTCATCTCCACCGTTCTTCTGATTCCCTTTATCTTCTTCCTCTTTTTCAGTCTCATTTTCTGCCAATTTTTTGACTTCACATGACCCTTCACTAGCTATTTCTTTCTCATTCACTTGATCATTACCGCCTTCACTCACTACTGCCTTATCTCCATCCCCTTTGTTCTCCTCTTCCTCGCCATAATTACTCTCATCTTCCTCATCATCCTCATCCTCGCTATACGAAAATGTAACTTTTTTGTTTATTGGGTTGTCAAACAAACCAGGATTAACTTTCGAGTCGGTCCCCTGTATTAGCTCCTCGAAAAACTGTAAGAAAACAAAGAGATTACATTTAAGAAACACTCCAAAGATTATATGAGCTACTCAAACTTGACAAACAATAGAAAGCTTTCGAGAAATCAGAACACATAACCAATTTTTTCAGATTTGAGTAACCTTTCCAAACCCGTCTAGGTCATTTGAGATTTCTACTTAAGAAATCCTAAAAAGCTAACAGAGAAAGAAGATTACTAGGAACGCAATTCGAACACGAATCAAAGGGCTAGTTCAGCTGTTGAAGATAATCCGAAACAAAATTTATGGAAGAAGCAGTGAGACTAAGCAACATATGGACAACTAGATGGGAGATGAAATCAATTTCAAAAAGAGAGAAACTTTACGGAATCAATGACGTTAATAGCTTCCTGAGAAGCTTGGTATTCGCGTCCACCATCGCAAGAGATGAAGAAACCTTGAACGCCTGGCTTCAAAGGGTAAGATCCCTTCTTCTTCACTGGTCTCTGCTACAACAATAATTAGACGAAGAAAAATAAACACAGATAATAATTATCAGCTGATTCAAAGATAAACGTAGTGTGTGAAGATTACGTTTTGCGGGCGATAATGCTGTTTTCTCTTCTTGCTCTGGTCACCGGAAGCCATCGCCGGAGAGAGAGAGAGAGAAAGAGAGGTTTTCGCGCAGTTGAGCTAAAGTAAACACACTGACAAAGGAGAATTAGTAGGTCATGCCGGAATGGGCCTATTGGGCTTGGTCTTGACCCATTAGCCAAAAACTCTCGTTAACTTTTAGGCTTGGTGTACATGTTTTTTTTTTTTTTTTTTTTGGGTATACAACTTGTTTTCAAGTTAATAATATAACTAGATTGTTACCCGCGGTGTACCGCGGGTTAATTATTTGATTTTTTTTGTCTTTTTATAAACTGATGAATTTGTTGTATATAATATTTTTTGTTGTACATTGCGAGTCACATGCGTTGTAACTAAAAATGAAAATTTTAAGTTGTATTTGTTTTGTTTTGTGTTTAAAATTGTATAATTGTATTTTGATTTGTTAATCCCAGGATTTCACCCGTGATATATTATCCAGTATTAATATCAATCCAAATCCGACCCGTCCCACCATATAATCATGTCCCGTAAAATTAAACATCATTTTGTTATTTCTTTTAATAACATTTTTATTTAAAAGACATATAATTCGAGTCAATTTAAAAGTTTGCTTTCAAATAGTTTCTATAATATATATATATATATATATATTATATATATATATATATATTATATATATTTTTTTCAAATTAGTGTGTGTTTTTAGACCAACTCGTAAAAATATTTTTAAAATGTATATTAAAATACTAAATAATTGTATTTCGATTTGTTAATTTTAAGATTTCACCGTGGTATATTGTCCCATTTTAGATAATTGTAGAAATTAAGAAAATATCTGAATGACTCAATTCCGGGTCAGAGTAAAAAAAAAATACGACCTGATTAAACGCGCAAATTTGTTTTTCAAAAATGTTAATATAGATTGTACACATATTTTTTTCTTCATCGATTGAGTAATATGTCCGTTTTAAAAAATTTGAATCATAGCATATGCAGAAAAAAATCGAATTTTTTTATTAAGTATATATATTTTATAATAGTTCAAAATAATATAAATATAAGATCATATAAAAGTGAAATGAGAATCATATATTTATGTTTTTAATTAGGTAGAGAGGTTTTAGGAAATTAGTTCAAATTTGTTATATTAGCATTAAATAATCATATTTGATTTCTATATCTATAAAAATTGTAGAGAATATGCCATAAATAAAGAGTTTATGTATAGTAATTAGTTGAGAAAATATATATTTTTTATATTTTATTGATTAATTTTCGTTTTCTAATTTTGTCAAAAATAAGGAAAGATCCGATTGAAGATTTCCGGGTCAAAATTAAACAAAATTTGACCCGATTAGGAACCCCAAAAAGTGTTGCAAAAATGTATAGTAGAAGTAACACTAAAGAAAGAGAGAAATCATGCTGATTTATTATTATTAACTTGACATCGAAATCTGAGAATTAAGAGATTATTGTAGCGATGCGGTGCTGATCAAAGAAACAAAACTCACAAGTCACATCATTGGACGACGCTTTCTTATTAATTAGGACTACGAAAAATGAGGTCTCTAAATATCTAAAATATTTGACAATACGTTTAACTACTATTATTTCCAACACATTGGACCGACCCTTACATTTTTTTTCTGACTCCAATATTTATAGATACTACAAATGCATTGAAAAAGCTTCTAAACAAACACACAACATTTTTGATTTTTGATTTTTGACCAAACAAAGACATATCCACAGTCTTATGGATTAATATGCCCGGTGCGCCTTAGAGTAACCCTCTTTCGCATAGAGAAGCTTTCATCGCTTTCAGTGATTCTTCCATATCATCACAAATCTTGTGAGGGTCCGGTATAACGGTGGGATCATACGCCAACGAAATTATCATTTTATCCGCATAACTCATTAAATGTATCAACATTGCCTATCAAACACAAAACACTAAATTTTTCACACCAGAAAAAAAAAGCTTATCATTTTACGGATAAAAGAATTAACTACGTACATGTGAGTGTCCGTAAGAACTTGGGGCGATGTAAGACACAGGATGGCCACGGAAACTGATTTCTTCCATGGGGCCAATGACGTTTGAAACACATGTCGTTGTGTTCCTCACCGGTCGATCAAATAATTCTGCTGCTGCCTATAATGACAAGAGAGTGTTGGTATATATATTGTCAACTTTTGCAAACAAATCTTAAAATTTATTTACCTTCGAGCCAAACACTTTTAGGACGATTTTGATGATAAAATACACTAGAGCCGCGTGATAAGAGTGCTTCTTTCGAGCCATCATGGATTTTGACATTTTTAAATAAACCAATGGATCGGTTTGTAAACCGATGGTGAATGGCAAAAAAATAAAGCTGAAGTAGTTTCCCCATCTGCATTTTGAATCCTTGACCATCATATCTGCCAAAGGCTTTATACCAAAAAAAAGAATTAAATATTTTTTTTTGTCGACAATTACTTAAGAGTTTAGATTTAAATTTGAGGTGTATGTCTCTAACCTTGAACCCGATGTCTGACCTTAGATTTACTGTACAAGCAACACGAAATCGTATTCCATCAGGAAGATTGTTTTGATACGATGTCAATGCTCCATCCTCCTCCTTCTTCTTGTCTTGTTTGTCAAGAAACAAAATGTAATGTGAAAACATTAGAAATAGATCTAACATGCAAAAAAAATTAATTGTATTAGAATTAACTGATGAGGGTCAGGATATTAATAGTATAGGTTGACTTTTAGTAGCTTTGATAAATAATACATGATAGATATTGAATTTAATGTTTACCATATTGTCGGTTCAAATAGTGAGAAAGAGAGGCTTGTGTAATTCCAAGTAGAACATCGTTGATAGTCTAGAAGCAAACACAAGAGAAAGCAAAGATCCATATTTAAAAAAAAAAAAAAACCTGAAGTTAGCTAGTTATGGACAGAAATGATATATAGCGTACCATGTTCATAGCGTTCTTGATAAGTTTAATGTCATCTAAAGAGATAATTCGGTGATAAAATCTCTTTGGATTGTTTCTGACATCCGCCCCGCCTTTTAGTGGCGTTTCTGTATCCTTCAAAAACAACACAGTCGCCAAAAGCAGCAACATATCTATAGTTGTATTCCAAAGCAGTCTCATTGTAGAACCAATGGTGAATATCGATCTCAAGAACCAGCCTTTGGTTTTAAGGCTATGCGACATCGTGGCTCGCCGTTTCATGGGAGGAATAGCATTTGAAAACATGTCTGGATCTGATGTTTTATGGGTACATGCGAGCATGAGAGAAATCAAGGACATTCCATCTCCCAACGAATGGTGAGATCTTATAAAACTAACTGCTTCAGCATCTGAGGTTTTGACGTTAAGGATGTGAATGTCCCACAAGGGTCTTGATCTATCAAGAGGAATCATCGTGAGACGTGACATATAATCATCGATGAAGCTTTGTCCACCTTCACCAATCTCTTCTGGGTCTATGTATGGCACAATTACATGATCTTCTACATTAACTTCGGTCTCGATCCATTTTGCACCATTATCAGACTGTGAAGTCAAGACAAATAGAAACCAAACACTACGTCAAATAACAAATAGGACATAAGTATAGTTCTCATGTATATAAAAACACGGTCATGTCAAACTATTTAGAGATTCCGTACAAATTTTATTAAACATATATAATAAAAACTAAATGGGCTGAAATTTATTTGATTAATTTTCAAAATCTTATTCTTTAGAAAGTAAATTTTAAATCGGGTATCGAAAACAACTACTATGTGTAAGAAGTAAGAACGTGTGTGTATAAATGTATAAGGGTACCAGTATGCTGGAGAAACGAGGATGCTTGGAGACATTTTGCTTCAAGGCATCAAGAACAACGTCGGGATTAATCTTTGTTTTGAAACCCATGATGGTCACGGCACATAAGTCTATGCCCGGCGATTGGAATACACGCGCCATCGGGCTAAGCGGCTCCTCCTCCCCATTCGTCATTCTCCCTTTCCCCTTTTTAGATGTCTTTTCTTCTCTCATGTTCCAATGTTATTTATAACGTACGTTAAGTTTGTAAGTGGTTCAACGAGAACAAAAGAATACAAGTGGGCATGGAAAAGTATTAGTATTTTTTGTCACAACAACAAAATTACATTTAATGTGATGTTGATATTTACGACCAGCTTCTATTAACAATGATAGAAAAAAAAAAGAAAAGTGTGGCGTCGGAAAGCAAAATACTATTGTCGTTCACTATGCAATTATATTTAGTTGTTTCAAACATTGGTTTGGAGTTTATGGGAGTAGGGCTTGAGTGGTTGACTGGTTGTGTAGGTTCACATTTGTCCACATGTTTTCATCTGGTCGAAGTTGAAGATAAATATCTATACTTAGTACTTACAACACCAATCATTAATCAAATTACGGATTGGAGTCGTAGAGAAGTTATATTTTTTTCCCCTATTTTCATTATGCATTGATTATATGTGTTATCTGGTTTAGTTTTTTCTTTTATTTTTCACCAACAAAATGTAATATATGAATTTGAATGTAGATACCGTGTAACGACGATACTAGCACAAACTACTGAACTACAAATCTTCTGTCTTTTATATGGTTAAGTTTTAATGGAAGCAATTCACACAAACTTTTTATCCAATCCCCGAATATTCATAATTGAAAAAAAAACTTAGCTTCCACATTACGCGTGCATTTTTAAATGAACATCATTTGTCGTTAATCACAACGCTGTAGGAATATTTAGAAATCAGAACCACTTTTGTCTCGTCTGCATATGAGAAAACAAAACAAAATAGAATCAAATCACATCTTCACACATATATATACACACAATACGATCGCTATCAATAATATAGGTGAGAAAAAGTAACTACCATTTATATATTGAAAGAATCTTATCACCTAAAAATGAGGCGTTTGTCTATAATAAAACACAAAACGTTTTGCAAAGAAAAAAAGAGAGGGATTGACCCAACCACTCAAAATGGTAGATTAACGATCCAGCTAGGTAATCTATAAAGTCTAGATTACTTTTTTTTATATCCTCCTAAAAGGCTAAAACCCAAAACTTCCAGCAAACCTCACACGAAGCGGTCGTTTGGTTGATCTGCCAACCAATTAAGTTTAAAATCATTTATGTCTTGGTTAGAAAAATTGAAATTCCACTAAAGAAAGTCATATCTCTCTTATGTCAAGGCTTCTAATTTGATTTTTTCTTTTCGAGTTTGGTTTGAAATTATGGTTTCATTTATTTCCGTATTTATTTTATAACTTGAATATTTTTATACTAAATATTTTTGGTCAAGAATTGAAATAAGCTTTTACTAATAATATGAACACAAAGTGAGGCCTAAACTTGTTCTATGCATTAGACGAAATTGAACTCAAGCGATAACATATTAACAACACTAGCACAAACTTAATGAGATTTTCTTCAATAATTAGGATCGACCTGATATTATTCAACTCCAATATTTGTATATAGTACAAAAGCAGTTAGAGCTTCTAAAAACATAACATTTAAAAATTAGACCAAACAAAATATATCTTAATCAGTCTCCCGATTATAAAGGGCCTTATAGTAACCCTCTTTCACAGAGAATAGTTTTCATCGCTTTCAGTGATTCTTCCATATCATCACAAATCTTGTGAGGATCTGGTATGACAGTAGGATCAACCGCCATCGAGATTATCATCTTCTCCGCATAACTTATGAAATGCACCAGCAATGCCTATCAAACACAAAAACATACATGTGTGGGAGATCTTTTTTCTTTGAAAAAGCTTATTATTCATTAATTAAGCAACAAAAATATTACGTACATGTGAGTGTCCGTAAGAGCTTGGAGCGATGTAAGCCATAGGATGGCCACGGAAACTGATTTCTTCCATGGGGCCAATGACGTTTGAAACGCATGTCGTTGTGTATCACCGGTCGATCAAATTAAATAATTCTGCTGCTGCCTACAATAACAAGAGAGTGTATTATATCTTGTCCAAAATTTTGCAAACAAATCTCAATTTATTTTACCTTGGCGCCAAACACTTTTAGAACGATTTTGATGATAAAATATACTAGAGTCGCGTGATAAGAGTGCTTCTTTCGAGCCATCATGGATTTTGACATTTTTAGATAAACCAATGGATCGGTTTGTAAACCGATGGTGAACGGCAAAAAATAAAGCTGAAGTAGTTTCCCCATTAGCATTTTGAATCCTTAACCATCATATCTGCCAAAGGCTTTATACAAGAAGTATGTATATACATATTGTTTGTTGACGGTAAAGAGTTTAGATTGAAATTTGAGGTTTATGTCTCTAACCTTGAAGCCGATGTCTGACCTTAGATTTACTGTACAAGCTACATGAAATCGTATTCCATCAGGAAGATTGTTCTGACACGATGTCAGTGATCCTCCATCCTCCTCCTTCTTGTCTTGTTTGTCAAGAAACAAGATAATCAGTTGAAAACATTATATATAGATCGAACATGTATATTCTTAGGGTTAGGATATTAACCAAGTTAATAGTTAATATCTTAATTCATACATCATATGTATATATATTGAATTGAATCATTACCATACTTTCGGTTCAAATACTGAGAAAGAGAGGCTTGTGTGATTCCAAATATAACATCGTTGATAGTCTAACGCAAGAAAAAGCAAATATCCATTAAAAGGAAATTGGAAAAGAGAAACCCTCAAGTTAGTCATTAACATAAATCATAACGTACCATGTTCATCGCGTTCTTTATAAGTTTAATATCATCCAAAGGCACAATTCGGTGATAAAATCTCTTTGGATTGCTCTTGACATTCAAGCCACCTTTTAGAGGTGTTTTTGTATCCTTCAAAAACAGTATAGTCGCCAAAAGCAGCAACACATCTACAATTGTATTCCAAAGCAATGTCATTGTAGAACCAATGGTGAATATCGACCTTAAGAACCAGCCTTTCTTTCTAAGGCTATGCAACACCGCGCCTTGCCGTTTCACGGGTGGAATAGCAGTAGAAGACGTGCTCGGATCTGATGTTTTTTGAGTACATCCGAGTAATAGGGAACATAAGGACATTCCATCTCCCAATGAATGGTGAGATCTTATAAAACTGACTGCTTCAGCATCTGAAGTTTTGACGTTAAGGATGTGAATGTCCCACAAGGGTCTTGATCTATCAAGAGGAATCATCGTGAGGCGTGACATATAATCATCGATAAAACTTTGTCCACCTTCGCCTTCTGGGTCTATGTATGGTACAATTACATGATCTTTTTTTTTTTTTTTGCTAAATTACAATTACATGATCTTCTACATTAACTTCGGTCTCGATCCATTTTGCACCATTATCCGACTGTAAAGTTAAGACAAATGGAAACCAAACACTATGTCAAGTCACAATTAGGATATAAGTACAGTTCTTATATCTATAAAAACATGACCATCTCAAACTAGCTAGAGACTCCATACAAATATTTATCAAACATATAAAAAGGTGACATTAATATGATTAATATTGAAAAATTTATTCTATAGGAAGTAAATTTTAAATCGGGTATTGAAAACAACTATGATATAAGACGTGTGTGTATAAATGTATAAGGGTACCAGTATGCTGGATAAACGAGGATGCTTGGAGACATTTTGCTTCAAGGCATCAAGAACAACGTCGGGATTAATCTTTGTTTTGAAACCCATGATGGTCACGGCACATAAGTCTATGCCCGGCGATTGGAATACACGCGCCATCGGGCTAAGCGGCTCCTCCTCCCCATTCGTCATTCTCCCTTTCCCCTTTTTAGATGTCTTTTCTTCTCTCATGTTCCAATGTTACATATAATTAAAGAATACAAGTGACCATGGAAAATATAATTTGTAGGGAAATTTTTTTGTTACAATTTAAGTGGTGTTATTAAAATTTTATTGTTTTTGGTATTAAAATTTTACAAAAGAAAACAATGTGGAATCAAATCACATTTCACATAAAATCATCTAATCTCTATCAATAATATGTGAGACAGTGAGAGAAAACAACTACCATTTATAAATGAATACCATTTAACGTTATGTACATATTGTAAGAATCTTATCACCTAAAAGAGAGGCGTTTCTCTAATAAAACACAAAATGTTTCAAAAGAAGAAAAATAATACTAATAAAAGAGGAATTGACCCAACCACACAAAATGGTTGATTAACGATCCAGCTAGGTAATCTTGAAAGTCTAGATTACTTTTATCTTCCTAAAAGGCTAAACCCCAAAACTTCCAGCAAACCCACGAAGCGGTCGTTTGGTTGATCTGCCAACCAATTAACGTTTTAGAATGAGATATGTTAAAATCTAAATTTTCTTCAATAATTAGAACCGACCTGATATTATTCTGACTCCAGTATTTTTATGTATTACAAAAGCATTTAAAGCTTCTAAAAACATACTAACATTTTAGACCAAACAAAAGGTATCTGCAGTCTCCAGATTGTAGTGGGACTTAGAGTAACCCTCTTTCCCAGAGAACACTTTTCATCGCTTTCAGTGATTCTTCCAAATCATCACACATCTTTTTCAATCAACTGTTCAAATGAATTATCATAAGTGATTCTTCCATACCTTCACTCTGTACCTGCATAAATAAATATATAATATAATTTTTACAAACATTCAAACATCATATATTTTTCATAAATGCAAAATCAAATTTAGAAGAATTTTTCCAGAAATCAATGAATTGAGACAATCTACAATCAAAAGGGTTAACAACAAGAGAGACCACACATTGTCTTTCTTCACGACCCCAAGAAACATAAACAGAAAAAAAAAAAAAAAAAACACTCTATATGTATGTCTCCTTCAATCATCCACTCTACGTTCCCTGTGACCTGTACAATGTTTCTTCACATGGAGAACAACGTAGAAGTCTATACCTCACGAACAAAACGAGTATACAATACAGAGACTCCTTCTTTTTCTCCATTACTTGCGTAAATTTCCGGCATCTCAAGTCTTTCAAGTTTATCGTGTGATGTGTATCTTCCTCCACGAATCTGACCATCTGATAATACTATCCATGCCTTACCAGCCTGAGTATTTGCAGGAGTACTCAACGTAGCTGCTGAGGAATTTGGTAAATGATACCTTCGAGATGATTACAGTTACAACGGGTATCTGTTTGATCGGTTTGGATCAAACCACCTCGGAGCTGATGGGTCTTTACGTGAACTCCAGCCTTCCCTCCAGTTTCTTCTACTGCTGTGGAAAGGATAATTATCAGTGTCTGCTCCAGATGTGCTGCTTCCGTCACGTCTCTTTTGCGAATTATGCATCTCTTCTTCAAGATCATACTGAGAACGCTGCAAAAGCACCATAACATGAAAACTAAATATAATATAGGAAACTCTAGGGGTGCGCAAATCCTTGAGAAGAAAAACAAATGTCATATTCATTGAAAACTTTTATCACCTTTCTTGGTCCATTGAAAAATATTTTCTCAAGAGAAAATAAAAACAGAACTGAAGATATCGGTTCAGATAATTTACCTTTGCAGGGTCTGAAAGCACAGCATACGCTTCCCCAATCATTTTAAATAATTTATCGGTATCTTTGCGCACTTCTTCTCCTATTTCCTTCCATAACCTCTCATCTTTAGTCTCGTTTCTTGTCAAAGACTGACCAGCCTTCAAATAGTGAAAACAAGAGAAAAACAATTTTATGAACTTATTATCGTCTGCAGCTCTTTGCTTTCTGCATGTAAATTGATTCTAGCTGAATCCACAAGCATGCAAAGTTGACAGTTTCTATTAAATACCTTGTCGGGATGATGTTTGAGTGCGGCCTTCCGATACGCCTTTCTGATATCTGAAGCCGAGCATGATGGTACAACACCCCTGCCAGAAAGTAAATCCCATTCTGATTAGCAAGCCTTGAGACAATAATCACATCCATGCCACAAGGTTCTTCCTCATAATCACCCAAGTTTCCATGAAAAATCCATTCACCCGCAAAAAGCAGGATGACAAAGGAACAATAGATATGTTCAGTCTAAACGTAGGTCTTTTCTAAAGGAAATAAGAATTTGGCATGCTTGTTGTGGAAAAAATGCAATTTTTCAATTCATAAAAGAACTAGAGAACATAACGCAGCCATTAGTGGAATAAAATTAACTTAGCAGGATAGTCTACTTACAAAACGAGGTACATATCCAATGAACTTTCTTTCCTTGATTTCTCTTCCAGTTCAGAAAGTCGTATACGAGCTTGTCTTATGTCATTGGCCATACTAGTGAATCTGTCAATAATTCCAGAGGTCTTCTCTTCCATTTGCTTGGTTAGAATATTAACATATCTCTCCGTGTCACTTGCTGCCTGCCCATAATCCCTAATCATCTCGAACAACGTGGCCCGTCTAGAAATAGCCTGAGAATAAAGAAAAGTTAAGAAAATTAAGTGACACAATATAGTACTTTTTCAGCCAATCAGACAGAAAAGAGGCCTTCAATCATAAGAGAATCGCGGCCAAATCTTTCTGTAAAGTATAAAACCACACATACATGGGAACAGGGGCAAAATGTTGTAGCTCATGCATTTGAAACGTAAACAGAAACATTGATATACATATGGACATTTAAGATAAGCTATTACCCAACGTTCAAAGTGCTATATCATAACGTTGAAACCTTTCAACTACATTCCGTGGAAAGCAGAGACAAAACAAAAGAAACCAAATAATGATATAGTTAGGATTGAAACCTTTGAGTAATTTTGGTCAAGAGCAATAGCAAGGCTGCAGTCTGCAATAGCGTCAGAATATTGACCAAGAGCCTTATATGCAGCAGCACGATTACAGAAACACACAGCTGTAAAAGGACGTGATTCCACGTTGCAAGCCAGGGCTGCTGTGTAATGTTCAACTGCTTCAGTGTGTCGTCCAGACTGAAAGGCTTCATTCCCTGCCGACTGTGATTTGGTAGGAATATCAAAACGGCACGAAAAATGAGTAGATAGCACAGCTAATGGTACTCCGTTTTTTTCCTATTTTTTAATTCCTTTAGAAGTAAAAGTAATTCACAGGTAGTTGGACTCTGAAAAGGAAATGTAGGTTCAGGGAAATAGATGTCGCAGAAGAAGGCAATACCTTAAGGCGCAACAACTCACGTATAGTAGCAGCCAATGGAATGGAGGATTCAAGAGTTTTGTTTCCGTCTCTGTATCAGAATGACAGACAAAGAGACCTGTCAGATTTCGCCTCATCTGACAATTAGAAACGTAAAAGTTGTAATCTAAATCACCTTTTTGTAGCAGATAGTAATTGTTCTTGCTTCTCTAGAGAAGCAATTGCCTCCTCAAGCTTTCCCATATGGAAATATGATTTAAGCATGACATGACACTGCCAAATTCTAAAGTTTGTGTCCTTGGGAGTGTCATGAGAATCTGGAAGAGAATTCTTTCCAGCCAAATCAACTGTCTGCTCACAAAGCTTTATTGCTGCTTCATACTTCTCAAGCTGTCATCAAATAAAATCAAATAAACAGGTTTCTGTTCCAGTAAGAAGTTTTTAATTTCCTACTCACAATTTTCAGGAGGTTTTAAATTAACACTTGCATACCATCAAGAGCGCCTCTCCCTTCATGGTGAGTAACTTTTCAGAGTATGAACTTATCAAAAGAGATTCTTCCAGTATTTCCAAAGCTTTTTCAGCATCAGTTGATGTTCTAAGTTGCAAACGACGGCCAGCTTCATGCATGCATTCGGAAACTCTCTGCAAGACACAGACATTATTGATTGGTCAAAAAGAAGAACGTGTGATTGTGATTGTCCATCTTCAGAATATGTAGAAAATATTAACTCATATTAATAAAAACAAAGAGAGAAATTCTGGAAATATATCAAATTCTGCACATCGCGACTGAAAAAATGGTCAATCTCTATCAAATAGCAAGCAATAACTAAAACAGCATACTGTTAAGTAATTTTATCGCCACACATCTCAAAGGAAAACATCAGCCATACAATTAGTACGGTTCAGTCTAAATCCTAAATCAACTAATAATAATATAAGATCCACTTCACAGAATAAGGCCATGGGAAAAATAACTGTGCAACATGTGTCCTGTTCTCATGTGCTACAATATCCATAATCTATAAGAGTTTACAAAGAACACTGTGTCTCTTTAAAAGAAGAGAGAACTCTACCTGTGCCTTTTGTAGACCTTCAGAAGCCTCTACAATAATTTTACGGTCCACACAGATTTCACTTCCTGATTGCAAGCATTTTTTGAAATACCTGGATGCATCTTCAATCTCCCCAAGTGAAAGGTAACAACTAGCAAGACAAAAAGGCAAAATCAGCCAATAAGACATCATATAATGGTAAGATATTATAACTTATTGCTAGCTGGGGAAGAGCAGGAATTAGCAAGGTATCGAAGACAACTCCAGCTTAGAGCATACATGAGAAAATATCACATACATTCATTTCCAGTTCAAGCTCTCGTATCAAGACTAAAATTCTCTAATAAGACTTTTTATCACGGCTCATTAGAAAATATAAGAAGTATTAAGGAAGGTCGATATTTACTTTCCAGCTCTGACTTGAACTTTAAGGAAGTTGGAGTCTATTGAAGAAGCCATCGTACAATCTGCTATTGCTTCTCTCATTCTTCCAAGGGCCATGCGTGTCGCAGCACGGTTGCTGTAGCAAAGCATCAATGCCCTGAGACAGTTTCTAGAAGTTTCGATTCTAGGCACTGAATCAATCCCTTGAGTGTAAGATTCCTCAGCTCTGGAAAGATCTCCAATTTTATAAGCATTGTTTCCTCTGGAGAAAAGGCATTAAAGAAAAGGTAAATTAAATATTAGGACAGAAACTAATGAAGCAACAATAACAACTAGACACTCAGAACACTACAGGAACAATAACGGTATGGAAATAGCTGACTTGTAAACAACCTTAATCGCCACTTTTCACATGCTTCTTGCGCTACATTAGACACATCTTTTTCGATTCGTGCTTTGTCCATCACAGAACTATTAATAGGCTTGTGTAGACGAGTAAGCGGATCCCTTTCACTGGGTTTTCCAGCGGGCAAGTGTGACTGCACACCAGTTAACGGAGAATGTTGTGAAGACTTTAATGGTAGTGTTGCATTTGGAATTAGGATATATGGATCCTGCCCAAGTTTAATCGGGTTTTTCTTCCTATTGATACGCTTTGAAGTTGATAGTTGCCCCTGCACTCCCGAAAATGATGAAGCAGAAAAGGTAAAGCTGGAGCTAGCAGCATCTGTATTAGAGAGGGAATGGTCATCATTTTCTTTCCTATCAGACCTATATCGTGAAGTAACCTCACTTTCTGAAGCTGTAGCAAAAGTTTCACTACTAGTTTCCATCTCTTCCGCTGCTGATTTAAAACTTTCAGTTTCAGCTCCAGATATAGAACCTTCAGCAAGGTCTTCATGATCGGCACATTTTCCAGTATTAAATTCTTTAGCTTGATAGTTATTAATTTCATCCCCCTCGTTAATTTCCATCCGCTCGGTTGCAGCAACTAGGTCTGCATCAAACAAATCATTTGGAGCAGTAGGTGGTATATCAGCAGAAAAGTCTCCACAATCTTCTGTGACCTCATATGGAGAAATATCCATTGGTGAATACGCCTCAGGAGCCTCATTGCTTCCATTTGGAGTAGCACTTTCTGCAAAAGCAAACTCACGTCCAATATTTAGCTGCACTTTCACAGGCTGCTTACCCCCTTTCCTTCTCGCTCTCGTGGCACCAACACTGTCCTTCTTCGCATTGAACCCCAATTTCTGGTCCAAACTAGAAAATGGGTTTACTTTCGAATTAGGGGTCTTGAATTCCATAAAACCTGTCCCCCGACTGTCTTGATTACTCACAAAATTAAACTCGGAAGTATTTACTGAAGAGGACACATCATGAACATTTCTAGCATTCAGATTTTGACTTGGCTCTGTACCTACAAAACTATAGTTCATCGGACATGAACTATTAAAATCATGGACTTTCTTCCCATTCACACTTCCCTGAACTGAATCTCCAGAAAGGTTCCCATCAGTAGTCATACTTGCAACACTTAACTTTCTACTCAAATCATCAGATAGTATCTTCTCCCCAACATAATCCATAGACACTTTGGATTTGACATTATTACTATGTCTCTGATCAGTCACCCTCTCTGAAATATTTAACTTCTCCATACTTTCCTGGATCACATGTCCTGTACTCCTCGAAGAAGAATCAATAGTCAGTTTATTACTTAACAAAGTTGGAAGTTCATCTTCCACATTTTTACTCGCTGCAAAAACTGAATTGCTTCCCTTCTTTACACCAAAACTAAAGCTAGAATTCAAATTCTTCATATCTTCAGGAAGCCTTGAAGCCTTTCCTTCACTCTCAATTTTCAACTTTTCCATCTCTTCCATAACTCTTTTCCCAATTTCTTCATCAGAGTGCAATTTCCCAACATCAGTTGATCCAAATACAAAACCCTCATTGCTGCTCCGTCCAAATCCGATCTCACTAGGAGTTGGATCACCAGCAAAAGACCCACGGAAGTGAAACGGGTTGAAACTCTGACCCGGTATAGAATCAGAAGTACCCGAGGGCTTCAAATTCTGAGACTTTACTTGCCTTCTCACCTTGGAGAATCTGGGCTTAGAGAGACCAGAAGATGACCGCGGAAACGGCGCTGAATTGAAACTCGCGTCGGGGTTATTGCTGCTGCTTCGACCCACACCAGAGAAGGCGGGATTCAAGTCGCCGAACTTGCTCATTGTTTTCTCTTTGGTTCAAAAAATTGAGGCAAAAGCGAAAATCCTCAAGGAGAGAAGTAAGAGAGGTCAGGTCGGCGACATGGGAGAAAGATAGAAAGTCGTCGAAATCGGAAATGGAAAGAGGATATTGAAGCAGATACGATAGAAAATCAACAAAGGGTATTGGCAAATGTTGAATCTTTTTTCAGGAGATGGATCGATAAAGGAGAAGAGAAGAGGACGAAGAAATCAAGAAATATTCAAATTAATGGCTGGATTCAAGGAGAAAAATGGGGTCATCGTCCATTGTTGTTGTTACGGAACACAAGAAAGCAATAAAATAAAAAATAAAAAAATGATTGCTTTGATGTCGCCGTCCTTAGTTCCATTTTCTTCATCTTCCAAAGACCTAAAACCAACATTTTTTTCTAATTCAACAAAAAGAACAATCCTTTTAATGCAAATCTCAACTTTATTTAACTTTACTTTTTTTACTCATCTTTTTTGGCATTGTTATTTGGGTTTTTTAGACACGGGACATCTGTTTCATCAAAATCTAGTTGCAAATGTTGCAATGTTTAGTTCCTTCCTCACATATTAATGATAATCTTATCATCACATATTTGTTGTTACTTGCATATGTATATGTGTTCTAAAATGCATCATGGGCAGTAGGATGCCATAAAATTCATGTCATGTCGTGGTTTAAGTGGATAAACAAATTTCGAGACAATCAATGAAGTTTTTCCTAAGTCAATGAGGTTTAGAAATGTTTTACTTTTTTTTTTTCTCTAATTAGATCTATTAAAACTTTTTTCATTTCAATGCCGACGAAAATGATGGTTAGCTACTTGATATGTATATCACATAACTATATAATATTGTGTTTATCCTCTAGTATTCTAATATTCCACAAACATTTTTTATCTGTACGCACCAATTATATGATTAGAAATTCTCAAAAAATGACTATTATTTGTTAACATAAACGTTAAGCCCAAATAGTTCAAGGCCTATATGAAACTAGAACTATGAAGATCGCTATGAACTTGAACACTAACTACTATGCTACTATACATGGAAGATATGGTTTATATATATATATATATATACAAAAGAATAACATTATCTAAAGCTATGACTTATATAGATGCACAGAAGGACTCGTAAATACTTAAATATATAAGATTCGGCTTTATATAAAGTTACAGAACCCTCTAATTCTTCTCGTTACATCAGAGACTCTTGTGGTTTGTTACCCACACAAACCGGAACAACCACATGAGCAACAACCGATACTAGAAGCAAAGAGATATCAGCAGAAAAAGAAAGTTCCAAAATAGATCGTCTTTTAAGTATGTCTTACGCATCCGTTTGTTAGTAGTATAGTATCACCTGAGGAAATTTGCGATCTTCATACGATATAATCATATCTCCTACGTTCTTTCTGTTCTCCATATATATATATATATAGATATATATATAACTTAGCTATACATATACATCATCCTACTTCCTTGTGTATGCTTGTTTACTTTGTCTGCAGTCTGCACACATACAAAACCAAGAACAAGACATGAACATCAGCTTTAAACACTATGAACTCATTCCCGGCTGCTTCAACATTGATAAGAAAGCTTACCTTTATTACACACACTTCGGTAGCCTCATCTTATCCATAAGAAAAAAACCTGCGTCCAGCATAAGAAATTTTGTTATCCATATATAACTCGAAAGAATAATGGGTACGAGTTTAGATAGTAGACTAACCCTTGGCATTTATGAGGTGAAATAGCCTACTGCATCAGATTATTGGTAGTGACTGGTGGTTCATTGTCATTTCCATTAGTAGAGGAGACTCCAACTTTTGCATTAGTTGCAGCAGAATCATCGGTTTTGTGATCATCGGTAGATGATGCAGAAGGGAACAGGTTACTGGGAAGAACAAGCTCAATAGTGCTTCCAGTATCGGGTTCAAGCAATTCACTCTTGTCAGTCCATTCTTTTGCACCTTTTGAGTAATTATTGTTAACACTCATTGGGTTGATTACAGGGTAAGGATGCAGCTCCGAGGTATCATCAACTACTGCCACAAAACAAAGTAACAACATTAACGAACAGTTGATCAGCAGAATATTAACCTTTTGACATTCAAAAATATCATTGTTCACTACACCAACCTTCTAAAGCATCTGCAACTGTAAGTTCAGATTGAAAATCAGGGCTTTGGTTGCTGGCAGACGAAAAATAACCAGGAGACCCCACAGAAAAGCTACGGTGATGATTCTGCATTACACTATTCTTGAACTCAGGAAGCTGCAAATTAATGAAACGTCTTCTTTCGAGTTCAATAGCCCTCAGGAGATCAGCCTGCTCCATTTTCCTTCTCATCATCTCACGTCTCTCATACAGCATCTTCGAACCTACTACATATAAACGAAATAAGTTACTTAACAAAAATTGGAGAAAGTAACACCAAAAAATAACTAAACTGGTCTTCCAAAATAAATAAATAAGGATACTAACCAAGGTGGAAATCAGACTGTTCTCTAGGATCAACCCCAGAAGGACTGGAGCACGGGGAGTAATTTCCCCGCTCAATCTGCTGTTGTAGCAGCTGCTGTTGCTTCCTATTATCATTTAATTTACAATGACAGAGTGAAACCCAAAGAAGTAAAACTTAAAATAAATTTGAAGAGAAGGAAAAAAACGAAAAACACCATACTTGTCCAAGACTTTGCCTTTTTCTTTGTAAGGTTTGACAAGCACCCGTGAGTCACAAATGAAATGGGGATTCCCTCTAGCTAGTACAACTTTCACTGTCTCAGGATGAGCAAATGAAACAAAGCCAAACATACGCTTCTGCTGGTATGGGATCCGCACATCTTGCACTGTTCCAAAAAGGCTTCATAGACAAAACAAATCAATAATGTTATTTTCTCACAACGCCACATCCATGAATTTTCAGACATCAATTAACCAATAAAACACCTGATTAATCAATACTACTTATTTGCTTATTCTTCCATATAAATCTACAAGAACTAGCACTTGTTTGACAGAGATGGTTTCATGGTTGTCCAGTAATACCTGAAATATGTAGCAACATCCTCATCCTTAAACGTGCTGTCAGCTGGGAATGTCAAGTAAATCTGTCTAGATACGGAGTTTGACTGATCACCTAATTGCATTGCCATTAGTTCCATCCTCTCAAGCCGACCTGGGCTGCTGCTCCAAAATCTTTCATCACCAAAAGGCAGTCCACCATCTCTGCATCGGGGGGAAAGCGTTAATACTTGAAGAAACTAACAAAATCACAACAGTAAAACCCGTCCAAGAAACAATGTAGCATCAACGGAACTAAAGCTAGAAAATTGCTGATAAAACAACCAAGAAAGCGCCATGCAACACAAAGAAGACAAAGCAAAAACGAATCAGACAATTTACAGAAATGACTGAGGACAATACATAAAAATCTCTAGGTACATTACGTCAAGCTATATCAGAACCAATTCAGACTATAATAAAACATACTATCTGGGATTAGTTCTATTTACCTTTGAGCGTGCTGCTGCAAGAGAAAGTCCATTCTTTTCTCGTATGGCAACAGGGGAGCCCTACCCAGGATCTGAGAAGCCAGCCTCTGCTGCTGGTAAGCCAATTTCAACCTCATCATCTCCTCGTGCTGCCTAACAAAGTTCTCCATTTTCCTAGGCGAGTCAGCGACAATGCCATTACAATCCATATTCTCCGGATATCCGCCATGGATAAACTTGCAGCTTTCTCCATTCTTGCACAAACCTCGACTAAAATACACACATGGTTTGCATCCAGAACCAAATCCATCATCTCCGGACCCAAAAGACGCATCTGCCGAGAAACTCCTCCTGTGAAGATGGGTTTCTCCATCGTCTACAGAGTAGTCCAAAGGAATCCTAGGATCCACAAGATCCTCGGTTTTTGAACAAGAATCGTCGAGAAACGAAAGGTAATCATTAAGCTGCTGATCATCCAGTAAATCAGCATTACCACCAGCGTCAGCACTACCAGAATCTGTAGCAGAAACTCCATTGCTTTGGTGAGAGCTAAAGGGTTTCGGGATCGGAGTGTGTTTAGGGGAAATGTGGGGGTTATTCCCATTAATAGGGTTCATAGAGTTGTTGAGTGACCAAGGAGAGGTAGAAGAAGGAGAAGATGGAGAGTTTCTACGGAAATCCATAAACCCATTAGAGTGAGAGCTTCCTCTACCGTTGATAGGTGGTCGACAGATAGGGTTCAACGGAGAAGGAGACGTCGGAGTAGAAGAAGGCGAGTTGTTGGAGAAAATCCCCAAGTGACTCTTCACTTTCGAAATAATCGACTGCAAAATCGATTCAGGTCCACGAGCCAGATGCATCAAGTCTCTATCACCAAAATCCTGTAAAAGCAAATACCCAATAATCTTCGGAGCATAATCTGGCTCCAGGCTTCGTATTTTCGTCAAAAGCAAAGCTGTCGCGTCACCGGAATCCATGGTTAAAGGTTACACCTTTCTTCTTCGCCAGTTGAAAAAAAAGAAAACTTTGATTTAGGGTTTCAAAAGATTAGAGATTTAGAAGAGAAAAATCTTCAAAGTAGATAAGAGAAGAGGGAAGAAGATCCTCTCCCTCCTCTTCGCTCGCTTCTGTTTGGATTTCTTTTTTTTTTTTTTGAATCTCACAGTCTCTCTCTCACTTACTCACTCCTATCTTTATCGCTCCAGTTGGTGCTCTCTCCTTACTGGTAAAGACCACTTGGGGAAATGTTCTTCTTTTATTATTTTTATTCAACTTTCTAGGAAACTGTAATTCCCCATATTTTTTTTTTTTTTTATTAACTACGGAAAATTTTGATGCTCTTGCTTAATTTATACAGACTCTGTTTAGTAATATATGGATTGTTTTTCTTATATGAAGATTGAAGAAGATTATTAGGTTTGACGAGTTATAATGGATCTGCTATTAAAGATTCAATTGTAGGTTGGATTTTTATTTTGAGGTCTTCTAGATCAAATCAATTAAAGTGTGATTAACAAATAATTTGCTGTCGATATTATTAGACACCTCAGTATACAGTGTATACTCTATTCTCATTTTGTCCTATATGGGAAGCCACATATTTTATCACTTAATTTGATATGAAAAAAGGAATTTAAATTTGAATTTACATTTATTAAGATTGCAAAAGATTTTTTTGGTACTTGTATTCCTTATTTCGTTATTTAATTTAGTAATTTAATAGTAGCTTTTTTTTTTTTTTTTCTCACTTGTAATAGTAGCTTAGAAGGAAAATTGTGTTGCCTTTTTCAATGATGGAGAATATATTTGTTTTTAAGGGAAAAAGTGTAAAACTTTTAAGAAATAAATATTTTTTAGATTATTATATGATAAAAAATCTACAGGTACTGTTAAATCAGTGTCAGAGAGATAGAGAGAGCGCGTGTGGATGCCAACTTTTTAGACGGCCTTTTTACAGGCGGTGTCTTTCACGCTCGCGCGTGAGGTTAAATCTCTTTTTTTTTCTCTGTTTTAAGGAATCTTACGAGCACCGATTTTTTCACTGCTCCTCTAACGTTAGATTTTTATTTTTT